CCAGAATAGATGCATATACTTGTATTCAGAGAGGCTAGGCGCATAAAACAAGAAGTTACCTATCTCTCCTCAGCTGGAAAGACATTTTTGTTAGCTAGAAATTCAACGACAGCTGCCACTAACAAGAGGCCCAATGGGCCTGCATCGCTCACCTGTTATTAATCTAACACTTGTAATCTTAAGATTTCATAAGAACCTATTAAAAGATTTAAACATATGACGCCTCTGACCTTGATTGTTGAACAAGGACATTAGGTTGAAAGTGGATCAAGGTCAATCATTTGAACTAAAATGGTAGTCCTTCATCCCAGCATGCTACAGGCCCAATTTCAGTACCCTGGCCCTTTTGCTTATTGAAAAGAAGTCGCTTGAAGATTTTACGACATTTGACCCCTGTGACCTTGAAAGTTGGTCAAGGTCATTCAGTTGAACAAACTTGATAGTCCTTCATCCCAGCATGCTACAGGCCCAATATCAGTACCCTGGGCCTTTTGGTTATTGAGAAGAAGTTGTTTGAAGATTTTAAGACATCTGACCCCAGTGACCTTGAAAGTGGGTCAATGTCATTCATTTAAACAAACTTGGTAGCCCTTCATCCCAGCATGCTACAGGCCCAATATCAGTACCCTGGGCCTTTTGGTTATTGAGAAGAAGTCGTTTGAAGATTTTATGACATTTGACCCCTTTGACCTTTGAAAGTTGGTCAAGGTCATTCATTTGAACTAACTTGGTAATCCTTCATCCCAGCATGCTACAGGCCCAATTTCAGTACCCTGGCCCTTTTGCTTATTGAAAAGAAGTCGCTTGAAGATTTTACGACATTTGACCCCTGTGACCTTGAAAGTTGGTCAAGGTCATTCAGTTGAACAAACTTGATAGTCCTTCATCCCAGCATGCTACAGGCCCAATATCAGTACCCTGGGCCTTTTGGTTATTGAGAAGAAGTTGTTTGAAGATTTTAAGACATCTGACCCCAGTGACCTTGAAAGTGGGTCAATGTCATTCATTTAAACAAACTTGGTAGCCCTTCATCCCAGCATGCTACAGGCCCAATATCAGTACCCTGGGCCTTTTGGTTATTGAGAAGAAGTCGTTTGAAGATTTTATGACATTTGACCCCTTTGACCTTTGAAAGTTGGTCAAGGTCATTCATTTGAACTAACTTGGTAATCCTTCATCCCAGCATGCTACAGGCCCAATTTCAGTACCCTGGCCCTTTTGCTTATTGAAAAGAAGTCGCTTGAAGATTTTACGACATTTGACCCCTGTGACCTTGAAAGTTGGTCAAGGTCATTCAGTTGAACAAACTTGATAGTCCTTCATCCCAGCATGCTACAGGCCCAATATCAGTACCCTGGGCCTTTTGGTTATTGAGAAGAAGTTGTTTGAAGATTTTAAGACATCTGACCCCAGTGACCTTGAAAGTGGGTCAATGTCATTCATTTAAACAAACTTGGTAGCCCTTCATCCCAGCATGCTACAGGCCCAATATCAGTACCCTGGGCCTTTTGGTTATTGAGAAGAAGTCGTTTGAAGATTTTATGACATTTGACCCCTTTGACCTTTGAAAGTTGGTCAAGGTCATTCATTTGAACTAACTTGGTAATCCTTCATCCCAGCATGCTACAGGCCCAATTTCAGTACCCTGGCCCTTTTGCTTATTGAAAAGAAGTCGCTTGAAGATTTTACGACATTTGACCCCTGTGACCTTGAAAGTTGGTCAAGGTCATTCAGTTGAACAAACTTGATAGTCCTTCATCCCAGCATGCTACAGGCCCAATATCAGTACCCTGGGCCTTTTGGTTATTGAGAAGAAGTTGTTTGAAGATTTTAAGACATCTGACCCCAGTGACCTTGAAAGTGGGTCAATGTCATTCATTTAAACAAACTTGGTAGCCCTTCATCCCAGCATGCTACAGGCCCAATATCAGTACCCTGGGCCTTTTGGTTATTGAGAAGAAGTCGTTTGAAGATTTTATGACATTTGACCCCTTTGACCTTTGAAAGTTGGTCAAGGTCATTCATTTGAACTAACTTGGTAATCCTTCATCCCAGCATGCTACAGGCCCAATTTCAGTACCCTGGCCCTTTTGCTTATTGAAAAGAAGTCGCTTGAAGATTTTACGACATTTGACCCCTGTGACCTTGAAAGTTGGTCAAGGTCATTCAGTTGAACAAACTTGATAGTCCTTCATCCCAGCATGCTACAGGCCCAATATCAGTACCCTGGGCCTTTTGGTTATTGAGAAGAAGTTGTTTGAAGATTTTAAGACATCTGACCCCAGTGACCTTGAAAGTGGGTCAATGTCATTCATTTAAACAAACTTGGTAGCCCTTCATCCCAGCATGCTACAGGCCCAATATCAGTACCCTGGGCCTTTTGGTTATTGAGAAGAAGTCGTTTGAAGATTTTATGACATTTGACCCCTTTGACCTTTGAAAGTTGGTCAAGGTCATTCATTTGAACTAACTTGGTAATCCTTCATCCCAGCATGCTACAGGCCCAATTTCAGTACCCTGGCCCTTTTGCTTATTGAAAAGAAGTCGCTTGAAGATTTTACGACATTTGACCCCTGTGACCTTGAAAGTTGGTCAAGGTCATTCAGTTGAACAAACTTGATAGTCCTTCATCCCAGCATGCTACAGGCCCAATATCAGTACCCTGGGCCTTTTGGTTATTGAGAAGAAGTTGTTTGAAGATTTTAAGACATCTGACCCCAGTGACCTTGAAAGTGGGTCAATGTCATTCATTTAAACAAACTTGGTAGCCCTTCATCCCAGCATGCTACAGGCCCAATATCAGTACCCTGGGCCTTTTGGTTATTGAGAAGAAGTCGTTTGAAGATTTTATGACATTTGACCCCTTTGACCTTTGAAAGTTGGTCAAGGTCATTCATTTGAACTAACTTGGTAATCCTTCATCCCAGCATGCTACAGGCCCAATTTCAGTACCCTGGCCCTTTTGCTTATTGAAAAGAAGTCGCTTGAAGATTTTACGACATTTGACCCCTGTGACCTTGAAAGTTGGTCAAGGTCATTCAGTTGAACAAACTTGATAGTCCTTCATCCCAGCATGCTACAGGCCCAATATCAGTACCCTGGGCCTTTTGGTTATTGAGAAGAAGTTGTTTGAAGATTTTAAGACATCTGACCCCAGTGACCTTGAAAGTGGGTCAATGTCATTCATTTAAACAAACTTGGTAGCCCTTCATCCCAGCATGCTACAGGCCCAATATCAGTACCCTGGGCCTTTTGGTTATTGAGAAGAAGTCGTTTGAAGATTTTATGACATTTGACCCCTTTGACCTTTGAAAGTTGGTCAAGGTCATTCATTTGAACTAACTTGGTAATCCTTCATCCCAGCATGCTACAGGCCCAATTTCAGTACCCTGGCCCTTTTGCTTATTGAAAAGAAGTCGCTTGAAGATTTTACGACATTTGACCCCTGTGACCTTGAAAGTTGGTCAAGGTCATTCAGTTGAACAAACTTGATAGTCCTTCATCCCAGCATGCTACAGGCCCAATATCAGTACCCTGGGCCTTTTGGTTATTGAGAAGAAGTTGTTTGAAGATTTTAAGACATCTGACCCCAGTGACCTTGAAAGTGGGTCAATGTCATTCATTTAAACAAACTTGGTAGCCCTTCATCCCAGCATGCTACAGGCCCAATATCAGTACCCTGGGCCTTTTGGTTATTGAGAAGAAGTCGTTTGAAGATTTTATGACATTTGACCCCTTTGACCTTTGAAAGTTGGTCAAGGTCATTCATTTGAACTAACTTGGTAATCCTTCATCCCAGCATGCTACAGGCCCAATTTCAGTACCCTGGCCCTTTTGCTTATTGAAAAGAAGTCGCTTGAAGATTTTACGACATTTGACCCCTGTGACCTTGAAAGTTGGTCAAGGTCATTCAGTTGAACAAACTTGATAGTCCTTCATCCCAGCATGCTACAGGCCCAATATCAGTACCCTGGGCCTTTTGGTTATTGAGAAGAAGTTGTTTGAAGATTTTAAGACATCTGACCCCAGTGACCTTGAAAGTGGGTCAATGTCATTCATTTAAACAAACTTGGTAGCCCTTCATCCCAGCATGCTACAGGCCCAATATCAGTACCCTGGGCCTTTTGGTTATTGAGAAGAAGTCGTTTGAAGATTTTATGACATTTGACCCCTTTGACCTTTGAAAGTTGGTCAAGGTCATTCATTTGAACTAACTTGGTAATCCTTCATCCCAGCATGCTACAGGCCCAATTTCAGTACCCTGGCCCTTTTGCTTATTGAAAAGAAGTCGCTTGAAGATTTTACGACATTTGACCCCTGTGACCTTGAAAGTTGGTCAAGGTCATTCAGTTGAACAAACTTGATAGTCCTTCATCCCAGCATGCTACAGGCCCAATATCAGTACCCTGGGCCTTTTGGTTATTGAGAAGAAGTTGTTTGAAGATTTTAAAGACATCTGACACCAGTGACCTTGAAAGTGGGTCAAGGTCATTCATTTGAACAAACTTGACGCCGGACAGACGGACGACGGACGACGGATGCCGCACCATAACATAAGCTCACTTGCCCTTCGGGCATGTGAGCTAAAAAGTACGGCTGTACAGTTAAGGATTTCTCCGTTACCGATTAAAAACATTGTCTCTTTGTCAATTTCCCGACATGAATTGTTCATAGGGAGTATTAAACTATATAATCATGAAGAGTTTTGTAGCAAGGTTATACAAAAACTTACTTCACTAAGTTGTCCCTTTAAAGTTATATATATGGTATGAATTTTTCAAATTATTTGTTCATGTACATTCACAACATGCTGCAATAGTCACAGATAACTGCATTTAAATATTACACTTAAAGTTGAAACAATACCTGTTTCATTGAAATAACCTAAGTTCATGCAAGAGAAACAATAAAGCATATATGCACATCGTCAAAGTGACAGATCATATGTCCTTATACCATTTTGCTAACCTTTGTAAAATTATATACATCTATTGCGTTACCTATATTCATCTTCAGGGTGATAGATTTCCAAGACGTCTCCCTTGCCGACGTCAGGAAACTCTTTTGGGTTGATAAGGATGTCATCACCTGAAAGCAGACGTAATAAGTTAACGTCGTCTCCTGTCCTAATATGACCACTTACATAATTAATGGTTTTCATTTTGTAAGACTTTCAACATGTACAGTGCAAGGCCTATGTTCTTTTTGAATTTTGAGAGATTTTAATTGCCCCATCCCACAGTACCGTAGAAAGCTCTCCATATCTTTCTATTTTAGATTTCAGTTTCTCCGTTTTGGTTAACAGCTGTATTATTTAGAAATATTTGCTCCAGACTTGTTTGGAAATTTTCCAATTTGAAAATTTTGATACACACATTTCCAATTCAACAAAACATGAAAACGAATCAGGAAGAGGATTGTCTTTCCCATCTCCAAATCTCATTCAAACAAGATTGTGCAGCTAAAATGGGACTGCATCGCTCACCTGGTAATGATCTCACAATTGTAACCTTAAAAGTCATTCAAAATAATCTGTTAAAAGATTTAAACACATTTGACCCATGTGACCTCGAAAGTCAAACAAGGACATTGTTGAATTTTTTGTATAGCCCTTCGTCCCAGAATGAAACTTGCAAAATATTATAACTTAGTTAACCCTATACTTTTTGCCCTGACTGTAACATTGTGGTCCGACATTTTGGTGCTTACCAAATAAGAACTGGTCATTTTATAAATATACATCGTACATAACTGTTATGTTTCATATAGCAAATAAAACAGAAATTAATAAATATACATGTATGGGAACTTTCTGTTTGGTATTTACATGGCCAAAGCTTCCGATACTAGGGACTTGAACTGGTGTTACATTTGCATGTTAAGCTTAGTGGTAGGAGTAAATGAAGCGGAACTGAACTGGGTTGATCATCGGCGACTAGGCAACTCAATTGGTAGAGTATTTTTCCGTTCCTATTACATGTACATATAATTTAATCAGGGTGATCATATTGTGGGGAAACTGGTTGCTCATCTAAGTGTTTATTTTACTGTTATCCTTGTGTATCCCTTTATCGCCATCCTAGCTAGTACATGTGTAAACAAGAGGCCCAGAGGGCCTGTATTGCTCACCTGGCTATCAAAAGTAATCATGGCAAAATATTCTCCAAATAAGATCAAAGGGAATGGGCCAGACCCCAAGGCCAATCCTTGTATCATATCTGTATTAGATTTTTCATACCCAGCAATTTTATGTATGGTTATGGGGTGGGGATCTCAACTGTTTCCAAGGTGTGACTCAGAAATTAGGTCCCTAGGGTTGTGGCCAGACCCTAGGATCAGTAATAATATCATGACTGCATTAGTCTCTTAATGCCCAGCATTTGTATACATAGTTTTGGGGTGGGGATCTCAACCGTTTCAAAGTTATGACTCAGGGACTTAATTTCTGACTATGTCTTCAAGGGTGGGGACAGACCCCTTGGCAATCCTGGAAGCCTATGTGCATTCTTCTCTTCATACTCAGCAATTGTATATATGGTAATAGGGTGGGGATCTCAACCATTTCCAAACAATAAACTATTTTTGGCCCCACCCTTTAGCCAAGGGGGTCAGCCCCACTACTTGTACAATTTTAATCCCTGCCTCCCATGAATGCTTCCAACCAAATATGATTGATATCCAGTGCATAGTTCCACAGAAGTCATTTATAGCAATATAGCCAAATTGACCCCTTTTGGCCATGCCCCTCCGCCCCCTGGGGGTCAGCTGCACCATTTGTACAATTATGAATCCCCACTACCTAGGGATGCTTCCAACCAAATATGGTTTATATACATCTCTTAGTTCCAGAGGAAAAGTTGCTTAAAGCAATATAGCCAAATAACCCTTTTTGGCCCTGCCCCTCAGCCCCACCATTTGTACAACTTTGAATCCCCGCCACCCATGAATGCTTCTGACCAAATATGATTGATATCCATTGCACAGTTCTACAGAAGAAGTCGTTTATAGCAATATAGCCAAATTGTCCCCTTTTGACCCCACCCCTCAGCCCCCTGGGAGGTTAACCCTACCATTTGTACAATTTTGAATCTCCACCACCTAGGGATGCTTCCAGTCAAATTTAGTTAAATTCTAATCAGTGGTTAAGGAGAAGAATTCATTTGAAGAAATTGTTGACGTACAGATGACGGACTAACAACACGGTATGGCATAAGTTCACCTTGGTCCTTTGGACCAGGTGAGCTAATAAAAGTGCAGTACACGATTCTATCAGCATATGTAGCGGCTATCACTGGTGCATTTGTTTACATCGGTCTTTATTTTTGAGACAAACAGATTTGGTGAGTAGCTGGAAGAGGTTCCGAGCTGAATGCACATATGCCATAGATTTGACCATTCAGAATGGGTGTGTGGTGCAGGTTACGTACGGTCTGGAGGCTGGGGTGTAAAATGAGATGCACAGAGATGATCAGTGACTTGCATGACCAGAAATTAAAGCTGGCTATACTTCTCCAACCAGGCACTGAGCAGCAGTTCTACCCAGTGTACTGACAGCAGTACAACCATGTTAGGATAAGCTCAAGGCTTGTTAGCTTAATGTAGGTCAGTGTGCTTGGAAGGGGTTGATTATCATTAAATAGTTAAAGGTACCTACAGGCCTAGCCCGAGTTTCCTCTGGCCCCGACACCAGACTTAGACATATGTCTGGTGTGGGGCCAGAGCGCACTGCTATATGAAAACATGGAATTCTCCGACAGCGTTTGGTATCCGAGAGTTGTTCAAAATTTCCATTCTGAGCGAACACCATTTTTGTAGGTCTTGGGGAGACTAATTAACAAACCGTACTGATCCGGAATATATAATTGTTTAGAAGATTTCCGGACCGCTCTTTTTGTTGATTAGTCACTCCCCGATACCAGGGGTATCGGAGAATTCCATGTTTTCATATAGCAGTGTGCTCTGGCCCCACACCAGACATCTATCTGTCAAAATGTCTAAGTCTGGTGTCGGGGCCAGAGGAAACTCGGGCTACTACAGGCCTAATTTTGGGGGCTAATATATAGGTTTACTGAACTTCACCTTTTCCTTTACAATGTTTAAAACGGCTACTTAGCCGTGTGATATCAAATAGACATAAGTACACTTTGAACAAGGTGTTGATTGGTTTATGACTCAGATACCCCTCCACATCTGACAGAGCTGTGTCCGACTGTACACCGACACACTGTGACAGCAGTAGATCCTTAGGGATTGCGACAGGTCAGTTTGTCCACAGGTGTCTAAAATTCTGTCAAATACTTTTAAGCAAATTATAGATATTTTTTTGTATTAATTACTGTTATTATTATTTTTTGACAGAACCTCAGGCTCCTGAGCTTATTTCACATATAACAGCTCTAAATAAAACATGGTAACTAAACAGGCGACCGATGGTAATTTTGACCACTAAATTTTAGCGGACTACAGTAGGCCTAGTATTAGACCGAAAAGCACGGCACAGAAGGACGGTACTGTGAACTGCAGCGCAGTTCTAGGATATAGCACCTTCGAAACCCCTATTTCCACGTCTAACAAACCTGTGTCATTGTAACTCCTGTTATGGACCCATAACTTCAATGTCCTCATCGTCGATTCGACTCAAACAGTAACGTATTCTAAGCTCATTTTTAGTTTTGGACGTGAACTTTGCAGAGTTGCAGACAAACTCGCATCATTTTTTACAGCTGACTGAAAGTTTTCTCTAGCACTCTTACATGGATTTTGATTGGACAAGATATATGTGTAAAAAGTTTTCATTGGATGATATACATAAAATGTCAGAATCAGCATTATGCTTGTCATAGATCTTTCGAATATACTGATTGGAACAAGCATTTTATTAACACGGAAGGGAATCAAAACCACTAGACCCCAATCAATGGAAATGAGGAACCCTTGAAAATTCTAGCAAACAAAAGCGACAATGATGCCAATCGCAGGTTAATTTATTTTAACAAATCATTTCTAGGGAAATTTTAGACGCCTAGGCATCTTGTTAGTGGTGTCCTATGGAAGAATGTCCTATATCTGTGACAAAATAGAACTCGGTTTCAACGATACATTTACATGTGCCTGTGTGAGTCTTTGCTGCGTATCATCGATTGCGATATATTTTAAGGACGAACGTTAGTGTCACAGTAACAGTAAATTTTTTTGATTGTAATTAAATTATTCATAATAATATTATGAGCATATATAGAATCATCTTGATTGGAGTGTAAATCAAATTAATTTTGTCATAGTTAGTAGATAGTCAGATAGTATCGTATATACATGCTTTTATTAGGACTAGGAACTTTATATAGCCCTTAGCTGAAGGATCACGGACTTTACCTTTGTAGATAGGAAATAGGTCAGAGGAAATAACCTTAGGTTTTTCCCAGTCAATTGTGTTACTGCCTAATCAGCATACCTCTGGTATTTCCCTCTCCTGCTTGAACGAATAATGTCTTTTCTCTTATGAAGTGTTTCAGCTATAATATTGTTGGTTTAAATACCTGGTAACCCTGATGATATTGTTGTTATTTCAGATAACCAGATTCCACAACCGGAACAGCATCAAGTGGACTACAAACAAAAATACAAGGCGTTGAAGAAAAAGCTTAAGTTTCTTGTTTATGTAAGTGGTAATGTTATTGTAATTAAAGTCAATAAACTCATAATATACAGTAAAGATGATTCAAAAGGAAGATATCATGGTGACACAAAGTTTAAATCACCCAATAGATTAAATGACCAAGATGATTGTTTATTTGACTTTATGTGTTAATAATCAACTGAAAGCAGTGAAATTTCATTATAAACATTAGTGGATATGGACTGAATCCATCATCAATGACCAGATAGCTAATTTTGTCCAGTGTTTGTCAGAGGTTCATGGTTAAAGTCTAGGTGTGGTTGTTGCATTTTTTTAAAAATATTCTGTAATAAGTTGGTACACTTAACAAACTTGTTACAGTTAACGATGTGTAATAAAATCCCACCAACACTGTTGGGTTCATTCTTGAGTTTAATTCTGATGTCGTTTTAAAGAAAACACTATAAGTACAAACAAATGACACATTACACGCTCACTCAAACCTATCATTATAGTCTATTTAAATCAAGGGACATAACTCTTACATATACTATAACACACAAGTGCTATAACATATAAGATAGATACATCATATTTTATCATTTGTATTTGTTAAAATGAACTTCATATTATACTATTGTAAAAGGAAAGAGAATAGTTTGCTTCCACTGGGGATCAAATCCAGGTTCCTAGTCGGACGCTCTACCACTGAGCTAAAAGGAAATTCCTCTAGCTTGAAGCTAGAAGGCGACCGTAATCCCATGTACAATTGAAATCTGTCGCACTATCCAATCTGCAGTTCAATTTGCAATTGACATGCATGGAATTGCATTACATAAACATAAATAAATATTTTCCTGTTACATACTTGTACAAATAACCCTGAAATTATGACAGCCTTCATTGTGCTAGGAAAATCATGTGGCCTTGTTACTTTCATGGTGTTTCTATTTTTTTATTTTTTTTTCAGGAGCAAGAATGCTTCCTGGAGGAGTTAAGAAAAGCACAGAGGAAATTGTTAAAGATATCTAGAGACAGAAGGTAGTAATTTCCATACATTGTGGATAAAAGAAACAGATAATTCTCAGTTCAATTTGAAAGCATGTAGTGAGCTTCAGCTGGGTTCAAAAATAAATACTGCATTTATTAATGTATTTTTTTTAGAGGCAAATGCAAATGCAATTTTATGATTCATTCTTCCAATTTGATAGATGTGTTTGTTGGAGATGTAATGATGTTCGCAGAGTTAAATTCTGTATATTGGGAATGTTGACAAAAAAAATTCATTGATATATATTGGTATGGAGTATAGGAAAATTCAGCCAATAATCTGTGGCTGTTTTGACCCAGGGAAGATGAATGTCAGTGTTTCAGTGCAGTGGGTGGTTTCAGTTGTGTGGTTGTTACGGTCTCTGATAAGAGTGTAGGTATGAATTAGAGTAAAATCTTAGACTTGGTATATCATCCATTGTTTTAGTATCAAAACTGTGTTTCTTGCTTATCCTTTCAAGGCTAGGGAAATTTAACTTTTCCATGAAGTATATTATCAATGCCAGACTCCATTGTATGAGTTATAAATTCATTGTGACATCACAATTATGACCACACAGCTAGTGGATTCATTTATCTCGCACTACATTCTTAATTGGATTACTCTGTATCAAATATTTATATATGTTGTCTTAGATACCAGGCTTTGACGATCTATGTTTGTTGTAGCTTTCTGTTGGATAGACTCTTGCAACATGAGAAAATAGACGAATCTTCAGGGGATTCCGATGCTACTGCTTCCAGTGACAGTGAAGCAGAAGGTCAAAGTTCAAGAAAGTAAGCAGAAAGTGTACTGCTTATTCAGATTCACATACAGTTTAAACCCACTTGTATCATAATCGGATGTGTTAAAAACCTTTGTAACCTGGAATTTGAATTGTTTTGTCATATGAACTATGGATGTTTAACAGATGTGTATGAGGAGTCAACCTTGCAGAATAAAAATGAAACATTTGAAGAAAGATGATAATACATAGAGTGGTAAACATGTTGAAACCATAATTATGTTAATGTCAGATGTTTCAGTTGGCTGATATTGTTGTATATTCTATACGACTATAGTATATAAGTGTATTGAGTCAGAGTGTTATTTATTTATTAACCCAAGAATTTATCTTTAATGGTTATTGTTAGCTGTGTTTCATCCTGTAGTCCTTAACAATTATTCTTATATTACATTATATAATATATTTCGATAATTGAGACTATCGGTATGCATATCAATCCATATATATCTCAAAATGTAAAAATATTCATCAAAGAAACAGATATGAAGAAATGAAAAAGTGTTTTTACTTTTATTCATTTTGTGTAATTTGATGTTGTAGAAGGAAAGCTGGTCTGAGTCCAGGTCAGATTGCCCAGTATGGTGGAGACCCTGCAGCCATATTGGGGAGCCTTGGGGCAACTGGAACTCCTTCTGGTGCATCTAGTCTGCTGGTATGCTATTAGTCTTAATGGTCATCATTATAATGTTTCAAAAGTATAGTGCTATAGTAATAGATATTACCTCAAAAGTGTGAATGCTTTAAATTGTTTTTAACCTCACCTGGTCCAAGGACCAGTGAGTTTATGCCATGGTGCATTTGTCAATACACGTGTACTTTCCTTTAAAACCTCTGTATGACTGATAGTATTTCATCAAAAGTTACTGTAATGCATTCTTTGGACCATAGAATTGAACTTGTAAAGGACAGGCATTGCTCCACATTGGGGCAGGAACCAATAGGGGGAAGTTTGCAGACTGAAGCTTTCAAAAACTGTTTTCCTTTAGAGCTTAATTGATTTTAACCAAAGTTTGCATTTGACACCAGTAGGACAAGTGACAGCTGTAACCCTCTATGGGTCAAAAAGAGGCACTTTAATCTTCAAAAGCTTACCTTTCCTAAAGTGTACAGACTGTTACTGTGCTTGGTCTGAAACATCACTGGATAAGGCTATCATGTGTTGTGAAGTTTGTGTGTTCTCTGGGGTTAGGGGCGAGGCTTAAAGTGTGTTTTTTTTCTTTTCTTTTTTTTCTCTCAATACATTTTTGCCTTGCCTGTGACAGATGTCGAGTAGGCGGGACTTAGGTGTTACTTTTCCGGCGGCAGTGGCGTCAACATTAAGTGTTTGAGTTTAGCTCAGTTACTCAAAAAGTATAAGTGCTAGACCAACCAAACTTGGACTATAGATGCGTCTTATATACTTCATCTCAATCCATGTATCATATGCTGAACGTGTGCTATATTTCACGGTCCAGTGACTTTCAAAGCATCTATCTGTGTGTTTCATGCTGTATCTCAAAAAGTTAAAATGTTGGACTAAATAAACTTGGACTGTAGTTGTTTTAGACCTAGTGCATTTCAAACCATGCATCATATGCTGAATGTGTGCCCTATATTTCGCGACATCGACATGAAAATTCCGAACTTTGGGTCGAACTAACAATGCATCACACATTGAATGTTATGATCAAAGCGGGGACAGGCGTTACTTTTAAATACGTGTAATTCTTGTTTTGCTATTTGACTTGTGGCTTGTTGGAATGAATAGCTATCAAATGAATTATTTTTTAACTATAGAAGATCTGATTACCTAGCTAATGTGCTACAAAGACCAGAATACTACTTAAAATTCTAATTATATTACATATATAATCAAGTGAGCAATACAACCAAGTGGACCTCTTCTTTGTATTCTTCAAAGTTTAAAATCCTTTCCTCAGGAAAAACTTTTAAAACAAAGGAATCTTTTAAATATCCATAAAAATTGTTATTTGACATCTTTGTTATACATGTTCTTTACTGTGTACCATTTAACAGTAGTGTCATTATTTGTTGTGATAGGTAGCAGCTGAACCTGCCAAGAAGAAGTCTAAATCAAGTGCTAAGAAAGGAGTGCTTTCTAAGGGAGGTAAGGCACTAAATGATACACACTGGATATTTACTGTACAATAGTAATTTGTTGCTTGACTTAAGCTCACACTATTCATATCAGTGGAGGAGTGATAATCTGTTATAATTTAATATTTGGTTTGTCTTTAACCTATTAAAGCTTAAAACTATAACCCTGATGATATGCATCTGTATAATAGCTACTTAATCCTACATACCTGGAACTGCAAGATCATGTATGGTATGTCAGGGAGCACTGGAAAGTCTGTCTACAAGAAAACCTGAGTCAATATAATTGTACATGATCAGTCTGTAATTTGAGTATATACTTCACCAACACATTACCCACATTTGAGGCATGAACCCTGTACATGGTACTTCAAAATGAATTATACATCGTAGCCTGGGTAGTTTCAGCTGTACTCATGACACATACAACTTTATTTTCTTAGTGTTAGATAGGTCGAAGTGAAGGTCACTGTGACTCTCTGGATCATAACTAGTGCATATGATCAACTTTCTGTTTAAGCTTTCCTTGAACACTACACATGCTAGGGTCAATAACCTGAAATCAGTTGCCAGCAGGCATAGATTGCTTTTGATTTGACAAATGTTTATTTCTTTGTTGTTAAAGGTAAGGTATCTCAAGGTAAAGAAAAAGTAGCAAGTCATATGACCAGGGAGGAGCTGGAGCGCCACCTAGAGTCACGACAGAATGTGTTTGGGATAGAAAAAGCCCCCATGATGTTGCCAATGGAAATCTTCAGTAATGATAACTCAAATCCAGACAGGTAAGAAAAAAACTGTCAATTCAAGAAAGGTCACTAACTATGTCCTTTCAAGACAGATTGGTAACAACTGCAATGCCATTACAGAGAATATTTTTTTGCTTGTTTAAGAAACGTATTCAACCCTGATAGCACAACTGTACTTATCTAAAATTTTAGCTCAATTGGCCCTTCTGTGATATGGCACAGCATCTGTCGCCAGCTTTTCCTTTAAATCCTACTAGTCCAGAAAGGCTATAAGGAGGTTTGACTCAATTTGATTTGGAACATTCTTGGGCAAGGGAGACTTAACTTTGTATAAAACAAAGGGTGTGTCCCCTTTGGGTCAGTTCTTAAATATAAGTAGTTGCAATAGTTGGACATTTTTGCTTCCAGATCCTAACTTCCTAAACAAGAAAATATTTGGTTTGAAGTTTCATATGAATGAGGGATGTTTTGTGTGTACAGCTATACCATATATGTAAACAATGTAAGATCCCCAAATATATAACCAAATACACATATAGTAGGCAAAATAATTTATGCTCCCAGGATTAGTCCTGGGGTCAAGCGCAATCACAGGGATTTAATCTGAACTGAAAAGTTGTCAGTGTTATAGTTAAAAATGAATCCTTGGTTTTGATACTACAATGTACAAGACTTGTTTACTTTATTGGTTTGTAGTGAATCTGCTCTGGAAAATCTGAAAGAGGAAGATGAGTGTGACCTTCTTGTTGATTCTGGACAGTGAAGAGTCCTGGACACATACAGATGGTATATCGGGTACATTACCACAGGAGTACATTACTGTGGTAATGTAAAGTAACTTGCGGATGAACAAGTGACGGGGCCAGACAAATTTACAAACACGACTCAGAATCTCAGGGGGAACTGCTAGAACTAGGGTTTTCACGCCAGAGGTATTTTTGTGTTTTTCTGTGAATTTGCTAAAGCAAGGAACATTTCTAAAACATATCATACAATATACCTATCAATATCGAAGCTTATACTAAAATACAGCACAAAAAGATATTGATGTAGAGTGAAATATAGCAATATTGTGTCTTCATAATAAAGTAAGAAGATACTTCTGTGATCTAATGAACACAATGCGCCTTATGGAATTGCATTGTTTTGAAGACCAACCCCAATGGAACGGATTTATTGTGAATTTGCCAGCTATGTAATAAAACTATGCTGTTGGACATCTATTATTTACAATAAGCAAATTCTGGTTCTGTGCCTGATGTGACTTGTATTAAATCAGTACTAAACTGTATTTATACCTATTTTGGTGTTATATGTGTGTTAAGGTGCTGGACCACAAGATGTCATAGTATTTGATATTGTGCAGAAGTAAAAACGCTGTTAAAGTTGCATGGTCAACTCATAGGCATGTGAGATTTATGTTGTGAAATAGAAATGAAACAGCAAAATTGTAATATGCCCTTGATCACTGAGTGTGGAAAGTCTGCCAAATAAATAACAAAATTGATTCTCTTCTTTCAACAAAATGTACTACACTGTCTATTTGAGAAAGAGTTAAAAAGAAATTCTTTATATTGTACCAGATACTCATGTGAATACAACTTACCATTTAGTCCCGAGAGAATATTAGGAGCATATATACTAACAGGAAAAAATAGTTTCAACTATTCACTGGTAAAAATCCCATTTTCACAAAAATTTACCTATGAGTATATGCTGTTGTTTCTTTATATTATTGTTAGAGTACTTATTTTAGTGGTCACAGAAGTATTCTATCTGCAATAGAAAAATATAGAAACTTCAAATAGTGCAGTCATAATTTAGCACAATGTTTCAAGTGTGAAAAAAAGCACTAAGATTAGAATATGGCTAAAATATGTATGCTAACAGTATGTTGATTTTGTGATGGGGTACAGTTGAATTTGCATGGTTACTTCTCAAACACATTAATGCTCCACTTAGGTCAGGTTTTCACTTTGACATAGCAAGGTACAATTCTGTGGAACTATCTCTCAAATTTTCTGTCAAGTCACATACGATTTAGATGGATGCAACACGATAGCACCTGGCCAAGTAAATGAAATAACAAGAGTTGGAGTAATTTAATATTGTAAACTTCTACTCACTGAGTAGTTACTGAATAAATGTATACATAAAAATTAAATATATTTGTGTTTTTTTTTAAAGTGGGATTAAACAAGTGTCGGTGTGTATTTACCAACTCATAAATTTGAATCCTGGTCACGAAGCCATTAAAGAGGAATAAGAGTACCGCGGGGCGGAAACATTATACGCCAGTCGAATGCCATATAGTGTTATACACTTTCTTACATTGAAATAAGATCTGCATCATTCTAAGAGTGGTAAGCTGACATGCTATAAATAAGAGGCCCAAGAGGGCCTGTATTGCTCACCTAATATTTAAGCAGTCATAGCAAAATATTCTCATTAAATATTATATTGCACTAAAAATATTTCCCTCGCAAATTTTGTTTGCTCCATCTGTTGAAACTACCAGCAAAATATTATTATAAGATTCTATGCTTTTTGATTCTTCTTCAGAAGTCATGCTGTGAGCTTGTAAGTAGGTCAATGTCATTTTCCTTCTCAAATTGGTTAGCTCTATTCCAAAATGCTACCAGCCAAATCTTATGAATCCATTCCTTTTAGTTCTTGAGAACAAATCCTTTAAAATGTTGTTGACCTCTGTGACCTCTAAAGTAGGTTGAGATCATTTTCATTCGCAAACTTTGGTGAGCTCTATCCCAGGAAGTCACCAGACAAATATTATAATTTTTTGCCTTTTAATTCTTCAGGAGAAGTAGTTTGAACCGTTTGACATATTTGAACGCTGTGACCTTGAAAGTAAGTCAAGGTCATTTGCATTCACAAACTTTGTTTGGCTCTTTCCCAGGAAATAACCAGCCAAATATTCAGAAGAATCTTTTCTAAGCGTTAGACATATCTGACTCCTGTGACCTTGAAAGTAGGTCAAGGTCATTTACGTTCTCAAACTTTGTTGGGCTCCTACCAACAAAGCTTTCAGTTAAATATCATCACTTTAGGCCTGTCTGTTCTTCAGAAGAAGTTGTTTAAAGGAAAAGTTGACGGACGATGGACGCCGCACCATAACATAAGCTCACTTGCCCTTCGGGTAGGTAAGCTTAAACTGAAGAAGAAAATCTCTGGACAAAAAATCAAATACTGAAATGAACAAAGGGCAATAACTTTTGAAAAATTTGTAAGATCAAAATTCTTTTTAGGGAGACACAACTTCATATCATTATTATAATGTATACCAAGTTTCAAAGAGATCCGTTAAAAAATGTAGGAGGAGATTGCCAGACAAAAATCAAATACTGAAATAAACGACGGGCAATAGCTTTTGCAAAAATTGTTGAATCAAAATTCTTTTCAAGGAAACACAACAACATATAATGATTATTTAGCCTACTAAGTTTCAAAGAGATCCGTCAAAAATGTAGATCTCCGGACAAAAAATCAAATACTGAAATGAACAAAGGGCAATAACTTTAACAAAATTGTCAATCAAAATTCTTTTAAGGGAGACACAAGTTCATATCATGTTTATAATGTATACCAAGTTTCAAAGATCGGTCGAAAAATGTAGGAGGAGATTGCCGGACAAACAAAAGTTTGGTTGGAAATTTACCATTTTGAAGGAAATAAACTAAACACTCTTCAATTTTTTGAAACCCTCAGCACGCAACAAACAAATGTTTGTCATGCTTAAACCCTTTTTCATACCAGTGTTCATTTGTAGTAAGGATGTTTTGTTTGTCACATGTGAAGGCTCTCATTTCTGCATGCTAACTGTCCAAAAACACCATATTTAAGCTTTTTCTGCATATCAACACAATTTTGTTGCTATGGTAGGGTATCTACCCATGTGCATTGGAAAGTATGTGCACCAAGAAAGGTAGCCCCAATTAACCAAAATGATGCTTATAACAGAAAACGGTCAGTAAATTAAAGTTGAAATGTTTGCTTTTTATCTGGACGAAAATGGCCCATAACGCCCTAAATCCTAATTCACTACAAATCGATAAAGTAAACAAGTCTTGTACATTGTAGTATCAAAACCAAAGATCCTGGTTGAAATGTGGCTTCAGTTGTGTGCAGTAAGGTGTGTCATGTAAATGATTGTAGGAAAGTACGTAAAATGTGTGTTGTACCTATAATTATGTCAATATGAACCACTCATGAATAAAATGTGCTGATGAAAATCAGTTTGCAATTGTCAGTAACTAATATTTCATTTTTGTCTGAATGACATTGTACCTACTACTGCACCACAGTTTTGGTTGGCCAGAACAAAAGGAGAAAAATAGACATGCAAAAGTAATAAAGGTGAGCAGGGAAGGAGAAATGATTGTAAAGAAAAACAAATAATTTATGAGCAAAGTTTATTATCCAATGGCTCACAATAATCAAGTAATTAACTATGGGTTCAATAATTAAATAATATACTTGAGAGTACCTTTATCAATTACTATCAACAACTTAATAAACAATTTCAACATGTATACTCTTTTCCTCCATATTTTAGCCATATTTTAAAATTCATTAAGAAAAATGAAACGCATACCGTGATACGATCTGGAAGCTAAATACGAGAGATCCCTGAGGGATCTTGGCACCCACCATTGTACCATCTTTATTAGTTCTTTGTCAGCTTGATCTTTTCTCTTTTTTTCTCTAATCTATTTGATTGAGTGATGTTAACAGTAAATGCACCTTGAGGTAACTTTTGATCAAAACTTAATACTGCTGTGTATAAAAGACGACCTTCAAAGTGAGTGTCATTTCACATATTTACTAGTACAGTACTTAATGTGAAAGAAATAGAACCGATTATTGCAATGTGAGAAAGATCTGTTTAGTTATTCCTTCGGCCATTTTGTTGCACAACTACAGATAAAGGGGAACCTAAATGTCAAATTTGAGAGAGATCTCTTCAGTCCTTATTGAGAAACAGTGTTAACAAACCTTCACCGTCGAAATTCAAGATGGCTGCCTGTCGGCCATTTTGTTTATCTGATCAGTCTCAATAGTAAACCTGCACAATGAGGGACCAAGGGGACCTACATATCAAATTTGAGATAGATCCCTCCAGTGCTTCCTAAGAAATAGCGATAACAAACATTCACTGTCATAAATCCAAGATGGCTGTCTGTCGGCCATTTTGTTTTTCTGATCAGTCTCAAAAGAAAACATGAACAACAACAGACCAAGGGGAACCTACATGTCCAATTTGAGAAAGATCTCTTAAGTAAATATTGAGAAATAGCAATTACAAACCTTTAATGTCACAATTCAAGATGGTGGCCTGTCGGCCATTTTGTTTATCTGATCAGTTTCAATAGTAAACCTGCAAAACGAGGGACCAAGGGGACCTATAAAGCTACATATAAAATTTGAGATAGATCCCTCCAGTGCTTCCTAAGAAATAGTGATAACAAACCGTCACTGTCATAAATCCAAGACGGCTGCCTGTCAGCCATTTTGTTTTTCTGATCAGTCTCAAAAGTAAATATGCACAACTAGGGACCATAGGAAACCTACATATAAAATTTTAGAAAGATCCCTTTTGTACTCTCTGAGAAATAGCGATAACAAGAATTGTTCAAGGACGGACGACTGACGACGGACGACCACGGACGCAGGACGATTTGAATAGCTCACCATTAGATGATGGTGGGCTAAAAATACTGATTACTCCGGAAGGGCCCCATCGAGTACATGTCAAACCATATAATACCTGTTCAACAAACTACTGTATTATAGTTGTATCATATACGTTTTGGTATGTTTAAATAAATCATTCAGGAAGTAATTAAATTAAATTCATTAAATACATACAACTTACTGTTGATGAAAAGTCAATGTGATTAAAAGATTTAAATACATTTTTCCTAGACAGGATCAACAGAATGGAGTGGATTCCTGGAAATTACTTTAACTTGTATGTCTAACAAATTATGCAATTAACAAGAAAGTGCATTTGCAATTCCAATTACAATATATATAATAAATAATGATGCATTGGAAACGGTTTTCCTGAGTGACAATAGCTTCAATAAAAAAATCATTTCTGAAAAGAAACACAAACATTGCAGAACTTCTGTGGGTAAAATAGTATGAAATCAACAATAAACAGTATGGCCGGACTATGTTAACCCTTGAGTTCTCTTTAACCAACTGAGCTCCCTGATCAACGGTCAGACCATGGCACAGTCTTGCTTCAGTTATATAGAAAATTAGGGGGAAGTTACTGTATGTAAGAAAAACTAGAGTGGAATTCACAAGTGACAAGTGTTTTGCCTGCAGAGGAAAACATCATCAGCTCATTAATTTCATAAAAGTAAGTAATGAAGATATCAATTTATTACATTTGTATACCTTTTTCTGACAACTACAATCAAAGTCGAATATTTTCAGTTCAGATGCAGATGAGGTAACAGTAAAATAAGTGATTGTTTTGGTTTCATTTACAGTTCTTTATACACTATTTCTGTCATAGTAATTTTGCTGTGGTATTAGAAAATCATACATGTGCCAGCTGAAGTTTTTATTACAACTGCAAGCAATTCATTTTAACACAAAGCAAATCAACTGGAAGAACAAACAGATCTGTACAGGCCATCCTATCATAATCTGTTGTATATTGTATTTACAGTGCTCACACCTAAAATTGGACACTTTTAAGGGAATAGCACATTAAATAATTAACCTTATATTTGAAATCGGTGGCACTTAAAACAAATGTCCTGAAGACGCCCATTGTAATTTTTAAAAAAACCTAGGCAAAAGCAATAAAAAAAAATGTATTGCTTGGACAAAACTAAAACCATGAGTAAAGAACTGGAGATCAACTTCTGCTACAGTAAATAGAAATATTTGTGAGATGTATTTTAAACACAATCAGGCTGTTTCTTTGATGATGTATAAAGTTTAATATTATTTAGATTTGATAACACGACAGCATGAACATTGTAAGGATTTAGCTAAACATACTGGATTGTTGTGTTACTTAACTCATATAGTGTCTGTAGTAAACATTTTATGAAATATTCTTTTTAAATCTGAATAGCAATGATGTGATAGTTTCTATGTAAACTTTGGTCTTCATGCTATATATCAGTAGTGTGAATTAGCTGTGCACAATGGTTAATCCAGCCCAATCAACTGACATTAAAAATATTTCACTAATAAAAAGTGCAGGGACCATTGGCCATTTTGCACATTTTAACTTAAAAACAAACATTAACGAGTTTGTTATTGACATTAAAGATATGATTGACTTAAATTACAGAAAAATAACACTTTTACATGACACAGTCTTTATTTCTATTTTTACTGAGATATATGTTAAGGTGAGGTAACAAAGAGATCTATGAAAAATGAATGGAACTTGAGTCTGTCTGTATACAATTTAGTCTGTCTATACAAATGCCTTATGTTTTTGTAAAATACATATTGTTTATTTTCCCTATGGTTTTGTAGTTTATTATCAATAGCATTTATTGGATCACAGGATATCAAAGACATATGAATTAATTTGAATTATATATATGACAAACATATCAAAACATACAAAAATATGTTTTACAATGAACGAGAACATGAAGATGATATGAACATAAAAGTGTTGATGCATTGTAGGTGTCTTAAATATTCCATGATCCATAGTCAATAACTGATATAATAAACAAATATACAATTAATGGTATAAATATATGAATTTATAACAACACAATGGAAGATTTTATAATGGATGGTACAACATGGTTTATCAGCATGGTTTTTGCCGTTTTGCCTCTGGCTCCCCACAGGCATCTCCCTTATTGACTATAGACATTGGTTGCACTATCTGTGATCCATTATAATTGTCAAGAACTTTGAATGTGTTTTCCACAGGAGTGAGTGTTACTTCAGAGGGGTATTCTATACACACAACAAGAGGGTTGTTTTTGGGGTCTGTTTTTCCCTCTGATTCCTCTGCCTGTGTCACACAGTAGGAGTACCCTTCCCCACCAAGCTGAAAGCTCAGGTTTCCTTGTTGGGTGCTATCTAAATTTGATAAAATGCTGTCCTGGAGGGCTTTATTGACATCACTTTGACTAACTTGTATCGTAGAATCCTCCACATTCTCCTGTAGAGATGATTCCTCGCCCGTGTCCATCAAAACTGTGGGACTATCTGCTTCGTTGTCCGGATCTGAGTCACCCGGTTTGGAGGGGTCATCAAGTTCATCTGGTGCTGGATCCGAGTCTTGTTCCTGGTTACACTCAATGATGTAGCGTTGAATGTTGCAGTTAGACTTGGGCGAGGTTTTGACCTGCCCATCCATTACAACATTGGGCAACAATGTCTGTGGCTTGTACTCCCGCTTGATGACAAGGAGCTGTTGGTGGAGTAGGTCCCTGTGCTGAGTCTCCATGTTCTTTAATAGGGTCTCAATGTTACGGTCCAGTGGAACGCTGACCTGCTCAAGGAGCTCTTCCTCACGCTTCTGGTAGGATAGTACCTCCTTTTCAAAGGACTCCACCTAAAAATATACACCAACTCCACGGTCAAACTACAATACATACCAATTGTCGAAAAAAAAACGTACTTCAATTGTATTCCATTGACAAAAAATAAAATTAATATTCATATATAAATATCAACTCCACAGTCAAACTATCAACATAAACCACATCCATGGTCAAACAAAACTGATCATATAAATGCATACTAGTGATGGGCAATCAGTTTAAAATCACAACCAGTTTATTAGTATGCATGTATATGAGAAAGAACGCCCAAATAAAGTGACAACACTACAATGTATTTTCACATCAATAGACAGAGTAAGTAAATAAAGTCTGTACATTAGGTTTCCTTTTTTATGATGAATGCATTACAAAAAACTTTAAGATAGTTTTGATTTTTGTTTAAATGAAATCAAATGATTTTCAATACAAGTTTACATTGTATACATTTGACACTCAAGTTCAATAAAATGTACCGATTATGAAAGGGACTATTTCCAGCTTTGTTAAATTTACATAGGAGCCTGCCCCCTCATAACTTTTGTTTCAGAAGTACTACGAGATTTATGCTGTTGTTTTAACTGTTTTCAATCCTTTTATCTGATGCTATTACTTTGAATCACTCTACTAATTTTTTAGATGATTAATTAACCTTACTACAGCATAGGGGTCGAAAAACGGAATATCAGCCTGAAAGTATTTTTCTGGAGAAAACAAAATCGTATTTTTTGCATCGTAATACTTAGGAAAGAACATTTTCTTTCATGTAGTGCTTTAATGATATTTTATCATCTAGAATATGAGTTTAATCAATCATTTTGTAGAATATGAGTTTAATCAATCATTTTGTAGAATGTGAGTTTAATCAAACATTTTTTGAAAATTTTAATGTAAAATATAGGATTTTTCATTCTTATAATTCTTGTATACCAAAAATTTTCATAGTATAAAGAAGTGGTGTTGTTTCAAATACATATGCAAAATTTCTGTCTTAAAAAGTGGTGGAAAGTATTCATTTCGCACAACAAAGTACCCTATGTACCCAAAAAGGTGAGGGCATAAGACACCTCCCTGGCGTCCACCAAAAGCAATGTACCTGATTACAGGCAATTGGTAATGAAATTCATTGCAAGTCTTCAATAAACCTTTCAGTGCATGTTAGTTCACAACAAATTCCAAATTCTTTTTGAGAATTTCAGTTTTATGCTTCTACGAAAAACGAACCAAGTGCTCATTTGAATTTTTATGGATGTTTTTGTTGTGATAAGGTTTAGGTCTTCACCTCACCAAAGGAAAATTGAAACCAAAGGAGAGGGAAAGTTGGAAACCCCCCCTTTGTAATTGATAATCCAAAACGGAAATAATCGATCATCAGCCCATAACTAGTGCAGACCCAATCCTTATATATGTCCAATGATCAGTAAGTTCATGTTAACTACCTACTGGTAAGTATGATTAAAATATTGTTGTTTCATTAAAAAAGTTAATTACTACACGGATAGACAAAACACAAACATATATTGATATCTATAACACCAATCTCTATGTTATCTATAACACCTTTACCAAGCGGAATGGCTCTCTCTTACCTGTGACTTGAGAGAGAGAATTTCAGTTCTCAGTATGCGTTCTGTTTCATCCTTTTCTGCCTCCAGCTGTTGGTATTTCTGCTGCAACTCCTCCAGTTTGTTGGCTGCGTTTTGGTGATTAGACTGCTCCTTTTCCTCAACCATCCTCACATCCTACAATATCCACAAACAAACTGTAGATCAGCAGCAATGTAATGCTTACTATAAGCTGTAAAATACCCTTGTATAGAGTCAATTGATGGGAACCAAACGTTGATCTGTGGAAACAACTATGAATCATACACCGCTTCATCTTCATATAAACAAAAGCTCAGTAGGTCAAGTGTCCCTCAGTGTCACTGTGGGCATACAGTTCAACAAGAACATTTTGTCTTAATCTACCAGTAATTATGTGGTTTGAAGGTTTGTTCTAATAGGTGACCCCTTGCTGAACTCCCACCTAATTTTGGGGTGACAGTCCCTTTTTAGGTCTAGATTCTGATCATCATCATCTATGAATAATTTTGTGAAATGTTGGTAAAAATTACCATGTAAAATTTCTAAATTTTGGACTTCTGGCTTCAGTGAGAATCGTTTAAAGCAAAAGCGTGGATGAGGGACAGTCGGACAGACACTGTGATAACTATACAGCACCTTCATCTCTGATGTGAGGTCCTAGATATGAATCTTGTGTCAAGAAATAGGAGTTAATTTTTATAAACTCCTCTTTAATACCTTGCTGGTGATGATCTTGTGTAAATGGAGTTTATGTTTTATAGAGATTTTTAGAGTTACCTCACTGGTGATGATCTGTGTGGTGTAGGTACTACTGTTGTTTTCCAATGGTTCCTCCTGTATGATCATAATGTGATGTGTCTGGCCGTCTGAACTGTCCACAGTCTCGTTGGCAGCCACGGACACATGGACAGAGCCCTCTGGTACCTTACCATTGGGTACAGTCACCTGGTGGGACTGGCTCATCAAACCTGTACAATAATTCAATCATTTGTCCAGTTAGTACTTTGAAACCTTCAATTGAGGTTGGTATAGATTTAGCATTCTATTAAAGTTCAACATAACCAAAAGTCTTTTTTTTATTGTTTTACTGTAAGGGTTGTGTGTATAAATATCTGAGTTGTGTACAACCTACCATACTTCTATACCAGACTTGGTGACATCACAGCCTCTGTAATGGTTGTGTGTGTATAAATATCTGAGTTGTGTACAACCTACCTTTAATACTTCTATACCAGACTTGGTGACATCACAGCCTCTGTAAGGGTTGTGGGTATAAATATCTGAGTTGTGTACAACCTACCTTACTACTATACCAGACTTGGTGACATCACAGCCTCTGTAACTTAGTGTAAGGGTTTTGTGTGTGTATATGAGAGTTGTGTATAACCAACCTTGTTCCTGTGCCAGACTTGAGGACATCACGGCCTCTGTCAGGGCCGGGTGTATAGATATGCCTCCCTGGTCTATAGTTGCTGTACTGTCACAATAGCCAGAACTAGGATTGTTCACTTCCTGGAATAAAGAGGTAAAGAACAACTTAAGGAATAAGTTTGTTTAGCAAGGCAAAGAAAGTATTGCAAGCATTCCATAGACCCCATCTCAAGGCAAGCTAAGGCAGCAACAAGAGTACCGCGGGGCGGAACAATATACGCCCGTCGAATGCCATATAATGTTATATACTTTCTTACATTGAAATAAGATCTGCATCATTTTAAAAGTGGTTACTAAAAAATGTAGAAGAAAATCTCTGAACAAAAAACAAATACTGAAATGAACAAAGGGGCAATAACCTTTGCAAAAATTGTTGAATCAAAATTCTTTTAAGGGAGACACAAATTCATATCATGATGATAATGTATACTAAGTTTCAAAGAGATCCGTTGAAAAATGTAGGAGGAGATTGCCGGACAAAAACAAATACTGAAATAAACAAAGGGCAATAACTTTTGCAAAAATTGTTGAATCAAAATTCTTTTCAAGGAAACACAACAACATATCATGATTATTTAGCCTACAAAAAATCAAATACTGAAATGAACAAAGAGCAATAACTTTTGGAAAAATTGTCGAATCAAAATTCTTTTAACATAACTTCATATCATGATTATAATGTATACCAAGTTTCAAAGAGATCGGTTGAAAAATGTAGGAGGAGATTGCCGCACAAACGAAAGTTTACGCCGGCCGGACAACCCCATACCATAATACTTCCGTCAAATTTGACAGGCGTATACAAATGAACAAAGGGCCATAAGTCAGTATGTGGCCCTTCATCATCCGAAGAGGTACTGGTTACCAACCAACTCTTGCCAAGTACCAATTCCCACCATGACCTTTGTATGATGCTAAAGTATACACAGAATGTTTACCAATCAGAATCTAATGTGTTTTACAGTAATAGGTAAATATCCATGCCTAGCTATAATTGATACTTGGCAAGATATGGGCAGATGAGGAACTCACGTACAAAATTTGACAATGGTAATATGAAATACATAGATCTAACAGAAGTGATGGACATTGAGAAAAGGGCAATAACTCTTGTACTGACTGGAGCACCTGTATCATACACACCTGTTCACCTGTAACAAACAATCACAGCTGTTTTACCTGTATTTCATCCACACCTGTTCTACTTTTATTTCATACACACCTGCGCAACCTGTATCTGAAAGGTTGTCTGTGGGTTTCGGAAGTGGGTTTTGTAGTGTTTGATAGCCTCGTCTCTCCTGTTGAACCCATTTCTACACCTATAGCAATGCCAGTGTGCTCCTTTGAACTTCTTCTCTCCTTTGATCACACCAACAATGTCACAGTGATCACAACACCGTAGAATCTTTAGACCTATTAAATACAAAATTTACAGGTATTTCATTACACTCCTTTCATTAAAACTAAGGAGACATTTTCGACATTTTTTTAGGTATATGTGTACAAGGAGTTATTTACAGTAGCTGTTGAAATCAGAATGAAATAGTTTTAAGAAAATGCTGATCAACACACTATAGTGCTAACATTTTATTTTTTCATGGCCGTAACATGTTTGATTGATTTCCTGTTAAGAATTACCTGTAATTTGAAATAATATGAAAATACATTTACCAGCAAAGTCTATGCCTTTGTCAACATGTTTAACCCTGTAATGAGCCTTCAGTATTACTGGATCCTGGTAGATGTCCGACTTTATACAAAATGGACAGTGCATATGTGCACTCTTGTTAGAACACAGCTGGTCATAGCAGGGAGCAGGGTTATAGTTGTTCTCTGTTCCTTTAATTCTGACACTTGGATGAGTCTACAAATTTAAGACATAATAAATGAAATGCATTTAAGCTTTGACTTCATGTTGATGGTGTAAAGTTTTAATGATATCATATTTTAAATAATTGAATACAAGTTTTACTATCACACTGATTAATCATATAATATATAATACAGTCCTGTGCACTGCTGTATACACTTAAAAAGTTAAATCACACTACTGGCACTATACTAGAAAACCTTTCCCCTTCCATTTTCCTCCTATAATTAAAAGTTTAATTTCACATTTTAGGACTTGTTAAGTTATATCTCTCCAATGTCTCTTCTGAAATGGCATTGCAATGATTACTTTCCATGTTGTTTTATATTATTTTTTTACAATTCATACCTAATTTTACTACCAGAAACACACACAAAAAATATGATAACATTTACATTTCAAGTTCAAAAAATCCTTTCTATATCACTAGTAATAATATGCGAAGTTGGAACGATTTCTTGTTTAATACCCTGATTTGAGAGGATCCAGTGCGTCCTAAGAACGATGTTAACTACCAACCTGTTATACAGGATTATTAGTGCTTGCGGTGTTATCGAATATTACCAATTAATTAATGAAAAACAGGATTTGTGCATACATTAAAAGAATAACAAACTGGCTAAAATACAATCATCACTCAAATAAACACATGTACAGTGTAAACAAATATCGTGTGCTAGCCGGATCATGCGTCAATCGCCTTATAAGCACTTCATAATGCACCGACATTTTGGTACGACCACTGAACTGGTTATTTTACGTTGTTAAGATACTTACCACAAACGTATTCATCATCACACGGTGCGATGCAATCTATAATTGCTTTATGCAAAAGTTTTTGAAGGGTTTACGCTGTAGTAAGTTGCATTTTGTTATTCCCTCGGTTCCTCCTTGTGCTCACGTCATTGAAATTTGCCTACATAGAAGCCTTGTAAGTACGTCACTTCCGTTCTTTACAGCGTTGCTTTGCAGGTCACGAAGAAGGACATCGGAAGGTTCTGCACCTTTTATGATGTAACTGCATTTAATTTGTTTAATAGAAATTTATATTAAGCTGATCTAACGTGCAAACTGTGTATGTATGTTTAGGTAAACTAATTTAAATTAAGGAGGTCGGTAGCACATAATATTGAAGAGTTATCCCCCTTCTGTAATCATTATATTAAGATTAGGTATTCCGGTACAGGATTTGAATAACCTTCTTCACTGGACTCAAAATCGTACAACATATAGTACATAATAATACTAATGATGTAAACAAAATGAACAATGTAATAAAAATAATATAGACAGTTAAGTTCCGTTAAATTTTGATTAAGGTTCATATTAAAAGTTTGGCTCTGTAATTATAAATCAGCTCTTGATTTTCCTAAAACTTGTCTAGTCTATTTTTAAAACAGTTTGTGTTTGGAGCAGATATCACAGATTGAGGTCAATATATGTCTCCGAACTCGAGATCTCTGATTCAGTAGTCTAACGACTACTGTGACGTTAATGTTCGTATCAAGATACATTTAATTCAGTATGCCACAAGCAGTACATGTTTTTGTATATTTGTGTTGTTGAAAATTTGGTAGATTCTCCTACGTTACGAGCGAATGGGCAGCTACACACCTGTATTTGTACTAAAGGTCACAATTGATAACTGATATTTTTCATAAAGGTGCATTTTTCAGAATTCATTGATAATTGACTTTTTAAGGATTTCTTGTCCTTTTTAAAATAACTTCTGGCTTCATGAAAAATGTGTCAGAAGAAAAAGTTTTAATTTCAACTGGAGCAGATCCATCAGTATTTTTCCACATTTATTTAAATAGATTAAATAGATATTGATGTTTTCATATTAATTATTTTTATTAAAATATGTCTTTTAAAATCTTATTGATGCAATAGAATTTTGTCAGAAATATGTAGATTTTATTTCAGTATGGATGAAATTCATCAGAAGTGGATGGAAAAGTCTTTTGATTATGCTGAAGATGCTCTTAAGAGTAAGGAAGTGCCTGTAGGCTGTATTCTTGTGTACAGAGGAGAGGAAGTCATAGGTGTTGGTAGGAATGAAGTGAATGAGACAAAGAATGCTTCACGACATGCAGAAATTGTTGCCATTGATCAGGTGTTGTCTTGGTGTGTCCATCGTGATATGAATCCCAAGGTGGTCTTCGGACAGAGTGTCCTTTATGTGACTGTGGAGCCGTGTGTGATGTGTGCCGGTGCGCTCAGACAAGTAGGGGTCCCCCTGGTGGTGTATGGATGTGCCAATGACAGATTTGGAGGATGTGGCTCAGTTCTGTCTGTCAATGAGGATGAGTTACCTACCCTTGGGCCCAGCTTTCAGTGTATCAGTGGAGTAATGGGAGACAAATCTGTCGTCATGTTGAAAGACTTTTACAAAGGGGAAAACAGCAATGCACCTGATGGCAAGCGAAAGATTAAAAACACAGATTAACGAAAGTAAAACGCTGTTTTAATTTTGTATGAGAGAAAAGCAGTCTTCCAGCAAGTTAGTTTTGAGATATATCGACTTTAGGGCACTTCTGTCTGTGTGAAAAAGCATAAATGCATTAAATAAGCTGTGCTGTATTGCTTTGTAGATTATGATTGCTGGAGCTCAGAAAACATTTGCAAAATGAAATGATGTGAAAATATTAAGGAAAAGTAACTCATTCTGCTGGAAACAAGGGTAACAGCTTGAACATGTACCCGGGAAATTGAATGTGTCTAACTTATTAACCATCTACTGGAAAGACTAGACGAGAAGGTAATTGTCCAAGCAAGAAATGCACATTACTTTGACTATTTGTGAATTTCCTGTTAATAATGTCATTTAAAAATTCATTTTACACATCTATAATTTTTTATAATTACTTTCATACATAGATTTCGGTATACACAAGATAATTATTATTTTTATTTTTTCCCTCTTTATCATGCTTAGGTGGAAGAAGGTCGCCTGGATTTAGGACAGTGGCACTATGTTCTAGTGTATGTACAGATGCTGCTTCCGGTAGACTGATGGTGCATGAGATTAACCTAAGGACTTTCCAAAACATCAAGGGAGGCAATTTTTTAGAACTGTGATATACTATTATATTTGAGGTGGAAATATTCTTTGACACCATGGCAACTAATATATTTCAAAGAAAACTTTCACAAATTGGGAGATCTGGACGATTGCGAAATATCTATACATCAACATTTTGTTTAAGGTCAAGGCAAAATATAATTGTTGTTAACATGAAAACCGTTCAAGGTCAAAGTTCCCATGATAACTCACAGGTGAGAGCCTACTGTTCCTCAACTGGGAGACAGAAGTTGGTGATCCTTGGGTCAGGGTGGGGCAGTTATGCTGTCCTTAAGTCCATAGACAAGAAAAAGTTTGATGTGGTAGTGGTGAGTCCACGTAACCATTTCCTGTTCACCCCACTGCTGGCAAGCACCACAGTCGGGACCTTGGAGTTCAGGTACAGTTCAACAATTAATTACTTCAAAAAGTATTTGAAGTAATGACCATAATAATCAGGAAAATAATTTGAATTAAGGATGCATGATCGCTTTTATATATTGACATTATAATACTCTCAGCTATGTTATAGCAATCACAGTTCATTTGAACCACCCCATTATTTTCAATGTAATTTAAGTCTGTGTTAGTTTATTCAAATTAATTCTGAAATTATTGATTTTAATACTGTATACCAGGAAATTTTCTATTTCTATTTTCTCCCAGTGTAAATTTCGCCCTTGACATAAAATTACCATGTATTTTATGTTGTCTATACCTATCTTCGCTGTAATAATAGATTTGTCCTTGTTAAAGAGGGTGATAAAAGCAAAAAATTAAACAGCGGTGAAAATATCCTGGTACACAGTAACACTTTGATGTAGAACAGTGTTGAAAGTTAACATCCAATGTAAATATCCAATAGTGATGACATTTTCATTGATTTAGCAACCTCTGAAGTTATTTATGTGTCATGTGTTGTCAGATCAATCATTGAGCCGGTGAGGAACACAGGATTCCGACAGACTGACCATTTCCATCTGTCGTATGCTCGGAGTTTGGACATGGAGAAGAAACAGATAACATGTGAGAGTGTTCTGAAATCCGACCTAACTTACAACCTTGATTATGACAAGCTTGTCATTGGCGTTGGAGCACTCAGCAACACATTCAATATACCTGGGGTCATAGAAAACTCTTTCTTCCTTAAGGTATACTTCTATCTTTATCCCTCTTTCTTTATACAGCAGCTCAATTTTTCAGGTAGAGTTGCCTTAGAAATATTGCCTTCCCTGTATTTTGTAATTACACGATACATTATGGTAGAGAGATCTATAGAAGACAGTGTTTTCCTGTCGGAAAATAATTATGAACTGTTGATGAAGTTGATACATTGTTACATGGACCTGCAAGAGTGATAATGACCGAGTATGAAGTCTGAGGTTGAATAATTTCTTTCAGTTCCGTATTATAACTTATTATTTATTATAACTTAATTTTTGTTATTTTAGCATCTGTTCTTTACTGATAGAACATCAGTTCTGCCTTCAAAACCATTTTGCTCCATTGCTCACAATAATGTAATAGCACAATGCATCAGGATTAGAAATTGTGAGTCTGTATCTTTTCTGTATTAAGAAACATGCAGTGACTTAAATATCATATTTTTGAAATTTTGCTATATTTTCTTTTAAAATTTATGAACTTAATTTTCTCTACATCTGTAAAATTTTCCCTTGGTTGAACTTATCATTGTGGTACTTGTTCAAATATATTGCATAATAAGTATGTTTTATTTCTTTTTAAAATAAGTCATGTTGATGTTTAAGCTTATTACTGTCTTATATATCATATTAACAAATCCACACAACTTTGTTTTATAAAGGAAGTTGCAGATGCCAGGAAGATACGTAACCAGATTCTATCTAACTTTGAGTTGTCAACACAGCCTGGAGTTAACTATGAAGAGGCGAAGCGTCTGTTACACTTCGTCATAGTGGGAGGTGGACCAACAGGAGTGGAGTTTGGAGCAGAGTTGTATGACTTTGTGGAACAGGTAACCAACAGACTACAGTTATTCCTGGAAAATTTGAATACATTATTTTCCAAACTGAATGTGACATATTTTCCCCCATTAATGACTAATAGTTTATATCCACTTGATAGCTATTTAGTTCCTGAAATAGTTACCCAAAACTCATTAGAATACATTAGCTTTCCTCAGATTAAAAAGGTAACACTGTATTTAGAACCCAGAGATGTCTTAAAAGCATGATTATCTACAAAAGTAATGAATACCATACCACTTCAGTCTTTTATCTAAATTCTAAAATACGTACATGTTATAGCAGTGCTGATTAACCTTTGTTAACAAAGGAGATTCAAAAGGAGTTTGTCCTAGAGATTCGTTATGAGTGAGTAGAAAAAGGAATAAGTTATTACCTTTTCAATTATGTAGGACGTATCTAGACTGTACAAACAGAAGCAATATGAGGTCAGGGTCACGCTCATTGAATCCAACCAGATCCTTGGTGCCTTTGATGAACGCCTCAGAAAGTATGCAGAAAAGAAGATCAGGGAGCGGAACAGGTTTACCCTGTTACAATCATCTGTAACAGGTAAGGTTCACTTAATCAAGGTAATGGCACCAGTTACACCTCTCGTCCAGTTTAATTTTATCTGGTTAAGTTAATGGCACCAGACCAGAACTGAACATCTTTGCCCTGTGGATCAAATCTGATGAACTCTCTCAATGAATTGTAAATAATTATAAATTTTAAAATTGAGAAGTGTCTGAATATTTAAAAATATGCTATTTTGGTATTTCTTGTTTTTGAATGGTAATTTTGACTCCATAAGTATAGATGTAGTTTTGAATTTAAGTACAGTGTATATAAAAAAAAGGTGATGAAACTAATATTAATTGGTCCATATTAACATTGTGTGTACAGTTTATGTTACAATTTTCATTTAAATAAGAAACTGCAGTTAAGTGTGTGAAATAAGTCGACACTTAGAAATATTTACATGGTATTTAAAAGATGTTTTTTACAGTTTATAAAATAATTATGAAATTCTATAATTTACAGAAGTAAAGTCAGACAGGGTAGTACTGACGGATGGCAGTACACTGCCTTGTGGTCTGGTGGTCTGGAGCACGGGTGTGGCTCCCAGACCTTTTGTTAAGTCCCTGGACGTCCCTAAAAATAAACAAGGACAGGTAGGTTAATCCAAACTTTAAAGTTTGTTATTGCTGAGCAGTTACAGTTAACTGATCTGTCCCAGGGTTTCTTTAGCTACACTGTACTCATTTCTATGATCTCCAGGTGACTAACACCAGGAAAAACATTTACCAGGTATATGTATGTACGTCTCAACTCAAATTACTTGCAGAAGGAGTTTAAATTCAAAAGATAAATCAATTATTGCATTACTTTTGAAATTACTAAGATATCTACAATAGTCCATATCTTTATCATTCAACTGAAAGAACATCATTATTCATATTTATTTTAGATTTTCTGACCACTACACCGCATAATGAATCGCATGAAACCCCCCACAAAACACACCGAATGTAATAAAGATAATGTTTATATATGGGACTGTTGGCTCACAAATCTTTCTGAAAAAATAATCTGACATAATATTCTTATGAAAACAATCACATTCTTGCTAAAGGTGTGTTCGTGGAAGATGATGAAAAGATATAAATTCATAATTTCATCACATAATCATGTGATGCAAATATGTTTTTTCCAATAATCTTGAAATGGAATAAGTTTCGTTTACTGAGACATACGGAGGGGATAGAAACGCATCCTGGGAGGGATTGGAAATTGAGGTTGAGGTTCCTTGTACTGCAGATGGTGTGTTTCAGAAATGTAAGAAAATTAATAATAAGATTGTTAATGAGGAATAAACAAGAGGATTTGTTGAGTCTGGTTGATTTAGATAAATTTGATTTTGATCTATAAAATAAGCATTTGTTACATTTTGATTCCAAACAGTATGATATGTTTCTGCTAGATACTGACAGACGAGTACCTGAATGTATTGGGTGATTCCACCAGGAGTGTGTTTGCCCTCGGGGACTGTGCCGATATAGAAACCATGCCCCTTCCATGTACTGCACAGGTAATCTCCAATATTGGTAGCTTAGTTAGAGTCATGTTGTCATATCGATTGCCTTTCCGATAACTTTGAACAACTGAATGTTGTTTTACAGAGTGGAAGACATTTATAGTTTTTAAAAAGTGCCACTTTCAACATTAGCTGTTCCAATAATCTGAAATAGTCAGACACTTAAAACAAGGTGCTATTTCATTGAAACATCTTATTTTTAAGAATTAGGTGAAGAAAATTGGGTCTTTTGAGTGACAAACCCTGTGAAAACATTCAATCTTGTTTGCTTAGTAGATAAATTATAGGTTTTGTAGGAGTGCAATGTTTTTTTAGTGTTAATGGAAGCCAATTTTTGAAGGTTGCTGAGAGGGAAGGAAGATACTTATCAGCACAGCTAGCTAAAGCTGATCCCACAACCGAGCCTTTCAAGTTCCAGAGCATGGGAATGTTGGCCTATATCGGTCGGTACCAAGCTCTGACTGATGTCCCACAGGTCAAGATGCAAGGTAGGATTCACATATTCACCACTTTAATGCTGAAAAAAATGAAGTTTAAAATACTGTTCTTTCTCGTCATTACCTCATGTGAGCTATTGCTTTCTGCTTTTGTCCGTTGTTTGTTAACCTTTTAACATTTCAATCTGAAATTCCAATTTTACCAAACCAGTTTACCAAAACTTTGTGGGTATAACCAGCACATAGTCCTGACCAATTCTCCTGAAGTGGTTTCGTCCAAACATTTTGGAACTGATTAGTGTTCTGGACAAGTTGATGTTATTTTGTGGCCAATTTGAAATCTATTATGGTTTAATACCATGGAAGGCTTCTTGAAAGACTATTTTGAACTTTCAGTATGATCATAATGGTGTAAACAAGATTGTTTAGGTGTTATGATATTAGTGGCTTTTAAAGTGTTAGCTCTTCATTACCGATTAGGTCATAAATCTTGTGTGAGCATGAAGGCCCACCCCTTTGGGCCTATTGTTTTACGATCTATTTTGATTGAAAGATTAAATATGTGTAAGGTGGCTTCAATGTTAGAGCTTTCTGGTGAGAATATTTATTTTTGTGATGATTCCAGGGTTTACCTCCTGGCTACTATGGCGGTCGGCCTATCTCACACGACTTGGAAGCTGGAGACTGAGGATGCAGGTACCACTGGATTGGTTAAAGACAATTCTGTATGGGCGCGATGTGTCTAGATTTGAGTGAGAACTTCTTATTGTGAAAAATTCATCAGGACTATTCTGTAAGGACGGGATGTGTCTGTGTTTGAGTAGAATGTCATCAGAACTATTCTGTCAGGACGGGAGGTGTCTGTGTTTGAGTAGAATGTCATCAGAAATATTCTGTCAGGACGGGATGTGTCTGTGTTTGCGTAGAATGTCATCAGAACTATTCTGTCAGGACGGGATGGGTCTGTGTTTGAGTAGAATGTCATCAGGACTATTCTGTCAGGACGGGATGTGTCTGTGTTTGGGTAGAATGTCATCAGGACTATTCTGTCAGGACGGGATGCGTGTGTGTTTGAGTAGAATGTCATCAGAACTATTCTGTAAGGACGGGATGTGTCTGTGTTTGAGTAGAATGTCATCAGGACTATTCTGTCAGGACGGGATGTGTGTGTGTTTGAGTAGAATGTCATCAGAACTATTCTGTCAGGACGGGATGTGTCTGTGTTTGAGTAGAATGTCATCAAAACTATTCTTTGTGGACATGGCATATCTCAGTTTGAGTGAGAACTGTAGGAATACATAATTATACTATACCCTCGCAACAAAGTTAGGGGGGGTATACTGGAATCACCCTGTCTGTCTGTCTGTCTGTCTGTCTGTCCACAGTAACTTGTCCTGAAAACTCCTCCTTAATTAACAGGTGGACTTCATTGAAACTTTGCATGAATGATCAGTATCTTATGTAGTTGTGCACTGGCATTTTACTTGTGGACTTCAACCCTTTTTGATGGTGTTATGACCCTTTTTGCGAAATACTACTCCATGCAACTCCTCCTTAACTAACAGGTGGAATTCATTGAAACTTTGCATGAATGATCAGTATTTTATGTAGTTGTGCACTGGCATTTTTGTGATTTTGACCCTTTTTGATGGAGTTATGTCCCTTTTTGCAAAATACTTGTCCGGAAAACTCCTCCTTAATTTACAGGTGGATTTCATTGAAACTTTGCAATGTATGTAGTTGTGCATCGGCATTTTAATTTGGGATTTGGACCCTTTTTGATGGAGTTATGCCCCTTTTTGTGAAATACTTGTCCGCACAACTCCTCCTTAACGAACAGGTGGATTTCATTGAAACTTTGCATGAATGATCAGTATCTTATGTAGTTGTGCACCGGCATTTTAATTTGGGATTTCAACTCTTTTCGGTGGAGTAATGCCCCTTTGTGCGAAACACTTGTCCATGCAACTCTTCCTAAACTAACAGGTGGATCGGTGCGAAATACTTGTTTAATTTTTTTGTTATTTCATTTTTTTGTTTTTAATAAAATAGTGATTAACTCATTACTGGTGGGAGTATATATAGCTTTACATTAGTAAGCCTTTAGATTACAGTTCTGGTTTATATAGGAGTGGGGGTATTAGTTAGCCTTTGACTTACAGTTCTTGGTATGTACTAGAATCATCCATAATTCTACTGAGAACATATTCAATGAATCCTCCTGATTTATTATCAGCTTGTTATGTTGACCATAACTTTTTACTTGGTAGCTATGATGACCAACTATATATATTAGTAAACATTTAATGGATAACCAATGTTTTTTGATAATTTGATTCAATCTTATTTCTAGGATATATTTTGATTCCGTTGGATTAGTTTTAGTGAATTCTTAATGTCTGAAATGTCCTTTTGATTATGAAGTTTTTCAGAGTTGTAAGAAACGAGTGCAGAGGTATACATACCTAATATGAATCTGTGATAGATTGATAATGATTGGTGGGTAACCCTCAGACTTAGTTAGAGACGGACCTATATCATGTGTTATTGTGATTGATAGTATGTGGTGATCAATTTGGTAGGTCAGGTGTAGTTTGAGCTACTGAACATTTCTGTTCTAAAATACATGTTTAATTTCTCAAGTTAGTTATGGATATTGTGATTTTTTTTTATTGACTTACAAAAACTGTTTGTTAGGTTTTGTGATGATCCATTGTCGTCCCTGCAGGTAGGGTGTAAGAATTGTACCTGCTGCCCCCATTGCATGATGGCAAAAGGAGACTAAATTTTGGGATCTTATCTTTTCTCTTCTTTCTGATTAACTTTCATCTTCCTAATGCCTCCCTTGACAATGCCTCACTTTTGGCCTTTAGTTGAGCATTCGCCCCTGTGAGGAAGGCTTTGGGTTCTGTCCCCTGATCGAGACATACCAGAGTCTGTAAAAATGGTAGTTTCTACTCCTGATGAACGCTCAGCAATTTAGGAGTGGGACGACTGGTTCACCCGTTATAATGTCAATATAATGTGACCTGGTGGGGTGTCCTGCTGGGTGTCTTCGGCAGTATGTTTCAGTGAGGTAGCACTATAAAGTTGGCATCAGTTCCGCACTATCACAAGGAGACAAACACGAACATATCGCAGCCTCCCAAAACACACATGGATGCATCTTGCACACAATCTCTGTGAAAGATTAATAGCAAACTTTTATCTTATTGTGTATCAAATTTTGCTGATCATGTAAGTAAGCTAGTCTATATCTTTTGGTTTGGTTTCTCAGTCTGAGAATGTGGATGTATTATCTAACCTATTTTAACGCTTCTTACTAGACTACTCAAGTGACTATTTTACCTTTACACTTGACTTGTTTATTATTATTGATAGTAAATCCACACACCTGCCTATGCATGCAGATATTTTTCCACAGTGAATGTGATTACTGATAATTATGGCCATCTTGTGAAACGAGATGAAGAGTGTACATGCTAGTGTCACGCAGACAATTCAGTAGTATAATAAGAGAAAGTTTGGGTTACTTGCTTGTTTGTATTCACTCAGTGATTACTTTGATACAGATCTATTCCTATACATACAAACTACGGGTTCTTCTTTCTTTAGGTTTTAACTTATCATACAAAATAGATATGCTGTAAACCAGTATGTGTGTTCCTCATCTGTTAGTGTCATCTAAGTTTTGTAAAAATTATATATTTTCTACCAATTTTTCAATAATTTATCATGTTAATAATGTTGGTACATACATATTATAATCTTAATTAAATTATACAATGTATATTGGATAAGAACCACTTGATAATGTCCAAGACTTTTCTATACTGGGATTTTTTTTCCATGATTAAAAATAGTTTATAGAATTTGATTTGGAGTTTGTTTTATACTTAAATTTGGCTTTTAAGTACATAGGTAATTTTAAAAAAAAACATTTGTCACAGAGATGTCTAAAGAGTGTATCACAAATAACCAGACTATTATAAAATTGAATGATATATAAAATTGAATGATATGTTAGAAATCAATGACTTATTACCACTGTTTAATTTATTACTCTTACATGAGGAATTCTTTTTGTAAAATGTAAACATATATACAAATTTTGTGTCGTATTGATAATCAAAAATCACCAATCAACTGCCTTTGTGAATGTCTTCAAATATATTGTATTTTATTTGTTTTATACTGAGATTATTTTGAAAAATTGATTATTCTTTTAATTCATCAGCATGCAAAAATTCCAAAAATCGTAATTACAGTCGGAAAATGAGCCACAGGAAAAGGGTTACCCTTAAAATTGGTAACAACTAGGTATTCACTAAAAAAAACTTTAATTGAACAAAACTCATCCTAAATAAACAGAAACTGTTTTAGTATCGAGTGTGACACCCATGAGCATCAACTACAGCTTTAGATCGCGTATCCGGTTTTGTGGGATAGCGTTCCCCTCAGCTACCAAAGCTGTTCCCAGCTTCTGGAGTGTTCTTGGCCGAACATTTCTGGCAGAGAGAGCTGTCTGCAGCATGTCACACACAAAGATCCGGCAAGCGGGCTGGCCAATCCATTCACTGAATAGTCTCTTGCTGTATATACTGCTCAGTCACCCTTGCTCTATGTGGCCTTGAGTATAGCCTATAGCATTATCGTGCATAAGGATGAAGTCGGGGCCGATAGCCCCAGCATAGGGTCTGACATAGGCATCAAGGATTTCATGGCAGCAAACCCGGGCCGTAACGGTACCATTATTATGGAAGACACGGAGGTCAGTTTTCCCACGAAGGCTTATGCCTCCCCACACCATCACTGAACCTCAACCATATCGGTCATGTTCCACAACGTTACCTGTCTGGAACCTCTCCCCAGGTTGCCGCCATACTCAACGTGCCTATCGGTTAAGTCGAGACAGAATCTGGACTCGTCAGTAAAAAGAACTGGTTCCCATTCCTAAAGAGTCCAAGTGCTGTGAGCTTGGGTCCAATCTAATCGGTCGTTAACATTGCGGGCAGTTAAGGGAACTTGTATTGCTGGTCTATGTGACCTTAAACCAGCATCCTGACTGTCTGAGTGGCTACCCGGGTACCAGAAGCATTTAGGAGGTCATTTAGTAAAGCTGTGGCAGTCTTGAACCTGTGACCCTTTCCTGTATGAGCAAAAATCGGTCTTGGCGCTGCGTTGGAGCCCTAGAATGACATTCAGCATGACGTCTGGAAGGGTTTCCGTTAGTTTGGAAATGATTCCACATTCTTGCCACCACACTTTGAGACACCCCAAGGTCTGCTGCAACCCGAGGTTGAGACATGCTAGCTTGCAGCATTCCAATGCCCCTATTCATTTAACCGTTGTCTGGTTTGTCTTTGTGCCATATCAAAACAAACACACACAAAGAATATTCATCAAATTGATTTCTTTAACAATTTGAACGTCTTACTAAGCCTAGCTTAGCTTTTGAAAGGGGTGTACACGTGGAAGAGCATGCACACACTTTTATGGTTGACTGAACACACCCACACAGGACGATTTGGAAGGCTAACATATTCGCCCAAAACAGTATGGAAGGAAAATAAAATATCCTTTCTAACATTTTGATTTTTGTTTTCAAAATATAGGTGATCCTTAGCAAAATGTAAGTAGTATATATTGCTCCTTTTAAAAAAAATGATATGCAGTGTTTATCAAAAGTTATGTTCATGATCTAGTAGTGACAAAACATAAATTAACATAAAACAAAACCAATATTTGTGTGTATAATTTATTAATTACCACAAACAAGTACATTGTGTATGGCAAGTTACATATCTACTTATTGTCGACGTAACTGTCTACAAATTTCACTGATCAATATGACTAAGACACTCTTGGATATACAGTAATTTAATTAAATTTCATTTTCAGGGTTAAACACTAACTATTGTTGCTTGGTTATTTACTAGTCCTTCGTCAATGTAACTAGTCGAAGATTTCCTGAAATCTACTAGTCCAGGACTAGCAGACTAGTGTTAGTGTCGACCCCTGATTTGATGTTCATCACTGCACCAATATATTATATGACCCGTATTGCTATGGGGCATTTTCTGCTTTATCAAATGGTATAACAAGAGGCCCAGAGGGCCTGTATCGCTCACCTGGATATGTTTAAAGTACTTAATATGAAGTAAAGATAGCACTCCTTGGTTGTTACTGTATGTACATATGAAATTTCAGAAAGATCCATCGAGTATTTCTGGAGATAGAGCGAGAACAAACTTCAATTGTCAAAATCCAAGATGGCGGCCTGGTGGTCCTCTTGTTTTAATGAATACATCCTAATAGTAACAGGCACTACTAGACAACTTGATGGAGACAACATTGGGATAAAATCTTGAATCACTATTGTAGGAGAAGGATTTCAAACGTTTTACCTTATTTCTGACAACGTAACCGACGCTGCCGCCAAAGTAATACGTGTACCTATATGTCGCCTTGTGATGCCATCAACACAATCAAAGTAAAACATGTACCATATGTCGCCTTGTGATGCCATCAACACAATCAAAGTAATACATGTCCCTATATGTCGCCATGTGATGCCATCAACACAATCAAAGTAATACATGTCCCTATATGTCGCCATGTGATGCCATCAACACAATCAAAGTAAAACATGTCCCTATATGTCGTCTTGCGTTGCAGGCAACACAAAAATGATACGGTGATGCCATCAACACCATCAAAGTAATTTATAATGTCCATTAAGTTTATATATAATGGCACGCCTCGGGCTTAGTATCATCATCAATGTGATGCATACACATTTGAACATAATTAAAGAGGCTTGCACATAATTAAAGAGGCTACCTCATTCTGATTGGTTAATTTGTTCTGTGCAATTACTACATCGGAAATAGTTTAGTTTTAACCAAATTATGTATCCACTTACATAATGGCAAGTCCCCTAATAAGTTCAATCACTACTGTGATGCATGGATACTTTGCCAATAATTGGTTAATTGGTTAACATGCAGTAACTGCACTAGAATGGTTAGATTTCAAATTCAGAATTAAAGATACATACTGAACAAATCTAGTATGCATATACATACTGATGTGTCTTATGCTGAGAATTTCTACACCAAACCTCAACAGTGGACTACGTTAGATATTTTAAGTGAAATCCCATTTCATATTCATGGAGAATCACCAAAAAGTTGCGAGATGTGGAATAGAGATTAAGGAATCTTATTAAAGGGACATCACGTGAAAAGGCGTTTTTTTTTTAATGAATGTATGTATTGTATGCACTTCCACTTATGTTACCTCGCTATCCCCATATTCATAGTCCGTTCCAAATGTCCAGTTTGACCACTTGAATTGTTCGGGAAAGCCCTGCTAAAAATAGCGCCGATAACGTCACCTGACTAGGCAGTAAACACAAGTGGTGCGAGCGAGATGAAACGGTTTCCAAAGGGGCCCCCAGAGAGGGGCCGTCAGGCAACTGCAACTTCTTACCGCACTATGAAACCAAGTTATATGATTTCTAAGTCCGTATTCAAACTTATTGAACAGTAATTATTCATCATTAGAAGTTAATTGCACACTTGCCAATATTCAGAATTTAAATTTATTTAGCTTTAAACATAAATTTGTTGCCAATAAAATTAAACAAGGGATGGGGCACAAGTTTTTACAATTTATCACAGCCTTCTCCCGTCATACATTTACAATTAAATGTCAACAATGATAATAGGCATAAACATAAAGTAGATATATTTAAATATATATTGAATTTAGTACCGGAATGTGGCCGGTACAGATGGTACGTGGCTAAACACCTTCCCTACACCAAGGGACAAACCTTTCTGATTTTTTTTATATGTTGCCGGGGCAGAGGAGGCCGGGTATTCATATTAGTACTAATTTAAATCTTGCATGTAAAAACAAAAATAATCGTTTAATTCAGCAATATAATTAAATCATACCATTTTATTGAACCCGGTAATATTATAAATTATGTAAATCCACGGACTTCGATAACACGTATCTCGGTGACCCAGAAAATACGCCGTGGGCCATCACAACAGTTATCCCTTGGAGGGCCTCATGGAAAAATCAAACTAACCAGTCACTTATCCCTTCCTTTCGCATAAACCACTGTATAATTATAGAAACACAAAGTAAACTCTCTCCAATACATGCCCATTAACATATTAAACTAAGTTCATCTGTGTTCAAACTCAGACAAAGATACTAGCGAGCTTAATAGTTTTAGATATTTATTCATAACATAAACAGCGCTAGCATTTCTGTCGATTCCATTTCAGCTTAACCGGCTATCCGGAAGAATACATGCACCGTACTAACTGCTACGGCAGTTATTTTCTCCTTTGAATACTGCCCACCTGCAAAAATGATACCGTAACGTACTCCTTGCGCTATCTTTTGACCATTTGGCAACTTTTCGTTTCGTAGCTGACACGGTACAACACTTTTCTTTCGCTTACTTCACACGGCCAGTCATTTTGTTTACAAAGAAATGGTGTGCTATGCGCATGCGCCAGTAGAGGGAAATCCCTGAACAAAACGTTGGTCAGACAGGTAGAAATACCGATGATTTTCTTAGATTTAATCATTTTTATGAATCTATTTCAGCCAAATCCGATCGTTTTTTTCCATAAGAAGTCTCACTTGATATGTTTATGTAGTATTTGAAAAAAAGACAAAAAATAAAGTTACTTCACCGTGATGCCCCTTTAAGAAAATATTTAAACATATATAACTTTTTGCTCCTTCTTGAATCTGAACCTTCATGAATATTATTTTGGATGAATAATTCTCAGAAAAAAAGTTTTTACAAAACTGTAGTATGGTGCTTAATATTTTGAACCTTCAACTAGTATAAAATAATACTGCACATCAAATTCTGTAACCGTAACACAATATAAAACCTGTAGTATGTTAGTTTTATGGTTTCCATGCTGCAGTAGTCCACTGTTAAAGCATGATAAATGAGCTGTTAAAAATACTGACGCAAAACAAGCAGAACACCTATACATCCTTTAATACACACTCGCACACCCTCACAAAGGCACTAATGAGAATCAAGTTGTATGATGGGCTTCAGTAAGGATGTTCCCACACTCTTCTGTGTGGAATGCTGTACATCATTTCTTGAATATGAAGCACCTTAGAATAATTTCGTTTGAAGTAGTTTGGGTTCCACACAATTATGTTATATAATAATAATAACAAGATACACAACTGAAACATAATGTATATCATATCTGTGTAACAGTAGAAAGTCTGAAATGCAACGGCCAGACTGGGGTTCGAACCCTAGTACCTCCGAACTCTTGACGGACGCTATACCAACTGAGCTACCTGGTCGCCGAGATCGACCCAGTCCAGTTCTGCTATATTTAACAATCCTTTTCCTAAGTCTTTGCCCCCGAAGATATAAACTATTTACAACACGTACCTCCAACTCTCATTCCCTAAGCAGTTACACTGTATATCGGGAAATGTTCGGAGCAGTTTAACTTTAGCCTTTTTAGCTGTCCATAATGACTGCAAATTTATCCTGACAGCAAATATTAATTCACACCATAAAATAAACGGTCTGGTGGAGGCCAATGTAGATAAATTCACAATATTCGCGACTGGACAGAACATGCACAACACTAGAGGACACAACAAAAAACGTTTTGGAACAAAACTAAGAGGAAACGCTTTTTCACACCGTGTGACTAAAGAACTCTGGAACAATCTAACACCTGAAATTGTAAACACTGCCTTTATTGAACGGTAGTCAAGACTGAACCGTGCATGAAAGGAACACCCAGGCAACTTTAGCCCCGCATGCTACAGAGCGGGAGGTACAGACCGGGAGTGTGTACCAGTTACACCAGTAGATGTGTCAATAGTATAGTCGTAGATCAATGGTATGGCGTCGACAACGGTGAGGTAACGGTGAGTTGATTATATATAATTATAACATGTGAAGGGTAACATTTTTGATGGGCGAATATAGACTTCACTAGTGACGTACCAAAAGTTCCCTGTATACTGTGATGAGGGCGACTCCTGATGGTATCTTATCACAGACAATAGGCTTGTAGTTATGTAATGGTACTACTCGGTACATACACACTAAATAGAATGGTAAGCAGTGACTTGCAGACATATTCAAAACTTATTCTAATATACTCTACTATATACTTATACTACATGTAAGTGTATTGAAATTCTAAATAGATGCCATATATAAACCCTATTGCACTTCATACAGACATGACAATTCCCAAAAAATATACCATTTCATCTTTAAATCTTCAATGTATACTGCTATGTATGATCTGCAGACCAGTACAATACAAAACAATTTATTTTATCATAATGTCACATGTTAATACATACTAAAACAATGACATTTTAAAATGGAAAATTAAAATATCTTCATTTCTAATTATATATCATGATGTATTAACATCCGGCCATAGTTGGCCTATGAGACACTCTAAAAAAATGACGAAATGTACACACTTAAAATATATCAGATATTATATAGGCCTATGATAATACATTCTAAAAGATGATGTTATATTAAAATGTACATGCTTAAAATTAATTAATATATCAGATAATATCCACGATATTGTATTAAGTCAAATATATATATACACTTAAATACTTAGCAACCTGGGTCTACGCATCATGCTATATATACACTAAGCTACTTAAAGCTGCAGGCCTTGCTCATTCATCAGGAACTTAAGTTCATCTTCTCTGTTCATTTCAATATAAATACAGCTTCTATCTTTAGCATGGTTAAACAATACATCACGTAAATTGAAATAAGCTGAACATTCAAGAAGGAAATAATAAAACATTTATACTTAAATGTATATGGGATACCGGTAATCACTATACAAAAACAAGATTGTCATGTTGTTTATATGTATACATACAACATGCTCTAATGCAAACAATGCGAATGAGAGGTCTCTCTGATTATATGTAGGATATGTTGTACTGTAAACTACATTATCACAATCACTGCAATTAAAAAAAGGAACAATCTCTCAACAGTACCATTCTGTGATCTCAAACCAACATTATAACATCATACTTTAAATAACAGAATTATCTGAAACTTCACGAGGATTTCCATTTCAGTTGCATAGGTTTTGTTCAAATGTATATGCATGTCTTTCTTCCTTTTCAAGGATATAAATGAAAATTTAACAATCAGACTGGCTTTTCGTTGAGAGCACAGAAAAGGTTCCAAGTGAAAGTTTGTAAGGAATGTCCTAGTTCTAACTGCCTACAGAGTCGTTCATGTTCACCACGCTTCTCGGTCAACCATTTGTGAACACCTGATATTTCATTGTGGAGATACAACACCGCTGAGCATCCTGTTGACCGCGTAGTATCTAACTTGATGGACAGGGTATTGTTACAATTCAATGTCCAGTTCATCAAGTCCAAAGACGCAAATCCGGCCAGGTCCAATTTCAGTGGTTTTCTGTTCATCTGCTGGTAAATGATCTGTATTATCTTGAGGACCACAAGATATGTTGCTACCATGTTTTCTCCTAAGGATGCAGCATGGCTTCCTACAACACAGATTTATTTTTACAAGTGACTACATTTCATACTGTAAAACCATACTGTTTACAGCTGGGAAACTGTCGCCATTTACTTGTAAAATTTTTCACCAAGTGTTATTTTTGCCCTCTCATGCAATGGCTATGTATAGTATAGCGTGTATCAATAGTTGCTGTCATGATAAATTTGCTGTCATTACCGAGGGCAAAATGGCTTAAGTTAAACTGCATTGAACAATATACAGTAATTCAAAGATTATCTGAACTGTAATAGCATACTTCAATTTAAAGCTGATTATTCTATATTCTCAGAATGCTTTTGTGTATTTATATAACATTGTTATGTATTTATTGTTCAAATTGACCTTAGTTTACACTATTGAGCCCCACACCATTGTTCCAAAAAAGTTAAGGCAGGCAAACAATTTGTTTAAATAACATTTTAAAAGAATTCCCCATATTTCCCTATTGTATGCCCCTCCTCTCTGCTCCAAGGGGTCCACACCCTTCTTTTACAATAGTATTAAGTTCCATGGTCAAGAGATCATTTCAAGCAAATTGGATTAAAACTGTTTCCCTCCTACTGGAGGCTTAGTATTTTAAAGATTTAACCCCTATTATCTGTATCTGGACCCACCCCTCTGTCCCCATAGGGAGCAAGAGTCTTCCCTTAATAAACATAAGGGCCTGTTTGTTTATGCGGAACAATCGGTTTGTCTGTTTTTAAATGTGACATTTTCAGGTATAAATACTGGCTGACCTGCAAATATAAATGCAGGCCTTGCAAGGCATAGTCAAAGCTCGCCTGAAAACAGCATCAGATTACTAGGTCTGACTTATTTCATAAAGGAACAACAATGGTCCAAACCTGTTCAACATTTCGAATCGCGATTAACGAAAGCAGCCCTAGTCTCCTTGGTCAAGGGATCCTTTATTACTTATTACTTAAAATTGATTCCCTTCACTAATACTGAAGGAGAAGTCCTCTGAAAATTGAACTTCTATTTCCTGTATCAGGCCCCATCTCTCTGCCCCCACAAGCATACTTGTCAACTCTCCTTATTTTAGAGGGAGACTCTCGATTTTGGACCCAAAAATGATTTTTAACCATTTAATTTGCTAAACTCTACCTATTTTCTATGACCTGATGATACACACATTTTATTAATGGTTTTCATTCTGAGCATGCATTATCTCCCCCATGGAAATTTCAAAAAGTTGGCAAGTAGGCAAAACAACCACACACTAAGTTGATACAATGTTGAGTCCCATTTACAAGGAATTGTCCACATCATATTTAATTGAAATCAGTTTAACTTTTCTGGACAAGGAGTCATTTAAATAAAAAGTTGACAGATGGCTGATAGACGATGGATGTCAAGCCATATTGAGCTCAAGACGTGTGAGCTGTATGACCAAAGACGTATATTGTGACATAATTACGAGAACCCTCAAGGGTCTGTATACATACCTAAGGAGTACAGGCCATGTAGCTTCAGCTGGTTGGTGACCTTGATGTAGAAAACACCGAGGGTTTGACACAGCTCTGGAGTCAGTTCCCAATATTGTCCCTGTGAAACACAAGAATATACAAAATGATTTTCCAACAACACAGAAATAAACAAGAATTCCACGGAAGTGGATGTGTCGCCTGCACAGCGCTTTTAGTAGGAAAAGTGTTTTGGCTTGAGTTATCACGTAAACAGATATGCCAAAACGCGGAATGTTGAAACTCGACAGAAAAACCCATAATATATGTTGAACATTATTGCTTCTAGCATTACCGTACAAAATTTGAAAGGAATTGATAAAATAAAAAAGTTCTTGCATAAATTTACAACACAATGCCCTTATCTGGCAATAAAAGGGGCATAACTCCACTAAAGATGCATGTAAACTTCTGAAATACGTACCTGTCTGAGTTTTGTTGGTATGCCATACGTGTACCAAAGTCGAGTTCAATCAACCCAAAGGAACTCAAGTTATCACACCGAAACCTTGTTTCTGACGACGCAGACAAAGTAATACCTATATGTCGCCTCGTGTTGCAGGCGACACAAAAATGCGACTTTTACAGAGTTACTCAAGAGTTAGTTTCCAGTGCAGGACCTCTCCACTAGACCCGATCATTGTATTGCACCAAACTTGAAGTCTGCTTTCAATCAGTGCTCTAAAGTTTTACAGTATATACGGGGCAGTCGGATCAAGATAAGGTTTTAGATGAAACTTGAAAGATGGACAATTCTCCATTTCATATGCTCACTTGATCGGCAAGGTGATCTAATACCAGTAAACACATTAAATCAGTAGGATCGAGTGTTTTATTTCTCAACTGAGGACCGACTAAATACTTCTTGATGTACCTTACTGATAAGTAACACAGGTAGTGACCCTGTTTCTTAACGTACCTCACTGAAAAGTGAGATGGACTAACTATTTCTCAGTGTATCTTACTTATAACGAGAAAATGTCTATAAGACATAAATGCCCCCACTGCCATGTGAAATTAGTTTCTGTGTTCTATAAAAAGTTACAACCACTTTGATCTTGATACCCTGAAACATGCACACACACAAGGTACTACACTTAAAGTTGATTTTAATATTCATATGTATTTTCTGTATGTTATTACCATCTCCATAACATATTGAATGAAGTTGCTAAGCATTTAAATTTAATCAGTAGATGATTTTCTATATATAGCAACATTGACCTGGGCCTTGACCTTGGAACCCTGAAACACAACAATGTCCGAAGTATACTCATACTTGACCTTTGCATAAAGTTTGACCAAAATCCTTGAAAGAATGAAGTTGCTAAGTGTTTAAATTGTATCAGTTGATGATTTTCTATATATAGCAAGTGTGATCTTGGCCTTGACCTTGGATCCCTGAAATAAAACGATGTCCGAAGTATACTCATACTTGACCTTTGTATAAAGTTTGACCAAAATCTGTCGAAGAATGAAGCTGCCAAGTGTTTACATTGAATCGGGACGGGACGGGACGCGACGGGACAGACATGGGTAACACTATATATGCCTCCCCATTTTATGGTGGGGGCATAAAAAACAAGACTAACTATTTCTGTACCGTATTAATGTGTTGCAGGAGATCCTCAGTGTTAGGGACTTTTGAAATCTTTCGTACAATGCCTTTCCAGATCCCGACATCCTCACAACTGAAAGTGAATTTTGCATTCAAATTTAATTCAATTTGATTTAATGTGTGATATATCAGCAGCAGAATTCTGTAATGTTTCCAATAATTAATGAGTTGAAATCAAGTGTAGAAATCGAATATCCATTATACATCGAAGTATTACATTCTTCTTCTAGGTTTAAGGAGGATACCTAGTGGTATACAGAAGCCCTTGTAATAAAAAGCAAATAAATAAGAGAATATTCTCCTGAAGGCTGGTTTCCATTACAGTTACTCATGAACAAAACATTTAAATAGCTATCCTAAAAGATAATAAAAGAAAACAAAATACTTCTGTATGCATTATTGTACTTAAAACATAATTATAACAAGAGGCCCATGGGCCTTAACGGTCACCCGAGTCCTACAGTATTTATTTTTGTTGTTGAAATATGTACCAATTTGAGTAAAAAATAGTTAAGTATAACGTTAACTTAAGTTTGTCAGGACCATGAGTCAATAATTCCTAAAAAGATTCAGTTAAATCGGCCTAGCAGAACTTGACTTTAAGTTTGAAATAGTTATTTTCAAAATGGCGGCCTTGGTGGCCATATTGGATTTCTGATCGACCCGAAAAATAACAACACTTTGTCAGGACCATGAGTCGATCATTCCTATTAAGTTTTAGTTCAATCGGCCCAGTAGAACTTGACTTTAAGTTTGAAAGAGTTTTTCAAAATGGCGGCCATGTCGGCCATATCAGATTTCGGATCAACCCGAAAAATAACAATACTTTGTCAGGACCATGAGTCGATCATTCCGACAAAGTTTCAGTTCAATCGGCTTAGCAGAACTTGACTTTAAGTTTGAAATAGTTTTTCAAAATAGCAGACGTGGTGGCCATATTGGATTTCTGATTGACCCGAAAAATATTAACACTTTGTCTGGAAAATGTCAGTAAACTTCCCATGAAATATTAATGAAATCCCTTTGCCAGTATTTCAGCTTAAGTTGAAAATGTAAAATGACGACACACGACTGACGACGCACGACGGAAGACGACGGACAAAGACGGATAACAATAGGTCAATTGAGCTTAAGCTCAAGTGACCTAAAAACTAGAGGCCCAATGGGCCTGCATCGCTCACCTGGTATTATTTCACACTTGTAATCTTAAGAGTGGACTAAAATACAGCTACAGGCAGAATATCAGTGTTTGATTCATAAGATCCTATTACAAGATTTAAACATATGACGCCTGTGACCTTGAATGTCGAACAAGGATATTGGGTTGAAAGTGGGTCAAGGTCATTCATTTGAACAAACTTGGTAGCCCTTCATCCCAGCATGCTACAGGCCCAATATCAGTACCCTGGGCCTTTTGGTTATTGAGAAGAAGTTGTTTGAAGATTTTAAGATATTTGACTCCTGTGACCTTGAAAGTGGGTCAAGGTCATTCATTTGAACAAACTTGGTAGCCCTTCATCCCAGCATGCTGCAGGCCCAATATCAGTACCTAGGGCCTTTTGGTTATTGAGAAGTTGTTTAAAGTAAAATATTGACGCCGGATGCCGCACCACGGCATGGGCCAAGGGGCCAGGTGAGCTAAAAACCACAAAATTGATTTTCTTAATAGTTTTCTTCATTTCTTCAATAAGTAAGTTTAATATTTCTTTAGACAGTCCAACTTCAACATTGTCATACTTACATCGCAGGAACTGAGGAGGGAGCTGCTTCACCTGTAACAATAGAACAAATGTTATTATTCTCTTTTCTTTTTAATTAGATGTTCTAGATATACCAAATGATTTATGATACTTCTAAACTGTAGTTTGTTATCTATTCTAGGATATTTTTTCCATATCCAACGATTAAGGTTTGTTGAATGAAACTTAATGATCAATATGGGAAAAAAGTGCATGACATCAGATTCTGTTTTAACAGTTAGCCTTTCCTTGAGCATGCATTTGGTTGTTATGGACAGTGTAGATATATGTATAATAACAAGAAACGAAATAAGCTTTAACGCTCACATGAATTACATTTTTTTTAAACAATACAGGAACATTAAATTTGAATCATTTAGATTAGTTAGAAGTCAATTGCTACTGTTATAGAGAAATAGCAACTGTCTGCAAATCGGAGCCATTGGTGGCTATCTTGTATTTTTGTCATGAAAAGTAACAACATTATTTGAGTTTCACATAAGAAACATTTTCTAGTATACAAAAATTGAAAATGTCTCAGAGGAAGGGTTTTACCCAATGAAAAGGATAACTAAGGGCAACCATCTTGGATTTTGAGATTACCATGAAATATAACATGGACACAAGTTGGTTTACACAAATCGATTCTGAGACATGAAATGCTGTAGGACTGTATATATATAATTACAAGATGATTAAGACAGGTGAGTTCTTAGACAAGTTTTACTGTAGGGCTGTAACACTACAAGATGATTTAGACAGGTGAATTCTTAGACAAGTTTTACTGTAGTACTGTAACACTACAAGATGATTTAGACAGGTGAATTCTTAGACAAGTTTTACTGTAGGGCTGTAACACTAAAAGATGATTTAGACAGGTGAGTTTTAAGACAAGTTTTACTGTCGGACTGTATATATATAATTACAAGATGATTAAGAGAGGTGAGTTCTTAGACAAGTTTTACTGTAGGGCTGTAACACTAAAAGATGATTTAGACAGGTGAGTTCTTAGACAAGTTTTACTGTAGGGCTGTATATATATAATTACAAGATGATTTAGACAGGTGAGTTCTAAGACAAGTTTTACTGTAGGACTGTATATATATAATTACAAGATGATTTAGACAGGTGAGTTCTTAGACAAGTTTTACTGTAGGGCTGTATAAATATAATTACAAGATGATTTAGACAGGTGAGTTCTAAGACAAGTTTTACTGTAGGACTGTAACACTACAAGATGATTTAGACAGGTGAGTTCTTAGACAAGTTTTACTGCAGGACTGTATATCATTACAAGCTAATCAAGAAAGTTCACTTAAGCTCACTTGAATTTGTAGAAAATTACAGATCTTTTGTATATAAAAGAAGATTGAATCAGAAATATACTTTATGAATTTCACAATGTCCTTGCCTGTCTCTGATGTTACATCCCAGACTTTCAAAGTTGGTGCCATGTCCACTGTAAAGTCCATTTTCTCATGATCATCATATTCCAACTTTCCTGACAGGTTCTTCCCTCCAGTTTTGACAATCTCTTCATCATCCCTTGTCTGTTCCCTTTTCTTCCCTTTTTTCCCAAATGTTTTGACAACCTGTTCATCAGCCTTTGTTTGCTCCTTCTTTTCATTTTTATGCTTTATCTGTTTCTTACTTTCTCTTGCAGGATCTCTGTCTATTTTGCTTCCTGCTTTGTCCCTATTTTTATTCCTACTGTTTGTATCATTATTTCCACTTGATCTGTGCATTTTTTTATTTTCCTTTCTTGCTCTATCTCTACTGTAACATCTTTCCAAGTCTCTTCTCCCCCTTCCTCGACTCAAACTTCTACTCAAACTCCTCCGCCTTCTGTCTCGACTCAAACTTCTACTCAAACTCCTCCGCCTTCTGTCTCGACTCAAACTTCTACTCAAACTCCTCTGTCTTCTGTCTCGACTCAAACTTCTACTCAAACTCCTCCGCCTTCTGTCATGACTCAAACTTAGTTTTTTACTCTTATCCAGCACAATAAGCTCACGAGATTGTTCCCTATTTCTGTCTCTTGATCTTGCACCATGCATTGCGCCTCTGACTGACTTTAATGACCTTCGACCTTGTTCTTTGGTTGTTTCAGCAGGACCCTGGTCATTCCTTGCAGTGAATCCAGAACCTCCTCTTCCAACAGGAGGAATTTTTCTCTTTTGTTTAGGTAATAAGGATTCATCAAAGTCTGGTGGGAACATTTTATCCTGTACATGTCTGAAAGGCTGTGAAGGCAGATCCTTCTCTGTTACACTGGAAGGTCTTCTGTCATTTTCCTTCAATATCCTAGTTTTTGGATCATGTTTTGCTAAATTCAAGTCAAGATCCTTCAAATATGTAAATGTTGGTGCTGTTTCTATGTAAGAAACATGTCCATCTTTAGAACCAGCAAGTCTAGGACCACCACGTCCCTCACTGTCACCTCCATAACCACCACGTCCCTCACTGACACCTCCATAACCACCACATCTAACACTGACACCTCCATAACCACCACATCCCTCACTGTCACCTCCATAACCACCAAATCCCTCACTGACACCTCCATAACCATCACCTCCGACACTGTCACCTCCATAACCACCACGTCCGACACTGTCATCTCCATAACCACCACGTCCGACACCGTCATCTCCATAACTACCAAGTCCCTCACTGACACCTCCATAACTACCAAGTCCCTCACTGACACCTCCATAACCACCACATTCCTCACTGACACCTCCATAACCACCACATCTAACACTGTCACCTCCATAACTACCACGTCTAACACTGACACCTCCATAACCACCAAGTCCCTCACTGACACCTCCATAACCACCACGTCTAACACTGACACCTCCATAACCACCACGTCTGTCACTGTCATCTCCATAACCACCAGGTCTAACACTGACACCTCCATAACCACCACGTCTGTCACCGTCATCTCCAAAACCTGCTGAATTTGAAGCTCCAAAATAGAAATCTTGGGTTGGTATATTGCATCGTTGGGACTGCATTTGAGCGCCAAAGGAAAACCCTTGACTTGTCGTTCTGCTTGCTCCGGCTGGTTTTGAAGTCCCAAATCCAAAACAATGGCTTCCTTTACTGGTAATGCTCTGCAATGTTTGATTCTGAGAAAAACTGAAACCTTCGGCTGGTGAAGCGCTTTGAGTTGTTTGCATTCGAGCTCCAAAGGAAAACCCTTGACTTGGCATTGTGTTTGGTTCTGCTAGGTTTGGAGCCCCCAATCCCAAACTTTGTGTTGATATATTTCTTGATGCTGTTACTAGAGGAGCACTAAAATTGAACCCCTGACTTGGTTTACCGCCTAGTTCTGCTAGGTTTGGAGCCCCCAATCCCAAACTTTGTGTTGGTTCATTGCTTGATGCTGTTTGTAGCGAAGCATTAAAATTGAAGCTCTGACTTGGTTTACTGCCTGGTTCTGCTTGCACTGGAGCTCCACACAAACCATGTTCACTAGATGTGCTGCTTGACTTTGCTTGTCTTGAACCTGAAACCACAAAATCTTTATTGTTTGATGTTGATTCATGTTGGAAATCCTCAAATGTTGATTTGGCTCTTCGTGCTCTTCTATTTGGTGAATAGGATGGAGAAGTTGGTTTGTAAGATGGGGAAGTGGGCGAATAGGATAGAGAAGTTGGTTTGTAAGATGGGGAGGTGGGCGAATAGGATGGGGAAGTTGGTTTGTAAGATGGGGAGGTGGGCGAATAGGATGGGGAAGTTGGTTTGTAAGATGGGGAAGTGGGCGAATAGGATGGGGAAGTTGGTTTGTAAGATGGGGAGGTTGATATATAGGCTGGAGTGTCCTGAGAATGGCCTGCCATTGAAGGTGAAAATATGTCAGATATTTCAGAAGTGAGAATGAGGAATGCCGGGTCTTCAGTATCTAAATCAATCTCCATGTCTTCATCTAAATACTGAGAGATTTCAAATTTTTCAAAGTTTGTACCAAATGAATCTGAACATTTTGGAGACAAGGGGCCAAACTGTGTTGCTGAGAGTGGAGAGTCTGGTATTCTTCCTACATCTGACACTTCCTGTTTCTTGTTCGTAGCATCATCAACCACGTTGTCATCTGGAAGTGCCATGCAGCTAAAGTTGCCCATCTTTTCAACATCATCATCATCATCATCATCATCATCATCATCATCACTGTCATCCTCATTCTGCTCCTCCTCATTTTCATCAAAGTTTGCAGGTGCAGATTTTCTGGCAGCTTTGGTTGCTAACTGTTTCCTTGGAGCCATCATTCGTAAGGATTGCCTAAAAGGAGAAAACAATGAGGACATCTTCACCGGGTTTTTTCCATCATCAGTACAGCTTTTGTCCTTTTCCGTATGCACCTTCTTACCATATATCTGATCATACTCATTCATGTCCTGAAATACAGAAATGTTAATACTTCACATGTACCTGTACTGTACAATAGTAAACTCATGAATCATTGCTTCTGTGGTTTTTGTGGGTATTATTAAGAAGTTTACATTGAGTATAGTGACTAAATATAGTTTAACTGACAAAAGTAAAAATATTAAGGCTGATTAATCAATGTTCACTAAAAATAGCTAATAATTTACCAACAAACTTCATATTTTCCCCATGTAAAGGATATTCTATATCACATGTCTGAGAATTTAACCACAAATCTACATGTTATACAGCAAGTAAAAGAGATTCTATATCATATAGCTGAGAATATAACTACAAATCTCCATATTATACACCAAGTAAAAGAGATTCTATATCATATAGCTGAGAATATAACCACAAATCTCCATATAATACAGCAAGTAAAAGAGATTTCATATCTCATTGCTAAGAATTTAACCACAAATCTTCATGTTATACAGCAAGTAAAAGAGATTTCATATCTCATAGCTAAGAATTTAACCACAAATCTTCATGTTATACTAAGTACCGGTGAGTAAGAGAGACTTCATATCTCATAGCTAAGAATTTAACCACAAATCTTCATGTTATACTGAGTACCGGTGAGTAAGAGAGACTTCATATCTCATAGCTTAGAATTTAACCACAAATCTTTATGTTGTACAACAACTAAAATAGATTCTATATCGATGCCATGCCATAACAAAAATTGAACTGAATTATTTTCTGCTGAGGATAAATAAACAAGAGGCCCAGAGGGCCTGTATCGCTCACCTGGATACCTAAGCAATCATGGCAAACTATTCTCCAAATGAGATCAAGAGAATATGCCAGACCCCAAGGCCAATCCTTGTAGCATAGCTATATTAAATTTTTCATGCCCAGCAATTTTATGTATGGTTATGGGGTGGGGATCTCAACTGTTTCCAAGCTTTGACTCAGAAACTAGGTCCCTAGAGTTGTGGCCAGACCCCAGGATCGATTCTAATATCGTGACTGCATTTGTCTCTTTTTGCCAAGCATTTGTATATAAAGTTTTGGTGTGGGGATCTCAACCGTTTCAAAGTTATGACCCAGGGGCCAAGTCTGCAAGGGTGGGGCAGACCCTGGGATCAATTCTAATGTCATGACTGCATTCGTCTCTTTATGCCCAACAATTGTATATATAGTTTTGGGGTGGGGATATTAACCATTTCAAAGTTATGACCCAGGGGTTAAGTCTCCAAGGGTGGGGCAGTCCCCAAGGCCAACCTGGAAGCATATGTGCAATCATCTCTTTATACTCAGCAATTGTATATATACGGTTATAGGGTGGGGCTCTCAACTGTTTCCAAGCTGTGACTAAGAAACTAGGTCCCTAGGGGTTCGGTCAGACCCCAGGGTCTATTCTGATATCATGATTGCATTCGTCTCTTTATGCCCAGCATTTGTATATATAGTTTTGGGGTGGGGATCTCAACCGTTTTAAAGTTATGGCCCAGGGACTATGTCTCCAAGGGTGGGGCCAGACCCTAGGGACATCCTGGAAGCAAATGTGCATTCTTCTCTTTATACTCAGCAATTGTATATATGGTTATATGGTGGGGATCTCAACCATTTCCAAGTAATACATTTTATTGGCCCCACCCCTTAGCCCGGGGGGTCAGCCCCACCATTTGTACAATTTTGAATCCCTGCCTCCCATGAATACTTCCGACCAAATATGATCAATATCCATGGCATAGTTCTGCAGAAGAAGTCATTTATAGCAATATAACCAAATTGCCCCCTTTTGGCCCCGCCCCTCAGCCCCCTGGGGGGTCAGCCCAACCGTTTGTACAATTTTGAATCTCCACCACCTAGAGATGCTTCCAGTCAAATAAGGTTGATATCCATCACTTAGTTCCAGAGAAGAAGTCACTTAAAGCAGTATAGCCAAATACCCTTTTTGGCCCTGCCCCTCAGCCCCCTGGGGGGTCAGCCACACCATTTGTACAATTTTAAATCCCTGCCTCCCAGGAATGCTTTTGATCAAATATGATTGATATCCAGTGCACAGTTCTACAGAAGAAGTCGTTTGTAGCAATATAGCAAAATTGCCCCCTTTTGGCCCCCCCTAAGCCCCCTGGGGAGTCAGCCCCGCCATTTGTACAATTTTTAATCACCACCACCTAGGGATGCTTCCAGTCAAATATGGTTGATATCCAATTCTTAGTTCCAGAGAAGAAGTCGCTTACAGCAATATGGGCAAATTGACCCCTTTTGGCCCCACCCCTCAGCCCCCTGGGGAGTCAGCCCCACCATTTGTACAATTTTGAATCCCAACCACCTAGGGATGCTTCCAGTCAAAATTAGTTTAATTCCAACCAGTGGTTAAGAAGAAGAAGTCGTTTAAAGAAATTGTTGACGTACGTACGGACGACGGATGCCATGGTATGGCATAAGCTCACCCTGGTCCTTCGGACCAGGTGAGCTAAAAGCTGTTATAACCATAGGAAATGTAGCAGAATTTCCCCCTTCCCAGTGGTGAATGGGAGACATCAGGGTAATTGCATTCACAATTTAAAGGTACTGAAGAAACCTATCATTCATGAAGAGTAGATTTAAAAAACAAGAGGCCCAGAGGGCCTGAATCGCTCACCTGGATATCTAAGCAATCATGGCAAAATATTCTCCAAATGAGATCCAAGGGAATATGCCAGATCCAAATGCCAATTCTTGTAGTATGTCTGTATTAGATTTTCCATGCCCAGCAATTTAATGTATGGTTATGGGGTGGGGATCTCAACTGTTTCCAAGCTGTGACTCAGAAACTAGATCCCTAGGGTTGTGGCCAGACCCCTGGATCAATTCTTAATATCATGACTGGTTTCTTCTCTTTAAGCCCAGCATTTGTATATAGTTTTAAAGTGGGGATCTCAACTGTTTCAAAGTTATGACACAGGGGTTAAGTCTGCAAGGGTGGGGCAGACCCCAAGGCCATCCTGGAAGCATATGTGCAATCATCTCTTCATACTCAGCAATTGTATATATGCATGGTTATAGGGTGGGGATCTCAACTGTTTCGAAGCTTTGCCTAAGAAACTAGGTCCCTAGGGGTTCGGTCAGACCCCAGGGTCTATTCTAATACCATGACTACTTTTGTCTCTATATGCCAAGCATTTGTATATATAGTTCTGGGGTGGAAATCTCAATCATTTCAAAGTTATGACCCAGGGACTATGTCTCAAAGGGTGGGGCCAGACCCTAGGCCATCCTGGGAGCAAATGTGCATGCTTCCCTTTATACTCCACAATTGTATATATGGTTATACCGCGGGGATCTCAACCATTTCCAAGTAATAAACCTTTTTTGGCCCAACCCCTTAGCACAGGGGGGTCAGCCCAAACATTTGTACAATTTTGAATCCCTACCTCCCATGAATACTTCTGACCAAATATGATTGATATCCTTAGCATAATTCTACAGAATAAGTCGTTAATAGCAACCCTCACCCCTTAGCACGGGGGGTCAGCCCAACCATTTGTACAATTTTGAATCTCCTCTTCCGAGGGATGCTTTCAGTCAAATATGGTTGATATCTATCCCTTAGTTCCAGAGAAGAAGTCGCTTAAATTAATATAGCGCAACTGCCCCCTTTTGGCCCCGCCCCTCAAGTTCCTGGGGGCCAGACCTCTTGTTTATACAAAATTGGTTCCCCTTCACCGAAGGATGCTTCCGACCAAATATGGAACAAATCCTTTCATTCCTACAGAGAAGAAGGATTTTAAAGAAATTGTTCAGTTTCCCATACTGGGCCCCGTCGCTCAGGCCCCTGTGGGGCCAGACCCATGGTTTATAAAAAATTGGTTCCCCTTTACCCAAGGATGCTTCAGACTAAATATGGAACAAATCCTTTTATTCCTACAGAAGAGGAAGGATTTTAAAGAATTTACTATGTGATCCCTATAGGGCCCCACCCCTCAGGCCCCTCGGGGGCCAGACCCGCGGTTTATACAAAATTGGTTCCTCTTTCCCTAAGGATGCTTCAGACCAAATATGGAACAAATCCTTTCATTCCTACAGAAGAGGAAGGTTTTTAAAGAATTTACTATGTGTTCCCTATTGGGCCCCACCCCTCAGGCCCCTCGGGGTCCAGACCCACGGTTTATACAAAATTGGTTCCTCTTTCTCTAAGGATGCATCAGACCAAATATGGAACAAATCCTTTCAATCCTACAGAAGGAGAAGGATTTTAAAGAATTTACTATGTGTTCCCTATTGGGCCACACCCCTCAGCCACCAGGGGGGCCAGACCCACCATTTATACAAAATTTGTTCCCCTTCCCATAAGGATGCTTCTGACCAAATTTGGTCAAAATCTGCTCAGTCGTTTATGACTAGTAGCGATTTTTAGGAAAAGTTGAAGGATGCTGGACGCCGCGCCATGGCATAAGCTCACTTGCCGTTCGGGCAGGTGAGCTAAAAATGTCCAATAAACCACTTTCTACCCCACCCTTAGATTTTTGAGAGTGGAATCCACATTTTATGTCTTATTGTCATATCATACGTTTTCCGCGAGAATACGCTTTGTTTTCAAATCTTCCTTGAGACCAAAACTAAGTCCCCCTCGCAGCCTTGGTAACAGGAAGACAGCATTATACTCCAGATCTGAAGAATATAGAAAAAAAATACAATTGTTATATAGAGGCTAACTCATGCCCTCACATAACGTTGTATCAAAACAGCTGCCACCTCTAAAAGCACATCCTCTCAATCAAATATGATGTATTCTTATGGTAAACAAGAGGCACAGAGGGCCTGAATTCCTCACCTGAATATCTAAGCAATCAAAAAGCAAAATATTCTCCAAATGAGATCCAAGGGTATATGCCAGACCCCAATGTCAATTCTTGTAGTATGTCTGTATTAGATTTTTCATGCCCAGCAATTTAATGTATGGTAATGGGGTGGGGATCTCAACTGTTTCCAAGCTGTGACTCAGAAACTAGATCCCTCGGGTTGTGGCCAGACGCCAGGATCAATTATAATATCATGACTATATTCGTCTCTTTTTGTCTAGCATTTGTATTTATAGTCTTGGGGTGGGGATCTCAACTGTTTCAAAGTTATATTTACCCAGGGGTTAAGTCTGCAAAGTTTGGGCAGACCCCAAGGCCATCCTGGAAGCATATGTGCATTCATCTCTTTATACTCAGCAATTGTATATATGCATAGTTATAGGGTGGGGATCTCAACTGTTTCGAAGCTGTGACTAAGAAACTAGGTCCCTAGGGGTTCGGTCAGACCCCAGGGTCTATTTTAATACCATGACTACTTTTGTCTCTTTATGCCAAGCATTTGTATATATAGTTCTGGGGTGCGGATCTCAATCGTTTCAAAGATATGACCCAGGGACTATGTCTCAAAGGGTGGGGCCAGACCCTAGGCCATCCTTGAAGCAAATGTGAATGCTTCTCTTCATACTCCACAATTATATATATGGTTATATGGTTGGGATCTCAACCATTTCCAAGTAATAAACTTTTTTTGGCCCCACCCCTTAGCACGGGGGGTCAGCCCCACCATTTGTACAATTTTGAATCCCTACTTCCCATGAAAGCTTCTGACCAAATATGATCGATATCCATGGTATAATGCTACAGAAGAAGTCGTACACCAATATAGCCAAATTGCGCCCTTTTGGACCCGCACCTCAGCCCCCTGGGATGTCAGCCCAACCATTTGTACAATTGTGAATCTCCACTACAGAGGGATGCTTCCAGTCAAATATGGTTGATATCCATCTCTTAGTTCCAGAGAAGAAGTCGCTTAAATCAATATAGCGCAATTGACCCCTTTTGGCCCCGCCCCTCAGATCCATGGGGGCTAGACCCCTTGCTTATACAAAATCGGTTCCACTTCACCCAAGGATGCTTCAGACCAAATATGGAACAAATCCTTTCATTCCTGCAGAAGAAAGATTTTAAAGAATTTGCTATGTTTCCCCTATTGGGCCCCGTCGCTCAGGCCCCAAAGGGGCCAGACCCACAGTTTATACAAAATTGGTTCCCCTTAACCCAAGGATGCTTAAGACTAAATATGGAACAAATCCTTTCATTCCTACAGAAGAAGGATTTTAAAGAATTTGCTATGTTTCCCCTATTTGGCCTGTCGCTCAGGCCCCTCAGGGGCCAGACCCCCCATTTATACAAAATTGGTTCCTCTTCCCCCAAGGATGCTTCAGACCAAATATGGAACCAATCCTTTTATTCCTACAAAAGAAGAAGGATTTTAAAGAATTTGCTATATTTTCCCTATTGGGCCCCACCCCTCAGCCCCTAGGGGGCCAGACCCACCATTTATACAAAATTTGTTCCCCTTCCCATAAGGATGCTTCTGACCAAATTTGGTCAAAATCTGCTCAGTCGTTTATGACAAGTAGCGTTTTTTAGGAAAAGATGACGGATGCCTGACGCCGCGCCATAGCATAAGCTCACTTGCCCTTCAGGCCGGTGAGCTAAAAAGCATAGATCTGCTTTTAGATATGACTGTGGACGATATGATTGGCCACTGCCTTAAAGAAAACGACATTAACCTCTTTAGCAGTTCGTGTTTTATTTTCCCCATTAATGCTTTATTTTCATTTTCACATCTTTCTGTCTTTTAAAACAAGAGATCCCCGGGGGACCTTGACACCGACTATCGTACCATCATATTTCTATCATAAATTATTATTTTTCACACCACCGACTTCTTTGTCTCATTTTAATACACACTATATTGGACTAATTGGTGTATATCTTGTCATTTTTTACGCTTTGCCATATTAACATATTATGTATATTTGACTATGCTTTAACCATATCATTCAGTAACACTCGTGTGATATGCAAGTGTTCACTATTAAATTCTAATTTAGGATTACTTAACTTCAAGTTACATTGACTGTGATGATACCATATACTGCAGTGTTATACTGTTATCTTAAATTGTTGTCATGCTTGTATATATAGTTTGCTTCAGCGCCATATTGTAAACTAGACATTGTCTAAATATGTAACCCTGGTTAAATAAAAGATATTATTCTTATTATCTTCATAGATTCTATGTAAGATTCTTCTTTTCTCTCTTATCTGTAAGATTGAGTCACGTTAACAGTAACGCACCTTAATTGTGGTAACTTTTGAGCAAAGCCTTCATTCTGCTGTGTATGACACTGTTCTTTCAAAGCGAGCTGGTTGTTTTACCTATTTACTAGTACAATGCTTATTGTTTAAGGACTTTATGGGAAAAAGTGACAACAAACTGAACTGTTGAAATCCAAGATTTTTTGTTGTTGTTGAAATATGTACCAATTTGAGTAAAAAATAGTTAAGTATAACGTTAACTTAAGTTTGTCAGGACCATGAGCTGATCATTCTTAGAAAGAGTTTCAGTTAAATGGGCCTATTAGAACTTGATTTTAAGTTTGAAATAGTTATTTTCAAAATAGCGGCCATGGCAGCCAAATTGTATTTCTGATCGACCCGAAAAATAACAACACTTTGTCAGGACCATGAGTCGATCATTCCTACAAAGTTTCAGTTTAATCGGCCCATTAGAACTTGACTTTAAGTTTGAAATAGTTTTTCAAAATGGGGGCCGTGGTGGCCATATTGGATTTCTGATTGACCCGAAATATAACAACACTTTGTCAGGACAATAAGTCGATCATTCCTAAAAAGTTTAAGTTTAATCGGCCCAGCAGAACTTGACCTTAAGTTTGAAATTGTTTTTTTTCAAAATGGTGGCCATGTCGGCCATATTGGAATTTTGATCGACCCGAAAAATAACAACACTTTGTCAGGACCCTTAATTTGATAAGCATAACTAGGGAACAAAGGGAACCTTCAGGTGAAACTTGAGAAAGATCTCTCTGAGAAATAGCACTATCAAGAATTGTTTAAGGACAAATGGATGGATGGATGGACTGAATGATGAATGGAAGACAGACCACAGATGAATAGTGATTTGAACAGCCCACTATTTGATGAAAAAAAGAAAAGCAACACTTCAGAGTGTGGTGTAAGATTACATTTGTTGAGTTTCATAAAATAAAAAAAACAAGAGGCCCAGAGGACCTGTATAGCTCACCTGGAAATGTTAGCAAAATTGAAGTTGAAATAGCCAGATGATGCTGGAAATGTACATGTATTACATGATTAGTCAGGGATTATATTTATATGCAATTGGACAAAATCTTGTCATTCCTACAGGAAAAGGAGGATTTGAAGAATTTGCTATGTTTCCTCTATTGGGCCCCGCCCCTTTGCCCATAGGAGGGTTAGACCCACAATTGATACAAAATTAGGTCCCCTTCACCCAAGGATGCATTAGACCTAATATGGATTTCCCTTCCCCATAGGATGCTACTGTTCAAGTTTGGTCAAAATACCTTCATCCCAACGGAAGAAGAAGGATATTAAAGCCCCGCCTCTCTGTCCCAAATGGGGATCAGACCCACCGTTTATACAACGTTATGTGGGGTATAATTACCAAGATCGGAGAGAACAGCGAGATCCTTCAGCGGTTTCCCACCAACAATCAATCTCTGCTGCTCTGGGTCAAGTCCATCTATCTGATGGATCTTATTCTTCAAGTCAGACACGGTGTCGCCCTCGGACACACTCACGGGGATAGTCCTACCAGTCAGGGTGTGTATCTCGATTGGGACTGCAATGGGAATAAATGTAAAACTTTCATCAATTCTTTTTTCAAAATATATTTTGATATGAAAAGAGTATTATCAACATCTGGTACACAGTAACTACAGACATTAGAAGGAAAGGCTCCGTCTAAATCTCCATTTGTTTGTGTCGTGCAGTGGGCTGGTGTATTAATTAAATCTTTCACCACAGTGACATCTCACTTGATTGTTACATCCCAGTCACTATAGCACCCACTGCAGACAATTTAATTCTCCGTCTGGATTATTGGAGAAAAACATGTTCTCTGAAAAATCTATGCTGCAAAAGCTCTGAGGAATGAAAATCCATGCTAAAATAGCTCAAGGGATTGCATTCCAGCGTTTGTGGGAGACATGAGTGTTAACTTCTCTGCCAAATCTGCACATACAGGATAGTCTGTCTAGCTTATCACTCATTTACATATTAAGTAACATATTTTAATACTTACAAGGAAAACTTTTCCGAAACTCTGCCAACATATTTTGGCTAATGTCATCTTTAGAACAGGAGAAAAATCTTTCAGCTGCTTCCATAACCTTTGAAAACAAAAACATACAAGGTAAAAATATATACTTCCCAGCTTGTTCAACACTTGATTTAAGTATATATGTATATAAGCTTTACAAGGACTGTCTTGACACATTATTCAATTTAGTCTATGAACTTACACGTTAATCAATGTTCAATTTCACTAAGGCGGCCAGGGTTCGATTCCCCAATCAGACGTGAAAAGGTATGGGTCACCAACCCGATCATGTGGGTTTTCTCCGGGAACACTAGTTTCCTCCAACAGTAAGACTCCCTGCACGCTAACATCCGGGCCAACAAGAGTGATCAGTATGAGTTGTAACAAGGGCCAACAAGAATGATCAGTATGAGTTGTAACAAGGGCCAACAAGATCTAGAGTGATCAGTATGAGTTGTGGCAAGGGCCAACAAGAGTGATCAGTATGAGTTGTGGCAAGGGCCAACAAGAGTGACGGGATGGGATGGGACGGGACGGGTGTTTACATTGAACCGGAACGGGACAGGACAGACATGGGCAACACTATATATGCCCCCCCCCCCCCCCATTTTATGGTAGGTGCATAAAAAGCAATGACAAATTATAAAGTATGGCTGACTTGTTTTTCATCAAATTCAGTGCAGTTACCTTTTCTTTGAGTTCGTTGTTGGCATCGTTTTGAAGACAGGATTTGTAATCTAAGATAGAGGCATAGGTTCTATTTGCCTCCTGTTGTGAGAAGCTCTCTGCAATCAAAGCTTTTCTTAACAGTTCCTCTACAATTTCTTCTGGCTCCTAGATCAGAATCAAACAAGCAAACAAAATTAAATGCTATGTTGATCTTATTGTACTTCACTTTTATTCATAATTTTGTTGTGCTACACACTTAAATGTTTATGCAACAATCAATTCCCTCCCCTAAGCCCCAAGACCAAATTTGGTTAAAATCCCTTAACCAGTACTGAAAAAGGAAGAATAACATTTTATTTTTCGAATTGAGCCCTGCCACTCCACCCTCAGAGGGTCGACACCCTCCATTAATACATTATTGAGTCCCCTTAAGGAGCACAGAATAACTTTGGTAAAAAGAACTTAACCAGTATCAAAGGAATAGGATTTTCAAGTTTTTATTTGACATTACTTCCCTAACTGAGCCCTGTCTCTCAGCCCTAAGTGGGTCCACACCCTCCATTAATAAAAAGAATATCCTTACATTGGTACTAAAGGAATAGAATTTACAAGATTTACTTTAAATCCTCCACTGGGACCCAATTATTTCTACAATTTTGAAGTGAAAATTCTACAGAATTTCTTTTAACTAACATATCCTGACATTTCACCATATCAAAATATTCAAACCTATTAATGAAGAATTTTGAAAATTTAAAACAAACTAAATCAGGTATCATCAGGAATCTAACAAAAAGAGAGAGTTATGGTGAACTTACCTTTTCATCAAAGAAATCAGGGTTCTGCCAGCCTACATAATCCAAAATGTCTACAGATTCCTCAGCAACCAGGTCATCAATAGATGGTCCATCTGTTATCTGCTCATCCTGACAATGGTAAGAAACACAAACAATTTTATGTTTTCATGTGCTGTTTGATAAAAAGTTCAATAATATGATAAAACAATGTCAAGCAGCATAAAAAAGTCATTACAGTTGGACAATTTTGTGTGTTATTTCAGATATCAACAGATGTTGTTTCATATGTAAGATGAGTCGTCCTCAGTGGGCCTAGTTATTCAAGATCGACAAGGTATTGTATGGTAAAACCTGATTTAGGGATCGTCAAAAGTGGCTGCTGAATACAAGTGGCTATTATACAAGTTCTAATTAATTGTTTGACTATAACTATAATACTGTATAACACAAAATGTTCGTGGCTATTTTCCTTAGTGGATTGAAGCCATTTAGATCGTTTCATGGTACAAACTTTTGTGGATATCCTATAATAACAAACAGTAGACACTTATATCATTCAAATTTGTTTGAATTTATTTTCGTGATTCAATAGAAACCACGAAAACCTCGAATGTTTATACACATCGAACATTTCATGTTATACAGTACTATATTCCTTAACAGTGGCAGGATTAGAGAAGTGTCTGCTTATTAACAGAGGTGCTGACAAAGACAGGTTGACTTTAATTTGCATCTGGTATATAAATATATATATAAGAAGCATTCACAGGATTGCTTAGGGATAGGAGTGCCGTGGGGATCATGCATAGACACACATGACTAGGAGGGTTTGTAAAGGCCACTTAACCCCCCTCCCCCACACTGACTGATAAACATGTGAACCAACCAACCAAAGGTTGTAAAGGAATCCCTTAATATTTCCCAGATCTGTACAAGAGATACAAGTTATTAACACTGTAAATACCTGATCTCTTTCCTCAATGGCCACAAAGCTGGTGTAGGGGGTCACAATGGAGTACTCCGTGCTCAGCTGTATAATGGTGTTCTTTCTCTCCTGTTTCAGCACCTGAAGAAGCACAGTTCATACTGAAATCAATTCTGAGAACTTATTCAGCTAGTACTGGCTTTCTGATTGTCAAAGTAGAGAAGCATCTAATCACTTGTTGACTCTGATAATTAGGAGAAAGTTTAGAATGGATTTGAATTTTGTAAATCTGGATTAGAGACCTAGCGGGTGAACTTGGAATAATAGAATCTCTCACCCCTTGCGGGTGAGATAGCGGAATCTCAACATGATGGGGACGATTCTTAAGTTGACAAACATGAGGTTTTGCCGAGTGTAAGGCAACTTAAGAATATTTCCCCAATCTCAACCACAAGCGGGTCAATAATTATTTTTCTCTTAATACCCTGTTCACTCATTGTGTATCATATAATACGTTGTTGACATGATGCTGATGTAATGTTGACGTAACGTCATACAGTTGTTATGAATAGGGGAATCCCCCCGTCTCAACCCTAGGAAAGACAAGGATTTCTCTTACCCTGGACAGGTGTATCCACACTTTTACCGGTGTGATATATCAATGTCACACCCTAGGGTTGAAACGGGGGGATTCCCCTATTCATAACAATGGTATGACGTCACATAAACAATCCATCAACGTCACGTCAACCCTGAATTTAGCCTGTAACATTACAATATGTATATTATACACAATGCAAGAACAGGGTAAGAGAAAAATAATCTCTCATCCCCCTGGGGGTGAGATAGGAGAATCTCAACCCTCAGGGAAAGAATGGTTGAGATTCTCCTAAGTTGCCGAACCTGAGGCTTTGCTGTCAACTTAAGAATCTTCCCCCTCGGGTTGAGATTCCCTCATCTCACCCTTTGGGGTGAAAGATTCTATTATAAACTCACAACAGGAAAAGTGTGTATACACCTGTCCAGGGTAAGAGAAATAAGGATCTCAGTTACGTATACACTGGTGCTTACAATGTGATCACAATACTATGTTTTATCATCTCTTTAGCCTTACTCTTAAAGGCATAATTATGGTTGTCACTGAAGTCTTAGGGGTCAGGTCCTTCCATGGAGGGCTATGTCAAAGTGGTGAATTATTTAGAAACTTTGTTACTGATTCGGCTAGATGGAATTTCTCTTCAGGTTAATCTATAGAACAATGGGATAGTAACCGTTAACCAAGGGTTTAGCACAATGGAAGCACTTGGAAACAGTGATCTTGGTCAGAGTTATCTGCAGTATAGAGTCTATAAGATATCCAGCATGAGTTGGCACCAAACACGTTAAAATTCTTTGATCATGGAGAAACAGGTTATACACTAACAAAACTTTGATAATACTAGATCTGAAATATTGGTTGTATCCATTCATCATGACTAAGTTAATTGCAATGATTCAATCATTACAACAAAACCTTCATGGGAATCATTGCAATATCTTTGGCTAGTTGATGTATAGAGGACCAAACCAGAAAGGACAGCTTTGCAAACAAGTTTTGTATGTTTGGTAAGTACCATCAGAACAACAATCCACCTTTTGTCACGGTCAATGACAGCCAACAGCCAACTCTGTATTATTTCAATTATTCAAAAGTAATTTAATGTTATGATTTTTTTTTTTGTGTTTCTTGAGAATTTGTACCAATAGCATTTGAATAATTGCAAAATAAGAGATTATGTTTGCACGAGTACCTACCCGCTGTTGTATCTTGTCCTCACAAAGGATGCCATCCTCGTAGTCACGGATCACCGCACGAGCCGTCAGCTGATGCAGCATCTGGGGACAAAATATATCCAATCAGGGGAGAGAACTACATGTAAAACAGGTAACATTGTTTTCAATGCTGCTATTCCATCAAACTTTCACACAGGTTGTAGAATTTATTTACTCACATAAAAATCACCAGCTAGGGCCCTGATAATCTGATTTAATTAACTAGAAAGCTTGTGGTGTAAAGTACAAAATATCAAGTAAATATAAATGACAACCAAGAGAAATGCTTTGAATTCACCTTTGGAAGTCTGATGTAAATGTTATGCTTCTGGTAGATAGACTTTAATTTATCTGAATGAACGAGATGTTGAAAAAGGAGTTCTGTTCACAAGCAATGAGATATTATAATAGAATACATTTTCCATTTCTAATTGATGTTGATTACCTCTCCTTGTGTAATGTTGAGTTCTGTTGTTGCTACCATCGTAGAAACCTCCATGTTGTCCACAGTTGCCTTCAAATAGGCCTGTAAAATAAATGATGGTTGCTGTAATTTGTTATTGTTACAAAGAGATATTTACCTTGTTATGATCCGACATTGTAAGTTTGTTATTGTTACAAAGAGATATTTACCTTGGTATGATCCGACATTGTAAGTTTGTTATTTGTCCGAGGCAAATATTACCATCTATATATATCTCTAACAGACTGACAACATTCTGAAATGGAGAAACTCTTTAATCATTTTACAAGAGGCCCTCTTATCACTCACCTGGTTATTTGAGCAATCATGGGAAAATATTCTCAATAAAAGTACTTTTGTAAATATTTTAATATATTGAGTTTCCTTGGCTTAAGAATGCTCCAGACTAAATGAAGCTTTATACTACTCTATCCCAGCATGCTACTTGTCAAACATCATCAATGAGGGCATCCTGGTATTGCAGAAGAAGTATTCACATATTTGAACCCTGTGACTGTAAAGGAGGTCTAGGTAATTTATATGAGGAAACGTGATAGCATTCTGTCCCAGGTACCTACTAGCCAAATATCATTGCTCTAAGCCTCTTAGCTATTCAGAAGAAGTTGTTTAAAGATTTTTACAATTTTGAACCCTGTGACATTGAAAGTATGTCAAGATCATTTATTTGAGGAAACTTTATAGCACTTCATGCCAGGTACCTACTGGCCAAGTATTATTACTTTGGGCTTCCTGGTTATTTAGAAGAAGATGTTTAATTTATTTTTTACATATTTAACCCATGACCTTGAAAGTAGGTCAAGGTTATTTATTGGAGGAAAACTTATAGCACTCTGTCCCATGAACCTACTGGCCAAACCAAATATCATGACTCTTAGCCTACTGGTTATTCAGAAATTCAGAAGAAGATGTTTTAAAGGTTTTTAAACACATTTGACCCCTGTGACCTTGAAAGTAAGTCAAGGTCATTTGTTTGAGGACACTTTATAGCACTTCATGCCAGGTACATACTGACCTAGTATTATTACTCTGGGCCTCCTGGTTATTCAGAAGAAGTTGTTTAAAGGTTTTTTTATATATTTAACCCCTGTGACATAGAAAGTAAGTTAAGGTCATTTATTTGAGAAAATATTACAGCACTCTGTCCCAGGTACCTACTGAACAAATATCATGGCCCTAGGTCCTCCAGTTCTTGAGAACAAGCCATTCAAAGAAAACGTTGATGGGACGATGAACGACAGACTCAATGACGGGCGGATGACAGACGAGTGACAACACGCCATACCATAAGCTCATAGGTGAGCTAATATAACCTTTTTACCTTCTTCATTAAACAGACTAACCAAATTACAACCAGACACAACAATACATTTGTTGCAAAACAGAAATGCAATGGCCAGACTGGGGTTCAAACCTGGAACCCTCACAACACTAGACAGACACTACTATTTGAGCTACCTGGCCACCGACAATCAACCCATTCCAGTTCCACCACACATTAAAAACCCCTTTGCAAAGAACTTAATTCTGCACTTACAGTCTCCTAATATAATCAATATTGATATTGATATTGAATACATCATTTTTGGTCCTGTCAGCTTTGTAATGAACTCGTTTTATTTTATCTAGATATAAAGCGTGATATAACTTGTCCCTACCGATGTGAGTAGTTGAACCCCTGCTTACCAGCACATCAGTGTAATACAAAGTCTCACCTGTGCACAGTTAGGTACAAAGCCATACAAAGATATAACTAGTTGAACCCCTGCTTACCAGCACATCAGTGTAATAAAAATTCTCACCTGTGTGCAGTTAGGTACAAAGCCATACAAAGATATAACTAGTTGAACCCCTGCTTACCAGCACATCAGTGTAATAAAAATTCTCACCTGTGTGCAGTTAGGTACAAAGCCATACAAAGATATAACTAGTTGAACCCCTGCTTACCAGCACATCAGTGTAATAAAAATTCTCACCTGTGTGCAGTTAGGTACAAAGCCATACAAAGATATAACTTGTCCCTACCGAGGGGAGTAGTTGAACCCCTGCTTACCAGCACATCCTCGTAATACAAAGTGTCACCTGTGTACAGTTAGGTACAAAGCCATACATAGATATAACTTGTCCCTACCGAGGTGAGTAGTTGAACCCCGGCTTACCAGCACATCCTCGTAATACAAAGTCTCACCAGTGTACAGTTAGGTACAAAGCCATACAAAGATATAACTAGTTGAATCCCTGCTTACCAGCACATCAGTGTAATACAAAGTCTCACCTGTGCACAGTTAGGTACAAAGCCATACAAAGATATAACTTGTCCCTAACGAGGTAAGTAGTTGAACCCCTGCTTACCAGTACATCAGTGTAATACAAAGTCTTACCTGTGTACAGTTAGGTACAAAGCCATACAAAGATATATCAATATTGATATTGATATTGAATACATCATTTTTTGTCCGGTCATCTTTGTAATGAACTCGTTTTATTTTATCTAGATATAAAGCGTGATATAACTTGTCCCTACCGATGTGAGTAGTTGAACCCCTGCTTACCAGCACATTAGTGTAATACAAAGTCTCACCTGTGTACAGTTAGGCACAAAGCCATACAAAGATATAACTTGTCCCTACCGAGGGGAGTAGTTGAACCCCTGCTTACCAGCACATCAGTGTAATAAAAATTCTCACCTGTGTACAGTTAGGTACAAAGCCATATGAAGATATAACTTGTCCCTACCGAGGTGAGTAGTTGAAACCCTGCTTACCAGCACATCCTCGTAATAAAAATTCTCACTTGTGTACAGTTAGGTACAAAGCCATACACGACCTGTCGTGACCCAGAAAACAAACTTGGGATGTGATTTGGGGCCTGAAGAGGTCTGTTGGTCGTGTCCATGTTTTGCTGCCACTCCACTTTAACACCAGAAATAAGTAGTTGAACCCCTGCTTACCAGCACATCAGTGTAATACAAAGCCTCCCCTGCCTAAATTCAGGTACAAAGCCATACAAAGATATAACTTGTCCCTACCGAGGGGAGTAGTTGAACCCCTGCTTACCAGCACATCCTCGTAATAAAAAGTCTCACCTGTGTACAGTTAGGTACAAAGCCATACATAGATATAACTTGTCCCTACCGAGGTGAGTAGTTGAAACCCTGCTTACCAGCACATCCTCGTAATAAAAATTCTCACCTGTGTACAGTTAGGTACAAAGCCATATGAAGATATAACTTGTCCCTACCGAGGTGAGTAGTTGAGCCCCTGCTTACCAGCACATCAGTGTAATACAAAGCCTCCCCTGCCTAAATTCAGGTACAAAGCCATACAAAGATATAACTTGTCCCTAACGAGGCGAGTAGTTGAACCCCTGCTTACCAGCACATCCTCGTAATAAAAATTCTCGCCTGTGTACAGTTAGGTACAAAGCCATACAAAGATAAGATATAACTTGTCCCTAACGAGGTGAGTAGTTGAACCCCTGCTTACCAGTACATCAGTGTAATACAAAGTCTCACCTGTGTACAGCTAGGTACAAAGCCATACAAAGATATAACTTGTCCCTACCGAGGGGAGTAGTTGAACCCCTGCTTACCAGCACATCAGTGTAATAAAAATTCTCACCTGTGTGCAGTTAGGTACAAAGCCATACAAAGATATAACTAGTTGAACCCCTGCTTACCAGCACATCAGTGTAATAAAAATTCTCACCTGTGTACAGTTAGGTACAAAGCCATACACGACCTGTCGTGACCCAGAAAACAAACTTGGGATGTGATTAGGGGCCTGAAGAGGTCTGTTGGTCGTGTCCATGTTTTGCTGCCACTCCACTTTAACACCAGAAATACCTGGACGGCATGCCTTCTGAACTTGAGTGTTCATCTGGAGAGTATTAAAACATAAAAGTGACATAGAAGTACAAGACTACCTCTTAAATATCTCTTAAAGATGAAATTTTCAGAGATCATATTTAACTCAATTACCCCTGAAGACACATTTGAACTCTTCCAATTCAAAGTTTGGAATAATTCATTATGAAATCAGGGGTGAATGAGTTAACTAAGGGAATGGATATTGATTGACAGCTTTAAACACGTATTTCCTGTAGATTGTCTCTTTGTAATGCTATATTTCAAATCTATATGTATAATTGTTTCTGTAAATCATACTGAACCACTTCTACCAGTATTCCAATATGTAATGTGATGATTTCAGTAGCAAAATTTGTTTTTAATTTGTGATCTAGTCTGCATGTTTCTACCCTATTAAGCTTTAATCATTGACTAAGCTCTGATTTGAATTATGTCCCTGTTTTTTGAGAGACTTCAAGAAATTCTTGAAGAATTTGGGCATTATCTTCTGTTCCAATAGGTTCAGTGAAATTATATGGCAGGAAAAACATGAAGTTTATCGCTCAACACGAAAGTTGCGAAATTGTATATTAGAGTAAAGACATTGAGATCACTATGATATAGTTTAACCACTAAGTTTGTTACCTGTAATTTAGACTCACCCCCTTTCCTATGCTAAAGGAAAGCTCGTTAACATTATTTGCAAAAAGAAATTTAACAAGGAACTCAGTGTTATATTTTTTGTTCATTCTGACTTAAATGACTGTTTGCTTTGTAGTGAACTTTGTGAATATAAATGCCTGAGTCATTCTACTAGTATGAGAGTTCAAACCAAGGTCTACAGTATAGTAATGTTTGAAACAAAAAAACGTCCACCACTTTAGAAGAGACCCAGTACTGTGTTAAAATTACAATCCTTCATATGAGATTTGTTAGTGCAGATGCTTGGGTCAGATTATTTTCTCAGGATGATGCTGAGAGTTTCTCCCTTGCTTACAACCAACAATAACAAAGCCTCATACAACAAGGTGATGAGACTGGATCACTCACCCTGGCCTCCCAAACGGAGCGTGTCTTATAGTTGTAATGGTAATAGGTACCGCCTCCTCGTGACGCCAGGCTCCGCATCAGGTGGTGGTTCACGTTTTGTCTTCATAAAAACATCAAAGTTCAAAATATTACTTACTTTACACATAAATACCTTTATATACATTTTGAAAAAACCCATCATGCTTCAATTCCAATTGATAATCAATAGCCTACACCTCAACATCATACGTCCTGCCTCTATCCTGTGAAACACTTGCACATCCATTTACATACTGTATAGTTGTTTAATTTCAAATCTAATTTTAAAGGGCTCATGTTATGCAGCTATCTTGATTGGAACTATTTCACAGGGATGAAAATTTTTGAAACACCAGCAAGTCAAAACTTCAGTGTCACTGGCTACTTTGGTATAGGTACTAGCACAGACTTAGATAGCAATCCCATCTAATTCTCTGAAACTAGGTAAAATTGATTTATAATACTGTAGGCAAGTTAGATTAGTACCGCACAACCCTCAAGTCATGGACATGTCCAATTTACAGGTGAGGTTTATTTACTTTTCAATAAAAGCGTGTAAATCACATTTGTTTTTACTAATTGTTTAATAACAACCTTGCTTGGGAAAGGTTTGAAAACAAACTGACATCGACAACACCACAACATGGTCAGCTGGTTGAAGTTTGGTCACCTGTTTTTTTAGCAGTAATTATAAGCATGTCTATACACTCTATGTGGGCCTGTTTATAGTCACAGCAGTTATAATTGACAGCAATATTAAATATTGGCTAGATGTTAAATTTTCATAATTTTGAATGGCCTTGAAAATAGCAAAATTCAATCTTCCATGAATAATACCAACTGGTTAGTAGAAATTCAACATAAATGAAACGCACCGATCAAACTTAACTTATCTTTTTCATATAAAATCTTAATTTACAAAATAATCATTACATATACCATATTTACCCAACACCAATGGTGAAGACTCTATTTTTAGCATTTCCTTTCCTGATTGTTGACAGCAACACATCACTGTTGCTAAGGTAACCATCTGAGATGAGGAAGACACTCCTGCTGCCCTCTGCTGGACTGAGAAGGAACAAGGACTCTACTGGGTAATCAACATTGCTTCCTCCCAAATGTGGCTGCACAGCCTGAAATATCATTATAACATTATAATCAGTATATTTGACGTTATTCAATAATCACATCAATTCAAAATTTAAACATCCCATTTCTTTCATGTGATATTTACTGTTGCAATGATTTTCCCAGGTGTGAATTATACCACAATGTTTGTCGCAGTATTTTTAATTTTAAATTCTGAATGGATGCTTGATGATGAATTAAGTTACAGCATAATCATTAATGCTGTGTTATGTGCAAAATTATTTTTGAATAAATATTCATTAACTATGCCCTTGAAAGTGTTGTTTGGCTTTTTTAATGCAATTACATTATGTATAAGGAAAAATCAAAATTATTTTGGGGTAATGCAGTATATACAATGCGATTTATGCAATGTGAACACAATTTAGTAGGTATTTAAATCAGGAACCAATTACATAGAACTCAGATATAGGTCAGCAAATAATGGCCCCATCCTGACAGTTTATCTAGAATGCAAAATTGCGAAGAAAAAGTCTTATGCAGTGATCACTAGGAATTTGGAACATTGTAATAAAAAGTTACAGACTAGGTAATATGACTTCAAAGTTGAAACCCCAGCCAATGAGAAACTATGTCAGCCAACTTGTTTCATGGGTATCGGACAATATGTTCATATTCACCATATGGACTGTCCCTTATAAGCATCATTTTCCATGACATATGAACAAAATTGTATTAACAAAACAAAAGTTATGTCTCAGCCAGTCAGAAGCAATAGATGTCGGCCATCTTAGATTTCAGGATTAAGGAAATATGGCATTATAGATGTACAGGATATCTGCCAAGTAACATTTGCAATCATAACAAACACTGACCAAGTCATAAAATGTAGTTTTAACAGTAAATCACTCCTGTTTTATTATTAGTATCAGTGACCTTGACCTTGACTTGTTGCAATCTTGGATTACGGGTTCAAGGTTATATGGTGCTACAATGTATAAATGAAGCATAACCAACAATTAAAAATGCAACACTGACAGGTCACACAGGCAATGAAGTTTTAGCAATAGTGACTGACCTTACGCTCTTTTTAAACTCCCATTGCACATGCATGTGCATATTGACTTTGACCTTATGAACTTTTATAACTACCATTGCATATGTGCATATAACAGTAAATCACCATATAAAATTTCATAAGTTTTGGACTTCTGGATTCTGAAATAATCACCAAAAACTATAAGTGTGGACAAACACTCCTAGCTAGGACCAAGCAATGATAGCCGATTTCCTGCATGTTCTGGATGGTAGATAGTCTAATTGTTTAACGGTATAATAGATTTTCATTGCTGGAACCAAATTCTTATTTTAGACAAAATAAAAATCTATATTTGAACCGCCTGGTTTAGACAGTGAAGTAGTATTTAATATTTTATCAAATACTTAAGTATATTTAACAAATCAAAATTATACAATTTTTTGATAAGAAAAAACCTTTCTTTTATTGAATAAATATTTTCAAACTTTACGTTGAATTACCGTAAAACCCTCTTATGCTGCCTCAATTTGTTCATAAAAATTATTTCCTAAACACAGTTTTAATGAAAAAAGAGCGTTACATTGCTCCGATGATTTAGCCACAGCTACAGAGATATCTTATATCACTGTTTAGAAATCCAGTTGAAAAGCTGTCACAAATAACATTAACTGACAAGCACAAAATGTGTATGTTAACAGGACGGACAAATACTGGTGGACTTTTAAACTTCTAAACAATTTTACAGAGATGTGTATGTTTAATTCATACAAATGTAAACAATGTTCACAAAAAGACCATACAGCACCAACAGTGAACCCTGAGAACAAGCCAATTTCTGTATCGTCACGAGTTTACCAAATTAAGGATATTGTCACACATAATCATAAAAATTGCTGCATATTATATAAAAACAACCTATAATTTAAATTGATAATGTTAACAAGGTCAAAAGCTAAATATCTGTTTTTATATATATTTAATTAAATAATCACTGAAGTGTTATATTACCAGAACTACAGTTGCAGTTCCGTACAGGAGGGTCAAATTAACATAACTCAAACATGAAGTCTGAATACGGTAAACAATCATTTTTAAATTAAGAAAATATTACCAAAATATATGCATATGGATCAATAATGATTTAAAGAAGACAAGACAAACTTACAATACATGTCTGTAATAATCACTTTTAACATGGGCCACCCAACACAGAATAAATACACTTAGGACTAACCAGTCTTAGTCTCATCTTCATATAATAGATAACTGTTGAGAATCCATCTACTACATCTCAGTAATAGACAGATTTGTAGCCATGGTTGTAGAAAGATATTGCGGGCTTCATTTTCTTCTCAAAGTCCTCTAGGATAAACAGCTTGATTATAAACATTCAAGACGAGGAAAACCACTATGTGCATACAGGTAAATTTGTTATTAAAGTTACAAAAGGTAAGCGATAAGCAACATGCGATTCATGTGTAATGAAAAATATGTTTGTCTTCCAGATTTGATTTAAGAGTCAATATCATCATTTTTGAATTTTTTCAAATTCCAACATTCTTGCTGAAAAACACAATTACAGGAAAATGCTGATAGGTAAACATGTTTAATGATAACAATTTTCTTCATAGATTTGCATCAAGAATGGTAACTTTACCAAGTAAATTTTGTAACATCATTTTTGTCAAAATATATAACCTCTAATTTTATTTCGCCAAGTATTTCTATTTATCATCATTTGTTATTATAGGAAAAGGGTTGAGGCCAAAAGTGATAGGCTCTAAAAGAGGTGTCATTTTATAACATATACTTCAGACATCACTAGCGTACTTGATTTACTAACCAGTTGAGACAAAACAAATCAAGAATTTCCTACAGAGATGGATTCCCGCACAAACAAAATTTTGATTCTCATCATCTCATCTCTGGCGTTGACCTTTGACCTAATTTGTGATTGGCTGTTTTATTATGAGGTCAGTGGCCTGGAACAAGGCCTTGTATTTGAACCATTTCCTAGTACATGTAGTGTGATGTCATCACTTCTTGCCTTCTCTGTTATAGGAACCATGACTTACATAACAGAGGTGATTGTTATAATTATGGATGTGAAGGATGAGAGTCACCTCCCCTCATGGCTATTGGACGGAGCAAATGTGATTTTGGTATGGGAAAATGTTCCATTGATATTCCTTAATGTCTACATTGCAGGATGTTGCAAGGTGGCAGTCAGTATTTTACAAATGGTTAAGGCCATAGCAGTGATGTTAGAGGTCTTGACCATAATCAGTGTCACATTTTCGAAAAAGGATTTGCAGAACACGAAACTATCAAAAAACAAGAGAAAAACTGACACAAAATGTCTGCTATTTACCAAGATCCTTGGACTAACAATTATGTTAAGTGGTTCTATTCTTGTGTTAGTGTTATTGACTCAAAGAATGTTATACAATTCTCGAGTCCAGATAAATTCAACCGTGAGAAGTACATCATGGAAAGCCATCTAAGTGAGGCAGGGATTTATATGAACTTTTATCCCAATCAAGAGGACGTTGCAACAATGGAAACAACTGAGTTGCTCAAACTGGCTGATTTGTCAAAACTTACTACTAGTCAGTCAAAAACTAGTGTTACCATTTTAAAATTTGACAAGAGGCCAAACAAACAGTTTGGATTTAAACAACAACAGACATCATCTCGTGGACAAATCTCACATCGACATGCTATTCCACTGATGTGATACCACTACAGATTGGCACCACATGCAGTGCTGACCTATCACATCCCACCGCTGCCACCACAGCGGTAGTGTTTAAGTTTGTGTACCAGGCTGGCAGCAACCGTGTCCAACTAGGAGATGTACACTACAACTACAGGATGTACCAGATGAGTACTGTAACACAACCCTTAACACCACCAGTACACCCAAGTTCTCCATCAACTATTTCAAGGTCAGTTTTATTGCATCTTAGCGTTTTTGTTTTTTAAATAAGTTTTTCAGTGTAGAGATATAATTTGCTTGGCCCCTTAGCCTTAAATCAGCTTAAACCATGTGTCTGTCAGATAACTTGAATTTTTGTTATATACTAACATTGTTTTCTAATCTTACACAAAGAATACAGGCCTTTTTCAGAGTAAATCCCATATTCGTGGTTGTCATCAATTGAACGACTGAAACTTCTTTTCAGGTTCAACTAGAAATGTGTCTGTTAGACAGGGATGTCCACTTCCCACACTTAAGACCCAAAGCAATTTCATAGAGGTCAAGGTCATAGTCAAGGATTTAAAAATATTGTGGGACATTTTCTTCTGATAAAAGCACATAAATATGTAAAGTTGCATGAACCTTAATGCAGAACATAGTCAACAAACTGCCCAGGGGCCTTGATAGCTAGCTCACCTAAATTTTATTTTTTTTAATTTTTCAACCTTTTGGATACGATACATGTTTATCAAAGGGAGTATCAGAAACTCATTTAGCTGTTAAAACAGGCTATACACTTTTTTGGGTCTTCCTCAAAACATTTTATTACTCTACACCTTATGTATCTTTGTGAATCTTTGTTGGAAGATTTGAACATATTTTATTGATCTGAACTAAAGATGGTTAGTCTAGTTATTTATTCACTTTTAACACATCATATAAACAAATTTGACCCCTGTGTCCTTGAAAATAGGTCAAAGTCATTCATTCGAACAAATTTGATAACCATGCATTGCAGTATATTACTGGCTAAATAACATTACCCTATGTCATTTGGTTATTCAGAAGAAGTTGTTTGAAGTTTTTAACAAATTTGAACCCTGTGACCTTGAATACGGTTGAAGTTCATTCTCTTCAACTTGATAACCTTTCATCTCAGCATGTTATTGGCCAAATATAACCTCCCTATGCTTCTTGGTTATTCAGAAGAAGTTGTTTGAATTTTTTCAATAAATTTGACTCCTGTGACCTTGACTATTGGTCAGGGTCATTCATTTGAACAACTTGCCAGTCCTTTATTCCAGCATGCTACTGGCCAAATATCATCACCCTAGGCCTTTTGGTAGTCAAGAATGAAAATAATGAAGGTGATGTAATAATTGACCTAAATCTAACAGGTGGTAAAAAGTGCCTGTATTCCTCACTTGTCCAATGTGTAAAGTGATTTGGTGTGCAAGATATTAGTGGACGTCTGTAATATTTAATTGGTTTATTTCAACAATACCAGTAATATGAAATTGTGAATGTACTTAATCTACACCTTATTTGCCCTAAATGACTCAGCACAATTTTATGTTTGTGACCTGGATAGTCAAAGGTCAGTCATTTCTTTTTTCAACCTATACATTCTTGGGATCATTCAAATTGTCATGATTCCAGGCCTTTTGAAAGAAGTCATTTGAATTTCTTGACATATTTGACGTCTGTGACCTTGAAAGTATGTCAAGGTCAACTCTTGACATGGAAATGATGATGGGCTCCATCCTAGAAAGCAACCAGCAAGATACCATGACTCTAGTTATTTTATATCTGACTCTGGGGACCTTCAAAGTAGGTCAAGCCCACTTTTTCCCCCCACACACATTGTATGGCTCTGTCCCAGAAAGCTACTGGCCAAATATCATGATTCTATGCCTTCTTTTGAACCCTTTCAACTTGAAAGTAAGTCAAAGTAATTTTATTTAGCAAACTTTGGCTGAATGTACCCCAGAAAGCCTATACCCAAATATCATGACTCTTGGTTATTTTTGTTTTTCAAAAGAAGTTGTTTGAATATTTGGCATGTCTGATCCCTGCAACCTTGAAAGTGGATCAAAGTAATATTTGTTTGCAAACTTTATTGGGCTCTTTCCCAAGAAGCTGCTTGCCAAATAGTACAATTTTTGGCCTCGTTTTTTTAGAAAAAGTCGTTAGAAGTTTTTGACATAGTTGACTCCTATGACCTTGAAGTAGCTTAGGGCCAATCCTGGTAGGATGCATTATTCCAATCTAATATTTATTCACTTTTAAACTCGACAGGCGTATAACAACTGATTCAACTACTCATTCAACAACAACTGGTTTAATACTTCGGGATTCAAACCCTATGGATCCAACAACATTACCTGTTGAATCATCCACTACTGGTTCAACGAACATAATTATTGGAGATGAAAACAGAAATTCCACAACCTTTCCAGGTGTAGATCTATAATGCAAAAGGAGCAGCGATTTGGTACACTTCCTCAGTTATAAGGAAGAAGTTTTTGTTTCAGCATAGTTCTTCTTTTGTACAATGTTAAAATTCAGTTTCATGTTATATTTGAGTAAAACATTGATGGGATTTTGGAATTTCCTCTGGAATCTAAACTGGGAAATATTAATGTAATGTAGTATTGTTAAACAACTAGGCAGAGATACATTGTAGACTTGTAACATGTGTATCCCCATTTAACTATCATTTCAACTTATTTGTGGTTTATTCAAACTTACAGAAGTACTAGAATCATCTGTCTGAATTCACTTTAAAAACTCAAAATCCAACTTTCTAGATTAAAAAGCCACCAAAATGCTGAATAAAATTAATCAAAATTATATTGAAAATGGACCCATCTGTCACCTTGATATTCCTTGATATTTTCCTTAATTTTGAAATATTTGCTGTAACATATTTCTGTTTAAAATGTTGATGTAAAGTTTGTGTTGTAAACTAAGTAAAACAATTGCACTGTAACTATAAACCATAAATCTACATACTTTTCAGCTGTTTTGGGCTATATTATATACAAAGTAAACCAGGTTTAAAATGAAGCACAGAAAAGATACTTACAATTAAGGTGGTTTTCTCTAATACATTTCATCCGATGTAATATATTGTAAATAATGCTCATATAAGTGATGGTTATATATTTTCTACCGAAAAAATCATTCAAGGAGCATAAAAAAAATCCATTATAATGAAGTGATCGAAACTAAGCGTGAGTGAGCATGTTTCACTGGGTAAGTCCTTTCTGTTCTGAAATGTGAAATCATTGTAAGATAATGCCTTGAACAAGAAATCATACAAAGTGAAAATCTTACCTGTACAAATTCTGTAACTTTCTGTAAAGTCTGTTTTGTCATCTTTTGAGGTGAAGGAAAGAGTTCCGAGTAAGATGTGCCAAAACTGACTACATTGATGAGGGCTTTCTCTGGTAACTTTTCAACAGCTAACAGGAACACCTGTTGGTTAAGTAATCACCTGTATACTATTGTTTGTTATCACAATACCTGATCTCATACCTTATATTCAGCTAAAACAGATGAGTTAAATAAAGATTTAAATATGGTTTGCCTTATCACAATACTTTTCATACCCAATATACACCTAAAAACAGATAACAGTTTTAATGTTTTCCCCTTATGTTAACCTTTAGGTACAATGTAAAATTTTTATCATTTAAAGACATTGGTTCTGACATTCTAAATTGATCAAAATTAGGTTTCAAACTTTTCAATCTATCATGACCTTACTTGAACTTGCTTATCCTTGTAACCTACCTTTTTTGCATCTCGAGCTGACTGACCCTTCATGGAATTAGACATGTCCAGCAGGAATACAATCTCGGGGTCCTCCTCTAACTCCGCCTCAAACTCGGGGTAGAACGCCAGCATACAAGCCTATTGAAAAGCCACAAAAATCTAAAATCGTTTATCCAGGGCAAAAAATCACAGATAACTCCGACACCACTCATTACAAAAAATTATATAAACATTTAAAGACTGCCTCAATAAAATTTCCTTTCAAACTGTTCAAGCTGGATTTTGACATCTGGGGCCTGTTTGTTTATGTGGAACAACCTGTTTGTCCATTTTTAAATGCAACAGTTTCGGGTATAGATCCTGGCGGACCTGCATATGTTTTAAGCAGCATTAGATTACTAGGTCTGACCTTATTTCATGAACGAACAACTGTGGTCTGACCAGTTCAACCGTTTAAACGAAAACGGCCCTGGTCGAGTAAGGAGCTGGATGTTCATGTTTCTCGCATCCTAAATAGTTCAGTTGGACCAGAAGTTTTATTAATCAAATAGATATATAAACCCAGTTTGTTTTTTGATGAGCCATGACAATGCTTGCATAAACCTTTGCAGGTTTGCCAGATTTAACCCCTTGAAAAAATGTTTTTTAAACATAGAGACAGCAATCATTCAGGATAAATGAAAATTCCCCATGTAGACAAGCTTAAGGTCCAATGGGTGTTTTTCCCAATGACTGATCATGTCACTTACCTGACTGCCCTTGGTTGGATGTCTCTCCACCCACATACGGGGTACATGGATTTCAGCCAAGGTGACCAGGAGAATAAAACCATCGTCCAGTCGGGCATTCCTTGGGAGCTCTACTACGGCTTTTGTGGCTGTTTTCTATTCAAAAAAGTATTCCAATGTACGTAAAATTACACCAGAGATGTATGATAGTTTGGAAATATGGTAAGTAAGCTATATAATCGGTTTTACATATTAAGTATAAAAACCTAACCTCACTTTCATATAACAAAACAAAATCTTAATCCCAATGGGAATTTCCCTTGTATTTAAAGGTATGACAGCTCTATCTACAATATTTACCTTGTATTTGACCAGGTGCGTTGGTGACATAACATTGCGTATATCAAAAGGCATCTCCATGGAAACCTGTAGTGACAGTGATGACCTTCCACCATCTTGGATCTTGAGTGTGTCAAGGTCAACCTTGAAAAGTTAAATAAACATCTGTAATACTTTTTATGTTAAATTTTTAGATATGAAAAAATATTTTCAAAGATGTGACTGCTTCCAGACTTAAAATTTGTTGGTCGATAGAGTCGGAACATTTTTTTTCTGATATTGTGAACAAGCTATATTTGCTTTAAAGTAAATAGAATATAAAACTTTCCCAAGACAAACGTAAGGACAGCAGCTTTCTACATATTTCATATGTTGCTCATCTCATTAGTCACTCTTGAAGTAAGCAGCCTCAGTAATGATATCAACCTCTACAGATGTCTTTTACATGCATTGTAACAAAGAACCTACGGCTGGGAGTTATAGCTGATGGACTATTCTGGTATAAAGCTCTGTGGTAGACTGGAGATAATAAACTTTCTTAAAAGTACATCACATTTGTATGAGGCATCAAGGTAAGCTGACTGCATATACCAGTACCTAAGTCCATGTGCTGTAATAAGATAATTTGGACAGCATATATTGAAATTATCTCTATACAAGAGAACCACTCACCTGAGTCTGCTGTGCCAGTGCTGTATCTTTGACCCATGGAGCAACAGAGGCTGGCACTCTGAACGCGATGCTCTCTCCCTCCACCTGTAGCTCTGTGATATAGGTAATCTTGATCAGGACATCTGACTTAGGTGGCAAGTTACCCACGCTAACTGTAAACACATCCTGTCATACAAAGACAAAAATCACTGACATATTTCTAACTCATCTTCAGATTTAGAACGTAAATTCTTTTCCTGGGAAAAGTCTATTTATTCAGGAATTCTTTTTTTAAACAGTGCTTCGGCAAATCTGTAATACAATTTGATTTTCCTACCTACTTAAGGTTCAGGTTTACAGACAATGTTTAGACAAAAACTGTAAAGCATTAAATTTTGTAAATACTTCTTTTCATGATTGTTTTTTTCAACAACTTACTCCCAAGGATAATTCGGAATTAATTAGATCTTGCAAAAGGAATAAGAGCAATATGTCGCCTGAATTAATTATTTTTTTATAAGATACTGGAAATGAACATATTTTAGCAGTAATTTCACATTTTAGTGCTTCTTAGTGTAATTTTATGATTGCACTAAATTGAAGTTTATTTGGTTGATGTGCCCATTCATCAATGGATTAGTCCATTAAACAAGAGGCCCAATGGGCCTGCATCGCTCACCTGGTATTAATCTCACACTTGTAATCATAAGATTTCATAAGAACCTATTAAAAGATTTAAACATATGATGCCTGTGACCTTGATTGTCAAACAAGGACATTAGGTTGAAAGTTGGTCAAGGTCATTCATTTGAACAAACTTGGTAGTCCTTCATCCCAGCATGCTACAGGTCCAATTTCAGTACCCTGGGCCTTTTGGTTATTGAGAAGAAGTCGTTTGAAGATTTAAAGACATTTGACCCCTGTGACCCTGAAAATTGGTCAAGGTCATTCATTTTAACAAACTTGGTAGTCCTTCATCCCAGCATGCTACAGGTTCAATATCAGTACCGTGGGCCTTTTGGTTATTGAGAAGAAGTTGTTTGAAGATTTTAAGACATCTGACCCCAGTGACCTTCAAAGTTGGTCAAGGTCATTTATTTGAACAAACTTGGTAGCCCTTCATCCCAGCATGATACAGGCCTAATATCAGTTCCATTGGCCTTTTGGTTATTGAGAAGAGGTTGTTTGAAGATTTTAAGACATTTGACCCCTTTGACCTTGAAAGTTGGTCAAGGTCATTCATTTGAACAAACTTGGCAGTCCTTCATCCCAGCATGCTACAGGCCCAATATCAGTACACTGGGCCTTTTGGTTATTGAGCAGAAGTTGTTTGAATATTTAAAGACATTTGACCCCTGTGACCTTGAACATTGGTCAAGGTCATTCATTTGAACAAAATTGGTAGCCCTTCATCCCAGCATGCTACTGGCCAAATATCATCATCCTAGGCCTTTTGGTTACTGAAAAGAAGTTGTTTAAAGTAAAAAGTTGACGCCGGACAGACGGACGACAGACGACGGACGCCGCACCATGGCATAAGCTCACTTGCCCTTCGGGCAGGTGAGTTAAAAAATCAAAAGTTTGCCAAAATGTGTATGTTTACAGTATTCAATTAAAACAAAATACACCACGACTCATGAATGAACACAAAAGTCTGCCCTGTATTTGTAGGTGTCAGCCTCTGAAACCTCCAATGACAGGGATCTCTCATTCCACATTTCAAACGAGGGGGAAAGTGTGTGAAACATGACAGAAACTGATTTGCTCAATTTATTTTCCCCTTTTAATGCATCAAATAAATAAGCTCCAAAAAAACTTCATTTGATTCACACATACCTGTTAGGATCGTCTCAACCGCCCTGCAGTAACTAGGAGATCATTTGACCACAGGATGTAGATTTTGCGTTTGTGTGAGTTTGGACTTGAATGAGGGAAATTGGTAAATTTTGGTCAAAATGAGGAGGTCTTCCTCCTAATGAGGCAGGGGTTGACAGTTATGGGTGTTTATATAATCTTACCGGCTCCTCCTCATCCATGAGGTAGGCACCATGTCCTTTACTGATAGCCTCCTTGTACTCTTTGTGGGCAGTCTTCTTTTCCTTCACCTTACCTGAAAACGAATCAGTCCACAAAATTTGGTAATTTTCTTTTTCATACAATAATTAGTTATTTACCATTTGTGTAGAATTCAGTATGATATTTAAGACACTCAAAATCTTGCCCACAAAGTGCTGGCAAACATGTCTCACTAGCTTCACATTGATATGGTATAGAGTTTAATACAACTAATTAAAATGTACAATCCTACAGTCCTGATTCAAAACATTATTAAAATCTCTGGACACTGTTAATAAGCAGACCATGTTTATCTTAAAATGTTTTTAATAATCAAATGTATGACTCACCAACAATGTGTTTTCCATTAATGAATGCTTCAAACCCACAAACAGCTGCTGTGTCATCCAGTGGGAAGATGTACTTGGCCTCGATCGCCGAGTCGTTGTCATTTCTGTATTTCTGGAGAACCACAACCTGGAACAAAGAGTAGTTCTTGTGATAAAACATTAACAGTGTTTGTATGTATCTGTGATAAAACATTAACAGTGTTTGTATGTAACTGTAATAAAACATTAACAGTGTTTGTATGTATCTGTGATAAAACATTAACAGTGTTTGTATGAATCTGTGATAAAACATTAACAGTGTTTGTATGTATCTGAGTTGATAATTGAAAGTAAAACAAGAGGCCCAGTATCGCTCACCTGGATAATAAAGCAATAATGGGAAATTATTTTTATTACATAAAATCCCTCCAATGGAGAAGAAGAAAGAATTTAAAGATTAAAACCTCGAATTTCTCTTTTGCCTATTTGGCCCCGCAACTCTCAGCACCCAGAGAGGCCTCACCCGGAAATCCATTGATCCCTATTGTATAAGCAGGATTTCAAAGTTTTTTACCTCTATTTCCCCTATTGGGTGATGCAACTCTGCCCCAGGGAGGTCCAAACCCACCAATTATATAAAATTGAGTCCCCTTGGCCCAAGGATGCTCCAAAAATAAATTGGGATGAAATCCCTTGATCCCTATGGTAAAAGAAATATATTAAAAGTTTACCTCTATTTCCCCTATTTGGCCCCACCCCTCTGCCCCAAGGGGGTCTAAACCCACCGTTTATACAACATTGAGTCCCCTTAGTCCAAGGATGCTCCAGACCAAATTAAGATATAATCCCTTAATTGCTATGGTAGAAGAAGGATTTTAAATGTTTTACCTCAATTTCCCCTATTCGTCCCCACCCGTCTGCCCCAAGGGAGTCCACACCCACCATTTATATAACATTGAGTCCCCTTAGCCTAAAGATGCTCCAGACCAAATTTAGTCAAAATCTACTAGGCCATTCAGGACAAGTAGTGTTTTAAAGGAAAAGTTGATGGATGGATGGACGAAGAACGACGAACGCTGTGCCATGGCATTAGCTCACCTGCCCATTGATTTAAATGATCCAAAGAATTTACAGATCAGAGTAAGACAGAAATTGTGCAAAAAACTAATTGCAGCAGGTGGGGACACAAAGATTAGTACCTACCAACTCCATCTCCTCATATTTATGGACCAACCTTAAACCATTCACTTATTACTTACAGAGGTCTGATCTGTAAAACTATGGATTTACTTTTAACACAGATGTTTCTGGCATTTCACTGACCTTAGCCACCATGTCCAGCATACTGGCCCTGATATGGACACACTTGAGAGGTACTGATTTTTTACCCCCAATCAGGCCCCCAGGGACTTTCTGGAGAGGGTCTGGAAGGTCTTTAACATCAGATATGTCTGAAAAATTGGTTAGTTGAAAAATTAGGATTTTACAATCCTTTGATAGTCAGCTCTTAAATAAAAAATATTTTAATAAAAACATATTTCACAAGTTTTGACATTAAGATTTCGATTTTTTCTTCAACACTGTATTTCTGCATTTGGTGTTGCCAGTGTTCATCTTATTGTTTATATTGTTTAACTATGCTTGAACCGGCAACATTAGACGGAAGATTGTTCTATAAATCAACAGTTCTCTGTGTAAACAAAATTTGTCTAATATCTAATCTTGAATGCGATTTGTAAATTTTAAAGCCATGTCCACTATAGATGAACTTCATTTCATTAACAGAGAAAAAATGAAATTGAAAGCAATTTACAGCTTGAACAGTTGCTCATTAAAACTATACAGATTCCTCCAAAAAACACTTCATTATAAATGGTTTTAAGAAGTGTGAATTAAAAATCTGTATTACAGTTTTGAAGTGGTCAATCTTACAATAAATACTAGAATAGTGATAAAAGTCTGTTAGATTAATAACCCAGCAGATTCCTAATCAAATGGTCTATGGTGTGTGAAGTTTCGTGACAATCGGATAAGGTTTGGTTTGTATTGTTTAACTACTTCCGTACCGCAACTCCAGTCCGGATTCCGTATCCGATGTCCTTACTAAAATCGCCCCCGCACATATAAAAAAATGGCGGATTATTAATGTACTTTTAAGACGAGGTGTAACTGCTGCAAGAAATAAACAGGTAACCGTGAACAAATGTTGTTACTGTTTTATGGAATTGTTTAAAGACATACACATCTTCATTTCTGAAGCATTATGACTAACTTGCAACTGATTATGAATGAGAAATCGACATTTGTCCGGCACGAACAATATGATTCCTTTTGTTTTTTCTAAAAAAAAAAATCAGGTTGGTAAGTATGGATTATGAGAAGTTCTTTTTACACAACCAATAACATTTTCTATGTGACGTTTCGATGACTAGTACGATATGTACACTGTCACCTTCATCAGACAAATGACCAATGAAGCATATGCACACAAAGGTGTAAAATGTGTACGAGTTATCCATAAAATCTATGTCGATTTCGGCTACGCTGGAAACGTATATGTACAATAGTTGTTATATATGTACCGAAATGACTCAGTTCAGCTACGCTTTGTTAACACTTGGTCATAGACGTGAGAGTCTTTGAGCCCCCTCGTCTCGATTTAGAACTGGCCCACTGCGGCGTATCCAGATAGCTTCCTTTCTTTGGTACATATATAACAACTATTGTACATAATATTCCTATTTACTTCCAAAAGTCTCATTACATAATTAGTGATAATATTACGAGTGTTCGTACCGAATTAAGTCGCCGCCATATTGTGTATGTTGGAGACCAGTAAATGCAAAAATCTTGTGGGAAATTTGAAAACAATAGGTCACATGATGAAAAATGTGTACCCTGCACCTATAAATTTTTTTTTTTTTCCAAATAGTGGGTGGTGATTTTAGCGACAATTAATTTGATTACGCGACTTTCGTGTGCAATTACTAGCTAAAAATAAGGCAGGTAACACCAAAGTCTCTTAATTGTCGTGTATACACGACATTATACACGACATCAGGGATGAGACGGCATATATTTTTGTGGTGTGCGAGATGCATGCGTGAAGTGTTATGTTCGTGTTTGTCCTCTTGTGATAGCGCGAACTGATGTCAACTTTATAGTACTACCGCACTAAAGCATTCTACCGAAGACATCCAACAGGACACCTCACCCGGTCACATTATACTGACATTGGGCGAATCAGTTGTCCCACTTCCAAAATGCTGAGCGCTAAGCAGAAGTAGAAACTACCATTTTTTGAATAAGAAATGATGTTTGCAAAATGTGTGTAAAATTTTGTGAAAAACAAATAAGAAATGAAGTCTGTAGAGCAGTGACACCATTTGGGACACCTATGTACGTAGGATGAAAAAATGTACGGGCAGATCCCTATATACCCTCAACGATTAGTTGACTAGGGTATAATAATCTGGAAAATATTTTAGAACCAAAGAGACTTGATTAATGAGGTTTGATGGTATAGGTTTTTTCAATTCATTTAAAAACAAGAGGCCCAAGGGCCTTAGCGGTCACCTGAGTTATATCATAGGTACTGGTAGCTTTATTTTATTGTTTAGATGTGAAGTGGAAATCAGCATGTAAACTAAGTGAAATACAATACTTGTCATGACATCAAAGGATAAGAATTTGAAAATATTGGTAAATGTTCCCTTTGGGGCCCCGCCCTAGCCCCTGGGGATGGGACAGGATTCCCAAAGTAATACTCTCATTCACCAAAGATGATTCTGACTAAGTTTGAGTAATTTTCTGCTGAAAATGGATAAAATATATATCCAAAAGTGTTATTTCCCTATATAAACTATAGTAAACTTTACCCCCTCCCCAAGGGAGAACGGATAGCTCGGGGGTCCTGAAATTTACAATTTAAATAAAACCCCTGGTGATCTTTCCATCCATGCAGAGAAAATGACTGTAATACCTCTGAGTCTGGAGAAGAAGATTTTTGAAATATTGGTTAATTTTCCCTTTGGGGCCCCGCCCTGGCCCCAGGGGTCGGGGTAGGAATCTCAATTTTACAATTTGAAACCATCTACCTCCAAGGATAATTCTCACCAAGTAAAAATAATTTCCTACAGAAAGTTGTCAAAATATACCCAAAAGTGTTATTTCCCTATATAAACTATAGTAAACTTTACCCCCTCCCCAAGGGAGAACGGATAGCTCGGGGGTCCTGAAATTTACAATTTAAGTAAAGCCCCTGATGATCTTTCTTTCCACGTAGAGAAAATCACTGTAGTACCTCTGAGTCTGGAGAAGAAGATTTTTGAAATATTGATTAATTTTCCCTTTGGGGCCCCGCCCTGGCCCCAGGGGTCGGGGTAGGAATCTCAATTTTACAATTTGAAACCATCTACCTCCAAGGATAATTCTCACCAAGTAAAAATAATTTCCTACAGAAAGTTGTCAAAATATACCCAAAAGTGTTATTTCCCTATATAAACTATAGTAAACTTTACCCCCTCCCCAAGGGAGAACGGATAGCTCGGGGGTCCTGAAATTTACAATTTAAGTAAAGCCCCTGATGATCTTTCTTTCCACGTAGAGAAAATCACTGTAGTACCTCTGAGTCTGGAGAAGAAGATTTTTGAAATATTGATTAATTTTCCCTTTGGGGCCCCGCCCTGGCCCCAGGGGTCGGGGTAGGAATCTCAATTTTACAATTTGAAACCATCTACCTCCAAGGATAATTCTCACCAAGTAAAAATAATTTCCTACAGAAAGTTGTCAAAATATACCCAAAAGTGTTATTTCCCTATATAAACTATAGTAAACTTTACCCCCTCCCCAAGGGAGAACGGATAGCTTGGGGGTCCTGAAATTTACAATTTAAGTAAAGCCACTGATGATCTTTCTTTTCGTGTAGAGAAAATGTAGTACCTCTGAGTCTGAAGAAGAAGATTTTTGAAATATTGGTTAATTTTCCCTTTGGGGCCCCGCCCTGGCCCCAGGGGTTGGGGTAGGAATCCCAATTTTACAATTTTGTAGCCTCATCTACCAAGGATGATTCTGACCAAGTTTGAAAAAAATCCAACCAGGTGACCTAAAAAATTGACAAGGGTTAAATATGTGCCTGACTGCTATTTGTTAGATGACCAAAAGAGAAAAAATGGTAAAAAATATAGCTCTTACCAATATCAGCTAGGTTGCTGGAGAGGTCTTCGTTTTCGGTGTCTTTGTCAGACTGGAGGCTGAGCGAGGGGACGGCCACCTTGGGATCCTCAGGGAGAGAAAACTCCACCACATACCGGATCCTTTGTTGTCTCGGACTGTACACCACAAACTCATCATCCTGGTCAACAATTAAAGGACAGACATTCAAGGATAATATCTTAACCGATATTTTCCAGATAAAAGGCAAAAAGTTAAATATATAAGAATAACTTGAACTATCATTTCCATGGTCAAAGAACAAATTTAGTCCTACATTTGTAGTTAAAGGTTTGAAGTAAAAGCAAAGGGTCCCATAAAGGACAGACAGATGGACAGATGAATTGCAAACCTATCTTAGTCCTTCACTTAGTACTAGTAGGGGACTCCAAAAAACATAATTGAGCAGAATGATAGAAAAAAAACATAATCATTATTTTGCTTACAGGTTAGAGGTAAATTGTACCTCATCTGATTGAGATAAAATATCATACTAACATCAAATATCATACTGACCTCAAAGTGACTGTTGACATCAGATGACCTTTTGACCCCATGGGTGCTATGGTAACCAGTGGGAGATGCTGTGAGGGAGTAGTCAGTACTTGTGTAAGGACACTGTCGGCCCAGTGCCACCTCACATACCAGGAGAAGGCGACACCCATAGATGGGACTCGGAACGGAGTACTTTAAACAAGTGCTGTACGACAGAGAAAGTGCATTAGACATTACAATCAAATCATTACAGACAAAGATTGATTATTTGAAATGTTTCCTTTGTATCTTCACTGTCAGCTATAGATATAGGTCTGAAAGTATATTGTATATATTTCTTAAGATATTAACTATAGACATAATTAAATTTTGTTCAATAATTCGAAATTACATTTAAATAATTTCAGAAAGGTGAGAATGATCAAGTTTAGAAAACAGAATCAGATACTGAAATTTGATTGTATCTATATCTCTAGATATCAGAGTAGTTTTATTATTATCATTATCAGTAACTTCATGCATATATAGCAGATAAAATTACATAGAGAATAATATAGTCTAGCAATATTCCAACAGCAACAGACAACTTTCTCGAGATGTTGCACAACATCGGTTACCCAGGGCAACTGTAGATGTTACTGTTTGTGTCCAATATAATTTTACACATGATATTGAGACGTAATTACTTATAAATAAAAACCTATGCAATTATGTTTATAATGGTTCTGACTTAATATTCAATCATTAATTACCTGGCAGAGTTAGAGAAGTATATTCCACATCCCAGCATGCCTCTATCTGTTCGGGTGACCCCAAATGAGCTTTCCACAAGGTTCGGCAGCAACAAACCCCTAAATTGGAAAAAATTAAAGGATACCATTGCCATTCAATTCATATTTTCTTTTTGTAGAAAATAAAGTTTGTCATACAAAACTTTTCTCAAAAACTTAAAAAGGTTACCTAGGTGAAAATATGATTTGACATGATTTTAGCTACCTTGTCCTTGTGTCAATATAGTAAAGCATGATAAACTCACCTAGACATTATTCCTAGGAAGTTATGTGTGGAAGATGCGTGCATCAGTGAGGTTACATTTCCAATGTCCGACTGAAATTCCAGCTCCTCCAATGTGCGACAGACACTGTAGATATTCTTCACCTCAACACTGAGGACAAGGAAAATTTGGTTACGAAAAGAACACCTTAATTTCTTCTAAAAGTTTTCACATTATAAGTAACTACGAGGAATTTTCAAATGTGAATCCAAGTTAAGTCCTCGAAAAAAGTACTTTTAAGTGGTGTATTTACTTCTTAGCAACTATACACAACTTTTTATTCCCTGTCCAACAATGAAACACACACAATAATGGTATGGAATGACAGATAAGTTAGTGATGATATCTGCTTTTGGAATAATAGTATTCTAATGAAAAAAATATTTCACAATGGTTTGGTTTGGTTTAGTATGTTTAACGTCCTATCAACAGCCGAATTAAAGCAGAGAGTGCCTTAATAGAAGTTTTTCAGGTTTAATAAAGGACTCCTGATTTATTGAATGATGTGATTTTAATGGGCTATTAATTTCACAAAGGCATAAGGAGAGTCAAAACAGTCATAGAACAGGCAAATAATTAAAGCAAAAATTAATGAAAAGAGGTAGAAGAGAAAATGTTTGATTTAGATATTGACACATCCATAAGTGGAGACTGTCGAGAAAACACAGAGAGCTGGTATTATAAAAGGTGAAGAAAATTTGATATTTTTGGTAGGTTATCACCAAAACTCAACTTGTTTCTAATCAGCCTTGCACAAACTGATTGACTTTAGAAATAATATAATGGATTCTAGTGGTATTTATTTTATTCAGGAAAAAACCTCATTACAAACCTTTCCGATGTACTTGTCACCATTTCAGACACATTTTGGAACTCTTTTGATGATTGATCCAGACTGGTCACATGACATCGAAGAGCTCTATATTTGGCATTGGTTGTTGCCTCATCGGACCAGTCTGTCGCCTCACTCACACCTAGGATGTCATTAACAAGCTACGGCCAAAAAAATGTTATTTTTTTATTCATTCTGTACTCATTTCTTATAGCATGGACAGATTACAAGCTTAATCCTCGAGAATTCAAGACATATAGATTAAGGTCGCATTTGTGTATACGAGTCTAAACGGTTCAGGTGGCCCAGAAATATTCCACCATAAACAAATGCACTTGGACCGAACTGAAGGTGGAGCTAAAAATGCAGTTTCGGAGAACAGAAAACAATACATCTAGAATTATATGTTCTTTTTTCACGCGTCAAGTAAATTATATAACGTAGCTTAAAATCTATATGTGGGTTGACCTTGTTTTATAAAGAAATAATGCAAACTAAAAATAGTCAGCATTTTAGTTTCGGTCAGGCACCTCTGGAACCCACAATCTACACGTGCCAAATATTCCGGAGGTCAACCTTGGTTCAGATCTGCGCCTGTCGTTTTCTTTCAGGTTCAACCGGATACACGAAAGGGGCCTAAGACACATAATTGTTTAGGACATAATATCACAAGATATTTGAAATCTTTGAACACCTGAGTGCGTACTTGAATTGACATCAGAAGACAATTGTTATCTCAGAATATTTCATAGTGATTTCAAAAGTTCAGAGCGTTAAATGTGATCTGTCAGGACTGAAGTGTTAGTTGGGGTATCCCACAGCTGTGTGTATGTGATATGATGGTGTAACCTATATACCTGACAGAGATCCTGTTTCGTCGAGATATCTTTAAGTGACATGGTATCCTTTCTGTACATGTCTTTATGTGGCATTGCAGAGTAGAACTCCTCCAGTAAACCACTTATCTTGGTGTTGTCAGCTCCTTCTATCACTGAGGCCTTCAGTTGTAACAGTGCTGCCTCAGCTTCTTCAACCTGTCAACACAGTAAAATATGTTTAGTAATTTAATGCATCTTATCAGGGGTGTCACAATACCCCTAGAGTGTATCAAGGTATTTTGCAATACAGAAGGAATGTACTGTGATACATATCCCGATATATTGTCATAGGAAAATCTTATTAAAAGGTGTTCAATTTAAAAAGAAATTGTGGTCAGATATCAAACTGAAGCATTTATTATATGGATTTTAAAACTGTCAGTAGTAATTTCAAAAGCTAAAACACACAGCAGGTACATAAAAATAAACTTTTGGAAAATATTGTGATACAGCCATATTTCATTTCTATATTGCGATACGATATGGTATGCCTGTGAATTGCGATATATACTAGTTTTCCAATATATTGTGATGGCCTTAAATGTTAAATAATAATATTCTTATTGTAAATTATTACTTGTAATGAAGTGATTTGAACACCAAACTGTATAACATAATTCTATACATACTGTAAAGCTGGACATTTTTCTTGCAGAAAGTGTTTGAGTGGGCAATGTTTTGGAAATCTGTATAGTATATATTGTGTACATCTAAAACCTATAAATAAATGTTCATGTGTTCACACTTAAATCAAACTTGTATCCGAGGTCCCATGGGTTCATTACCAATATGTTTTACTGGACCACTGGAAGCTAGTCACTGAAGACTACAGGATCAAGGTTAAGTCAGGGTAAACTCATATAATACACGTTTTTTGTGATATCCATCACCCTAAAGTTTGTCTAATAAAGTATCATTTGATACACCATCACCAATATATTTTATAAATCATTTGTGCCCACCTCGATTCTTATGAATCCTAATAAATTCATATCTGGAATTGCCCTCAATGTTTCTTTTACTGGCAGAAGAAGTAAACTAAAGTGATGTCATAGTGTTGACGCTTTATGTTGCAGAACTAGTGAGCATGTCCCAGGGTTATACCACATCGCTGGAAAGCTAGCTTGTCAGTAAGGCTGTGTAAGTTTCCCCTCATATTCCCTGGCTAGATTGATATGCCATATGGGCATACATGCTTAACAGGTAAAACAAATCAATATTGACATTCAAATATCTAGTTTTCAATTTCGACAAATTTTACTGACAATAGTTTCACAATATTGATAGAACAAGACAACAGGCTTATAAGACCTATGATTCATGTAACCAGTCTTGGTCAACCAAAAATTTTGCACAACTTGGTGTATGCTAATTCTGTCACCTTTTCTTGCTTGATGTGCTGGAGTTTCGTGTTCAGTTGTGTCTCAGCCTCGTGACTCGCCTCTGCCCAAACCAGTTCCACCAGCTGACCAACCTCTGGACTGATCTCCGTTGTCAGGGTACACAACTCTCCCAGCAACTGTGACAAATATGATATGATGTAATACAACACCTTCCATACAGACTGATCTCAATCCTTTACAAAATCTATAGGATGGATTTCATACTGTTTTTCTCTTTACCAAAGAACATTTTATTTTCTTGTATATGTAGAACAACTGGTTCATCATCTAATAAATGATTGGAAACATTTACAGAGGAAAACCCTCGGAGATTTATATAAATATACATTAAATGATGCATTGAAAGTCTTTGTCAAGGCTCACTTGAAAACAACATCAGTCAACAATTTCATGAACAAAAAGTCTAATCCAACAAGTCACACCATTGAGAACGGGATAATGAAAGTGACCCTATTGAAATACATTTGACCCTTTCTCTTTAGTTTTAGAACTACAGTCAAACTTTCTGATGTTGAGAACTTTGGGGGACCAATGAGAACTTTGCGGGACCAATGAGAACTTTGTGGGACCAATGAGAACTTTGTGGGACCAATGAGAACTTTGGGGGACCGATGAGAACTTTGTAGGACCAATGAGAACTTTGGGGGACCAATGAGAAACATTTGCAAAATCACAACTTCGGCTCACAAAAGTAGAAATGAAAACATCTTTGAGATCCTGTATATACTGCATAAGACCAAATTTGATTGTTAAGTAACGCAACACAATGCGAGAAAAATTTGGAATTGATAAAAATTGGATTCAAAGTAATTAGAAAATATTTTTACATAAATTTATACACTGTAGATTGCATGTTTAGGTGTTAAAATGACTGTGGGACATTTCAATGTTCTTGTACAGCTAATTGTTCTACTTCAATCTGTTAGTAGTTATTTTCAATGTTATCCTTATGACTGGGTATTGATTGTAGTTCGAAACAGTGAGAAATTTGACTTAATAAAGTTTAATTCATAAATGGAATATCAGTATTGTTATATAAGGGGAAAATCTGGGCTCTGTCAAGTTGGACACATCAAGAAATTTGAATCTTTGAATTTTGATTTATGGATGTTTGACTATATCGCATGTCAATACCAATAATGTCACAATGTAAACAATGTCAGACATGTTACCATAGCATTGCCATGATAATAATATACAACATTTATATAGCGCCCTATATAATTTGTAAAATTACTCTAAAGCGCTTTACAACATATTGATAATAGTATTAGTTATAATTGTGAAACAAAAACAAAGGCTTACAATAACCATTATACATTAAGCAAGCAGATAATCATCTCAATGTGTACATAAATGAATAAATAAAGGGTGGTATTTACATGACGTCTTTACAGAGACCCTAAAATGCAGACGTGAAGAGGTGTGTTTTGATGTCGATGTGAAGAGGTGTGTTTTGATGTTCTGCTTGAATTTAGCCAGGGTATTTGACTTTCTAATAGCATATGGTAAGCTATTCCAAAATGCATAGAGATACATATGACAAAATAACAGAACCACGGCTAAAGTGAAAGAATCTTTTAGGTTTCAGGAAATGAGACATCAGTATTCATTTTATTCAAAAAAGGAAAACTGATCTCCAGTATGATGTTCTGAGAGAAACATTTCTGTGATGACAAGCTACCTACCAGTCGGAGTTTGGGAGACCCCAAGGTACTGTTAGTTAGCACAGGGTTATCCCATACAGACATGTTATAGGGATGTGAGGTGTATTGCTGGTACAACTGTTCATATCCACTCACAACCTCCTCGGACGTGCTCACATACCAGGCTACAGGAGTGTCTTTGTTATCACTAGTCTGTCAAAACATAAAACACTTACATATATCATGTTGTCGTGAGTCTGTTTAAACAAAGCAACACTGATATTCAGTAAAACTGTGATATAAAGCACCATGTTCCTTTCCCCTTTGCTTACTGCTAACATATTTCAAGGTTCCTATTTCTCTTTTTCTTAAAAATTCCCCTCAATTTATTGGCAAACCTCTTTATAATGTAATCATTTCTATAGACAAATGCTGGCTGTATAACATGCACAAAATGTACCAATATTTCTTGAAATTTCTTACTAAGATATAAATAAACTGGCTAATCAAGAGGAGATGTCTGTCTTTCCACTGAACAGCAGTTACAATTGAATCTCAGTAGGATTACAACAAGATGTTTTCTTGCAAGTGTTGCCAAACCATACCATTTTCTCTGACAATGATCCTGCCTGAGAGTATAGACGGTAGGGAAGATCAACATCACACTGGCTGGTGTGTACCTCCAGGATCTGGACAGACTCTTTAGACTGCAAAAGAGAACATGGGACACATTTTTGTAAGACATTTTTAGAAATGTTTATACAGTAAAACCTTGATATAATGCCCCTTGTTTCATTTGGCACCACGTTTATCGCCAAAAAAATTCAATGACCCTTTTCTCGTTTTCTTAAGAATTATTTTAAACAATTACTCCAATTTATTGTCAAACAAATGGTGGCAGTATAAAAAGGTTTTACTACATTTACTTTCACTGAGACTTCATTATACACAAGTCTTGTTCAGGCTATCAAAGACATTTATATATGTAGGCCCAACTCCGACATATATTTATTTCTTCAGATTAGCCTTCAAAGTCTTCATCACAGCATTGTTTTCTTTTATAATCTGGTTTTGAATGTAAGAAAAAATAAATCTTATGCTTTTCATACATCAATCTCTGATAAATAGAATTTGGATTTTGTTATCTGTGATATCATACAAGGCCACACTGGGTAGAAATACCAGAAACATATAAGAAAAAGAAAAAAAAGGTTGTAGCACATGCAGTTTTCTCCAATTTCCTCTATTTAGGAGACATAAAGGAAAACATGAAATTCTACATAAGACCCATACAGTTAGATAACAAAAAGGTTAATTCTTTCCCCCAAAAACCTAAAGGGGATTTTACCATAAAACAAGAGGTCCATGGGCCTTAACGGTCACCTGAGTCCTACAGTATTAATTTTTGTTGTTGAAATATGTACCAATTTGAGTAAAAAATTGTTAAGTATAACGTTAACTTAAGTTTGTCAGGACCATGAACTGATCATTCCTAGACCAATTTTCAGTTCAATCGGCCTATTAGAACTTGACTTTAAGTTTGAAATAGTTTTTCAAAATGACGGCCGTGGCAGCCATATTGGATTTCTGATCGACCCGAAATATAATAATAACACTTTGTCAGGACCATGAGTCGATCATTCCTACAAAGTTTCAGTTCAATCGGCCCAGTAGAACTTGACTTTAAGTTTGAAATAGTTTTTCAAAATGGCGGCCGTGGCGGCCATATTGGATTTCTGATTGACCCGAAAAACTATCAACACTTTGTCAGGAGCTAAAGCTAAGTTGACCTAAAAATGGGGTAAATTAGTTACTTAAGTACTTAACCTGTTCACAAGTTTGACCAAGTACAAGTAATATTTAGCAAATATTTCTATATGACACTAAAGGAAGCTGGCTTTAATACTGAGTGTACATATGAATGAAGTTTTATAAGCAACTTTCTCAAGAACCATACACACAATTTAGTATTTGAAATCATCAATAAACATATTACTGATATCATTTTGATTTTTCGTGGCAGACTAGAAGTGAGTACCTACTTTGAGAACCGCCCATTTGGCCACAGAGTATCCCTCCTCGTCATACTCAGGACTATCTGGGTCACCAAGGGGCCAGCACTCTAGGCTGTTCAGGTTCATATGTATTTTCCGTTTCTTCTTCCGTACTAATCGCTGCTGTGGGGCTGTCAAATTCAAACCAAGTGCATGTGAAGTTCAGGAATAAAATAAATGCAATAGTGTCAATACGTTCAAACTAACATATATCTAGATCACAGGTCAACAAATGTTACACAGGACTGGATGGAAAGTGGAGCAGAAAATCTAAATGATATTTCTGTGTATAACACCAATACTTCCATGGAAATTGAATTAGAAATAATAATGTTTTACAAAACTCATATAAAGCGGACCTTTTTTTTTGTGTTCAAATAAAAAGATATGTTGCCAATATGTACAAGATTTTTTTTTATATAAGATGTAAGGTTAAATAAGAATTGATTTACTCATTATTTTTCCCTTCTGGAAATTCTTGCCCTCCATAGCCTCTCCAGCAATATAAGTAGTCATGGACAGTCTCTGCTGCTGCTGCAGACTGTCGTCAATAAACTCGGCCCTCAACACGGGCACCCTGCACCTTCTAGCCTGACGAACTTTGTATGTAGATTTCTCCAACATGTCGTTAAATAAAACCAGGCAGGATATCTGTAAACAAATCACAAATGTTGTCAAAATGTCATCACAGAATCTGAGAAGGTTAACGTTTCTAACAAAGGAATAATAAACAAAGAATATCAGAAGCACAATTTTGTTTGATATGAATCATGGAAAAACATTTATACAAAAAATGTATGTTTTTATTCTAAAGTTAAGAAAACAAAACCGTAAAGAGTTTGGCTAACAGTGTTCAGGGTGGAAAATTTCACGAGATAGAAACAAATCTGCCTGCTGGTTAGTATACAAAAATTAAAATTGTATTCCCTAAATGGTGGCACCTGGAGTGAAATGCAAGTTATATTGCTGCTTAGGAAAACTATAGCTATATATAGTTTTACACATATCCATACAGTCAATAGACTTCATCTAGAAATAGTAGATTTCAGTTGAATCTCAGGACCATTTTTTTAGTCCTGTTAATTATAACTCTTCTCTGACAGCCTCAACAAACAATAATCTGCAGGACATTGTGCAAAAGTAGGATGTTGCAGTGCAGTTGCATTACCCTTGTGAGCGGTAGTGTTTCCTGTAACTTATGTTTTGTACCATACTACTTGAGACTAATATGTATACGTAGCCGAGACAATATTCTAAGTTTATGCTCACCTTCTTTGTTATGATATAGGACACAGTCCCACCATTGTCCGTAATTTTCTTGCGCCATCTGGCTTTTTCCTTGAATGGCATCATTGAGTTGAACTCAAGCACAACAGTAAGACGTCGGAATATGGAGGAATTCATGGTTTTCTTCTCTAAAGGGTTTTCTGGTTGGTAGAAAGGGAAAGAAGAAAAAAGATAATGAAATTGGGAATTCCCTTAGCTTTCCAAGATTGTCATGCATTTGCAAGACTCCTTTATCTGTTTATGCTTGAATGCACATCAAATTTCCAATACAAAAAACAAATCAAATTTTGTATTTTGTTTGATAATATGTCATTTTGTAGCCCAAGTTTCCTCTGGCCCCGACACCAGGCTTAGACAAATAGATGTCTGGTGGTGTGGGGCCAGAGTGCAATGCTATGTGAAAACGTGGAGTTCTCCGACACTGTTTGGTATCAGAGAGTTATAAGGTGCTGACAACAAAAATCTACTACGACACAACACATATCTCGCATATAATGACAAATGGATTATTTATTGATCAAAATCAGCTCTCATATCACCAACAGCTGCTAAATTTATTCAGTCGAGTCTTCGATTTTCATTCATTAAAAATTTCTCACCTGAGCGAATGCCATTTTTGTAGGTCGTGTCTAATCAATAAACCGGGACTGAAAACGGAATATATAATTATTGTTCAGAAGATTTCCGGACCATGTCTTTTTGTTCACCCCCCCGGATTAGTCACTCCCTGATACCAAACGGTGTCAGATAATTCCACATTTTTATATAGCAGTGTGCTCTGGCCCCACACCAGACATCTTTCTGTCAAAATGTCTAAGTCTGGTGTCAGGGCCAGAGGAAACTCGGGCTAGTCATTTCGCAGCATTCATTTTTTTCCCAAAGAGACTGACACACTATCAAGCCAATAAGTATTTTTTATGAAGACATTGATCCTTGTGCCATATTATACAGACAATGTGTTAATGTCAACATGTGTCATTTGAAAAACTACAGTACTATACAAGTTCTATTAACATTTAAGATGTGTATCTTAATTCCAACATTTCATCAGGCTTTCAATATGACTCATCAGGTGTTAAAATTTTGGGTGACTACCCAGTATTTACTGTAAAAGTGGAAAGTTTTGCAAGTGACAACTATACCAACTGATTAACTCACTCTTGAAACTGATAACAGAGTGGAAATGTCCATGCTAGCACGGACTTAAATTCCGTGATGTTAGCAATAATTCTGAAATCTTTAAAATATTCAACACATCTTTTATCTAAACATTATATGTATAGCCTATAAATAAATACCGGTATTTGCGTGTTGCTATTTTTTCACCATTTTTTGTAAAATGTATTCAGGCAGTCAACATTTATTTCCGGGGTTGTCTGCCTGATGGCCATTGATTTATATAGGAAAGTGAAAGTAAAGGTGAACTGCATTCAAAACCTGATACTATTTTAGTATAACTGTAACAGTTTTATAAACTTTTATTGTCTAATATTGATTTGCTCAACACTTGGCAAACCTCGTGCAAGTCATTCATATAACAGCATGCATTTTACAAATCCACAAAAACTTCCGTACTAGCAAAGGGACAATGCAGTGTACCTAGCTCTCCACTCGTGGGTACTCCTGCCACTACGCTCGTGAGATGCAAGTTGCTACTGGTCCACTTCGGCCAAGAAAACTTCTGGACTTGGCATTTGTCAATGTCTGTCATCTTGTCAGGTGGCCAAGATACCTTCATATTGTTTTGTAGAACTCAAACATTGTGATTTAACTTTTTGCAAATCAAGCTAAATCTAAATTTAGAAATGACAAAAGCAGACAACCCCGGAAATAAACATTATATACTAGCTCTGCCATCTGGCGGTAAATATTACAGATGACAGGATCGCCTCCCCTAGACCATTGTTGTCGTGGATGAACAAATATTTCCTTATTTTTTTTCATTTGATAAAACCTAGGCACCTACCTACAAAGAAATAGACACACAATAAAAAAATAAACAAAAAAGAACTCATCCTTTTTATGGTCCCTCCAAGCGGACTTTCCATAGCTTTTACACTGAATTCTTTTTATGAAAATTTTATATTGCACTTCTGTTCATGTTTGGTTACATCTCCACAACTTCTAAACAGTTATATAAAGTGTATTGTCATTTCAAGGTTTCATTAAGATAAACAGTCTTTATTCAGAAATGTCAATGAAAGCAATGGAAAATATGTACTTGTTTATTTGGGCTGCGTCATAGACTGAATGGGCCACGTCACAATTAATCACCGGATTATTATCTATTGTGACGTCATCCTCGGGGCTACTTGACGACGCATCGGCTGCCGTCACACGACAGTTTCGCGTGTTGTGTCTATATACTGTCAGGAAAATGTCGTCGGATAGCGATTCTGATTCGGATAGCATTGAAGAATTTCAGATAAAGCGTTATTTGAACAGAGATTTTGGACAGGGTATTAGACAGGCGAAAAATCTACAAAACAACTACAGCGGAATAAAGAAACAACCCGGGTTTTATGAATTACGGGATCGCAAGCAGAAATCACTGGATGAGAAAACGTACAGTGGAAATCATTGGGATGTCGAGGGGATGGCTCCTATGGCCAGAGCGACTCGACGCCTGACACTTCATCATATTAACGCCGAGGTTGACAAGGAGAAAGACAGGAAGGTTCATTTTGAGGAAACTGAGAAGTTAATGGCAAGTGAAGCACTTAGTCCCATGAACAAAGAATTCGATGATACCATGAAATTCAGCGGGAAAAAGATGAAAACGGAAACAGCATCTGTGAAAAACCACCAGGCAAAGGTCAAAGATGACATGCAGCTTCAGCTTCTGAACTACACGCACGCTGGTCTGGTTGCCATGGAAACAGAAGAAGAGCGTTTTCATCAGATTAAATTGCTTCGAGCGATGTTAAGCAACGTTGATAAGTCTCCAAGTGTTGAAGATTTAGTCGACGCTATGTCTGAAACGAATCAGAAGAGGACCTACATCAATCGTGATCTGGAAGAAGCGTTCGGAAGGCTTGTCGACGACGAAAAGTGTTTGGATGATGATTACCGGGGAGCCATGATGGAGATGCTGGATGAATCTCTTATCAGGATTGTTTTAAATATGGATAGAGATGTGACGAAGAAGCTGTTTGAGGATGAACAGAAGGAACGTGTGATGGAACAGAATAACCTGCTAAAAGACAAGGAAAGAGCCAAAGCAATTCAAAATTTTGATAAGGTCCTGGACAACATGAGAAGGATGTATCAACAAGTATTAGAGGAGGAAGAAAGGATAGAAGAAAGCTACAAGGAGAAAGTTAGAGAACTAAAGTCTAGAGTAGAGGAAGAGCTTGTTAGGAAAATTGCTGCAAAATGGGTTGAGAAAGCATGCGCAGATGAAAAAACGCGTCGGATACAAGAATGCGAAAACGTCGATCGAGAGAAAAACGTGGCTTGGGAGTCTATGAAGAATCTGATGAGTAGGGTTCAGAGGCAGATGATTCTATCAAAATTTGACGGAAAATGGGTCGATTTTAAAGAAGAGGCCAGAAAGGAGAAAGCAAAGATAATTGAGTTGCTTCCGGAAACTAATCAGGACAGGAAAATGCGAGAAATGAGAACAAGGTCACGCCGGCCATCGTGTGTCGTGAGGGGTGATGAAGATTGATATCTTTCTGTGGTAAAAAGGTATTCTAATAAGCGAACATTTGTATCTACCAAGATTAGTAATCCTTTTGATATTATTTCTACGGAAAACTTCAAGCTGATTATGTCTTTGATAACACGCACATAAATAAACTGCTTTACGTAAATAGTAATTTACTGTTTTGTTAATATATTACTGCAGAGAAACATGAATCTTTGTTTCCCTGAGATCAATCGTATTTCACGAGGGCGAAGCTACCAGAATATTTTTATCAATGAATTGAATGTGTTTAAGAAAGTTCGTCATTTCCCTGAACTTCCATTAAGTCTCCCTATCCTTGTTAGATTCAAAGATTCAATAAAGGACTTCCAGATAAGATGAATTAACAATTGTCTTGATATTACGATAACAAGGTTGGGCTTCATGCCTTTAGTGGGTTTTTTTATTCTTAAAAAAAAAATCTGCACAAATTATACACACCTGTGGGGCAATTGGATGTCAATGACTTTTAGCCTTTTTTTTCTATATAAAAACGATAATAGATTATTGCTTTGATTATTATAATAAAATCAATTAACCACTTAAATAATCACTGATCTATCCAATAATCATCGTTTTCATCTTTAAATTGTATTTCGTTGTAAACTAATATTGTGTTTCCGTGTGAATTGCACAGAGATAAATCTGGTTTGGTCCACACAACACTGCGCTTTCTCTCTCGCGCTCGAATTCCCCCGTCCTTTTCCCTTATTCGGACTCTCTCTGGAAAATGAGTTAGATGCACCACAACTTTGTTCTATGTGACTGAAAGAGACGGTACTAATGGTGCGATTAAACTCAGGGAGAGAAAGAGTCGTGTTTCCATAAATCAAGGGCAATACATGTTTGATATTATAAAGAGAAATGGGTCTCCCTTATTTATGCATTGTGTAGATTAGTCTCCCTTTGGGATACAAAATATAACGTCTGGTCTGTAATTTATAGCTGTACTTGACTTAACCAATGGTAAAGGGGTATAACAATAAAGATGCTAAAGATGCTATAAGATATTAAAGGTTATAAAGATACTAAAGATACTAAAGTTTATAAAGATATTTATATATTAAAATTTATAAAGATACTCAAGATATTAATGTTTATAAAGATACAAAAGATATTAAAGGTTATAAAGATACTAAAGATACTAAAGTTTATAAAGATATTAAATATATTAAAATTTATAAAGATACTCAAGATATTAAAGTTTATAAAGAACCTAAAGATATTAAAGGTTATAAAGATACTAAAGATATTAAATATATTAAAAATTATAAAGATATTAAATATATTAAAATTTATATAGATACTCAAGATATTAAAGTTTATAAAGATACTAAAGATATTAAAGGTTTTAAATATACTAAAGATATTAAACTTATCAAGATACTAAATATATCAAACTTGTTAAGATACTAAATATATTAAAGTTATAAAGAAACTACCGATATTAAACTTTATAAATATATTAAACGTTTTAAACTTTATACAGATAATTAATATATTAAACCTATAAATATTCTAAATACATTCAACTTTATAAAGATACTTAAGATATTAAAGTTTAAATAGATATTTAAGTTTATAAAGATACTAAAGATATTAAAGTTTATAAAGATACTAAAGATATTAAACTTCGAAACCATTCGTCCTGTGCTTTTTTGTTTTTTTTGTTTTACTTTTTCATGTTTTGAAAATACTTGACGCTTCAGTAAGAGAGACACTATTTTCTAGTGCGTTAGATTCTGTATTATTATTAAGTTTTTATAAAATGTTGAAACATATCTAAAATATTGTTTTTGATTGCATTCTAATTCCCAATTCTAATTCAAGTTTTCTATACCAAGTGTTTATTGACAGCCTACTTTGCACCCTAGAAAAGAGCAACCAAGGAGCTAGAATCGTGTCTATACCGGCAGGTAATCCTACTCTCGCTGATGATGTTGCCTTTATTGCTATAACACCAGCCTCGCTACAAAATAGGTTAAATATGTGTCACACCTACAGCACGACATGGCAGTATAGATTCTATAGTTCCAAATGCTCTATCATCGTGATAGGCAGATTCATTCCAAGGGAACCCTCGTTTTCCTGGTCAATAGGAACCAATCCTATTCAAATTGCATTATCATATCTACATCTCGGCGTCCCAGTTTCCAATAGGATGAACACTGAATGGCGAACGGATAGCTAAAGCATGTGAAAAAGGAAGAAGAGTCATCCATGCTGTTCTTGGAATTAATGCAAAGTCGACTTCCATGAATGCTTTAGTGAAAGTTAATCTATACAGGAAATTCGTCATTCCATCAATTCTCTTCGGATGCGAACATTGGTCGCAAATCAACCAGACGGACATCCGTAATTTAAATACGTCCCAGCATTACGCTTCAAAACTTATCCTAAACGTAAGGAAAGGGACACGTTCAGACATTGCAGAAAGCATATTGGGGATCCAGCGAATAGGCGCCACTATCGACCAACGGAAACTCATCTTCTTAGCACAACTGATCCACCTAGAGTGTAGATACATTGTAAAAAGAATGTTCTTAGTACGTCTATATAGCTACATTATTGGCGAGGAAGACGGAAATACAACACAACGTGGTTTCATCCCGGATATAGTTGCAATACTTCACAAATACAACCTAAGATCCTATCTCGATAAGTACCAGCGAGAGTTCTAATTCCCGGGATAATGTGAGTGGAAACGTGTCGTAAAGAGAGCCATTAGCCGTTTTGAAAATATTGCCTTAAGATCGAGGCTATCCAACGATGATGACTTTATTAGATTTAGACGAATTCATTTGACGTACCATCCCTATGTTCTGTGGGCTGCTTGCACATGTACGAAGCATATAAGACAAGTGTTCTTCCTGTTTAATGTTTTGACCTGTATTAATTCACATCAAATCCGATGTACCTGTTGTCAGATAGACGTCCAAGACACGACACGCCATATATGTGTGTCGTGTCTTTCAACCAGGCCACTGAAAAACCGCTTCTTGACTTATGCTATGCTTGAGTATGGACCACAGGTTTATAGTTATTTAAATGACATGGAAGACGAAGACTTCATGTGTGCACTTTTTGGGGCCGATTCCCTACTCCCAGACTTGCCAGACCACCCCACCAGAGACGATTTCAGACTTAAGTGTGCAGCCTTCATCAGGGAAGCTATGCACATCTATTATAGCAATAACTGAGCAGGCACTGCTACTCATCTATTTGCTGAACCACACTTGTGTTTTCTTACCAATAATATATAAAGTAATATAACATATATTGAACTGTGACGACATATGATGATCATTCGAAATCGTTTGGTCTGAGAAAGCATATTTGGCTATTATCCTATCACTAATTATTGATTAATTAGTATGTGTGAATACTAGCTGAATATTGGTGGTAGCGCAAAACAGTGATATGTGCGTGCGTGCGTGTGTGAGGAAGGGTGCGTTCGAGTGTGTGCGAGGATGTGTGCGTGCGTTTGTGAGGTGTGTGTTCTTAAGTGTGTGAGTGAGGGTGCGTGCGGGTGTGAGGAGGTGTTCGTGCTCGTGTGTGTGATGATGTGTGTGTGCGTAAGTCTGATGATTGGTGTGTGTGCGTGTGCGTGTATGTGCAAGGAAGTATGTGCGCGTGTGTGATGATGCGTGCGCGTGTGTGTGTGCGTGTGTGTGTTTGTGCGTGTGTGAGGATGCGTGTGTTTGTGTGTGTGTGAGAATGCGTGTGCGAGAATGCGTGTGTTTGTGCGTGTGTGAGGATGCGTATGTTAGGATGCGTGTGTGAGGATGCGTGTGTGCGTGTGTGCGTGTGCGTGTGTGTGTGTGTGTGCGTGCGTGCGTGCGTGTGGGAGGGAGAGAATGTGTGTAAATGTTCACCTGAGATTTATATTCTGAACCAAGGAAATTGTTTTCCTCATTGTCTACTGTTATTGTAAATGTGTATATATATAAATCATGTGTTTCAATGTTTACATTATATGTTTATGTACAATTTATCTCCATATCAGGGGAAATAAAGATTGATGATGATTGCATTATAATTCCCCGTTGTATTTCTCTAATTTTGGGGAATTATCATTGATAGATAAATTCAATTTTCATGCTAAAATATAGTCTAGCTAGTTGTCTTTCTGTCTTAAGCTTCCTAAACCCATTTAGCGAACTATACAACCTAAATAAAATTTGTGTAGTCTAATACTAAAACTCTTTTTCAGTTCATTTTTTGAAATCCACATTATAACAGGCTTTAAGGTTTTGCATACAATACTCAAGCTTAATATAAGATTTTGTTTTGTCACATGAAAAGTGAGAAATACTCTTGCTAATAATGTCAGTTTACATAGCTTTTGAAAAGGTGGATAATTGAATTTGAATTTTATCTTTAAGCAAAGAATAAGTTTAATCTTATCAGGTTTATGAATTGGAAGTGTTTTTTTCTTCTATAATACAAAAATAAGTTTATTTAAAGACTTTAAGAGTCATGTATTTTGTATTAGAGAGTTATTACTTGTTTAAATCTTTGCCTGCTTTCATTTACGTTAATGTCACGTTTGCTTCTGAATGCTAGCCAGACTCAATATTTGAAATATACAGACTTAAGTAAAATGTGTCAGAAATAAGAAAACAAGTAAATTCTAGCTCGTTTTCCTCAAAGTTCATTTTTTTGGATGTCGCTCTGTACAGTTGTCTCAACTTTGCATACCTTCTCTCAATCTGATTAAACCAGATCTTTTATTCCACTCCGATTGACTGGAACATAGAGTATCGGAGTGGAATAAAATATCTGGAAAGATTCCCGTCAAACCGTTTCCTCCATACAAATTTTCTTTAATATAATAATTTCCATCCATCATTCTTTTCCATGTGACGTCAAAGAATAAAAAACCCACCCAACTTGATTTCAATGATATCATTACTAAGATATATGTCTTGTAAATAATGTTAAAGTTTTTGTTTTCTTTTTACGATAAGAATAACAATCCTCCCTTTTTATACCCAACGGGTGACCATTTGTCGATATTATTGAAACCTTTGACAATGGATATATGGAAATTAAAGATGATGAGCGCTTAAATAGAGTTTTACAATACTCGATTTGTGCTTGTGTTCAATACAGATCACAGCAAAACAAAGA